GTCGTATATCTCGGCGCTCCTTAGCCAGGCCAGTACCTGCCATGGCAGATCGGTTTAGGGAACCGTCTGGTGCTTTCACGACTCGAATGGGAGAGAGCTCCAACGACATCTTAGTCTGGCCAGCCAGGAAAGGAGGCTCATCATCTCGGACCTCAATGTCAACATCCTCTTCCTCTTCGAAAGTTCCCTCGCCAGTAACGGTGGCATGGTATTCTTCGTCGATATCGGGGTAATCAGCAGCAGAGACAGCGCCGGAAGCAATCAATTGCTTGATTTCCCATCTCTCTGGAGATGTCAGGCGTTTGCGGTTTCTCATTGGTCTGCCATCTGAGTCCTCGATAACCGGTACGTCCGAGCTCAGGTTTCCATATCTATCATCATCCGCAGAAGAACCATCAAGGCGTTCCATATTTGCCCCTGATGCAAGTCTCCGCTGTGGCACGAGATCCATACCAGACACCTGGTCGACTTCCTTCATCGACAATCCAATGCGCGAACCCTGTATGCTGACAACTTTGACCTTAAGTGGCTGACCGCGCGAGACCAAGTCGGACGGATGATTTACTCGTGCTCCCTCCTGCATGGCAGAAACGTGCACAAGCCCATCCACTTTTCCTTTCACGCCCTGGAGGTTGACGAAAGCACCGAAATCCTTCACTCCCGTCACACGGCCTTCGTATACTTTATAGAGAATTGGCTGGTCATCCAACTCAACAGGTGGTGGTCGTCGGAAACCGTCATCATCGTCGTAGCGGTCACGTTTTCTTCGTCGTTCGCCATGCCCATTCCGGTACTTCTCGTCCCTGCTGCTGTATTTGCCCAATGAACGTCCAAATTCGTCGACATCGTCATCCCTCCTGCTGCGACGAACGCTGCGTGACCTCGATCGTGAGCGATATTTGTTATGTCGTGACCGTCCGCGGTTGTAGTCATCGTAATCCGGGCTTCTGCTTCGTCTTTTGCGCTCATCTCTCGTCGGCCGACCCTTATCTCCTTGTGCTTTCCCTGCTAGCCCTTCCAACATCGCAAATGTATCATCCATAGCATCGGCCTTGGCGTCACCCTCATCAACGGCGTTCTGTTCCTCCTCTTCCCAACTCGGCGCTTTATCCGGCACAGCAAGACCCTTGAACACACGCGCTTTTTTTTCCAACGCACCAAGCATGTCCATATCATCGTCGCCAGTCGATTTGCCCGCGCTTTCTGTTTTCTTCGATTTATACTTCGGGTGCATTGTCAAGACCAAGCGGTCGATACTCTCCATCAAACTCTGCGGGAATTCCGCCCCCATGTCTTCGAGGGATTTCTTGAACTCCGTGAACGAACCGCATGATAGGTGTTGGTCAATTACGAATTCCGCGAGAGTTTTGTCGTTGACACCCAGGTGGTTTTGGAGTTCGCCTGTGATTCGCGACACGAGCGAAAAAAGCTCCAGAGACTGGAGGTCATCCATGGTGGGTGTTGCGGTGATTAGGAAGGAACGGCAAGCGAGAGAAAATAAACAATACAATCAAATGTTAAAAGAAATCAGAAATTCACTTGCGAGAGAGTGCGCAAAACACTCCTCAAATCCCAACGTTGACTTGGTGGTTTGTCGCGGTCTCGTCGGCCGGAAAGCTCCCAATCGCGGAAAATCGTTGTGGCGGCAACTTGCCACCGATAAGATAAGCATTTGGCCTATAACCTGACAGATGATCTACGAATGGCTCAGTACTATAGCTCCTAAATGCTTCTGAATAGATAATTCTATATTCTATCGTAAATCGTATATATTGTACATATCGGAGTAGCGAGCGCCTTTATGCCTTCTCCAAGATTGTTATTGTACATCGACGCTTTGTTGTAGATTGCCCTACCCTCTAGCTAGCTAGGAAAGCCCTAGCAGCAGCGCAGACCTTCGTGCGCCTTTGGACACGAGTCTGGTCCAAGGCAAGAACACACAAGGCACACGCTGAACGTGGAAATGAATCATTAATGGTCGTCTCGAAAAAGTGCTTGTCAACCTCAAGCCACTTCTTTTGCTTAACACCGTCTTTCAGGCTTCTTATCGGCAATATCGTCGGGCAAGGAGTCATCCGTAAGATCATCGTCTGGAATGCCCTCTTCTTCTTGAAACGAATCATTTTTTGAGTCTTCATGGTCATTCGCAACATCATCAGAAACTCTGATATCTTCCGGAGCATTGTCCGAGGCATGATCGGGAGCCTCGTCAGGGACACTGGAATGAGTTACTCTGGACGAAGCTAACTCACTAGCTGCGGCAGAGTCGATGTTCGCCTCGGACATTACCCGTTTTTGGTCCTGAATCTGCTTCTGCAGAGCGATTTGTCGGCGAAGGGATGCGTCCTTTCTGAGTTTCTTGTTTGCAGAGAACTCGGTCAAGGCTCTGACCATCCGTTCTTCGACCAGTTGCTTGACGTGGGAGGCAAGAGTTCGGTCAGTGAACACCCCACCAATTCGGAAACTCAACCAGGCGTATAGAATGACAGATTTATGCAAGATTTCCAGTTCATGCAAATATTGTTTGTCACCTGACACTGGATTTTCCAAGACCTCCAAATTCAGCTCGGGGATGTCCAACAGACGACCATTGGTATGCTCAGCTATGCACGTTGCAAATGCACGGGAAGCCCGAACACCCCTTGGGTCTCGTAAGTGCATGGGAGCTGCCATCAAAGCTAGCTGATCCTCAACGCGTAGGCCCTCCACAGTGTCAATGAGCTCGGCGTTCTCAAGCTGGCTCTGAGGATCACACATAAAAAATAGCGGGCCGACCTGCGTAAGCTCTATCAAGCGCTTGAGGACGTATTGGAAAGGTGTGTTGCGCGGGAAATAGGCAGAAAATTTCTGAATGGCAGCATCTGGAGGGAAAAGGCCGGCGACGGTGATCGGAGGAGGTTCAGCAGACAGTGCTTCCTTGATTTGTGGAAGATCAATATCTTCCAATGAAGTTACGAAACCAACGTTTTCTTCTTCGCTTTTGGCATTTTTCCCTTTGCCTTGGGTCTGTGCGGCAGAGCGATAACGACCGGCTCGCCCTGCAATTTGCTTAATTTCAGACACGCTGAGTTTTTGGAGACAGCCGGGGAGCCTCTTGATCAGAGTCTCAAAAACAACACGTTTAATACTCCTGTTGATGATAAGAATCAGAGTTTAATTTGCGGCAAAACGAAACGAGGTCAAACTTACAAGTTAAGACCCATCCCAATGGCATCGCTAGCAACGAGGTAATCATAATCATTGTTCGAATCGTTGAAAAGACTGGCTTGCTGTGTCCGGATTTCTGCCGGTAAACCTCCGTAGACAATAGCCGCACGTCTCCCGGTGTGTTTCTCAATATCTGCTTTCAATGCGTGAATTCCCAGACGAGAAAAAGCAACCACACAATCGCCTTTCTGCAAGTTTCTCAGACTGCCTTCCAAGCTCTTGTCCATGACTTTAAGAGGGTTAAGTCGCTCATAACGGTGGATCTCGAGGTTGTCGCCCGTAAGAGCAGCTAGTTCGCGAATAAGAGGTACGGCTCTTGCCTCACCACAAAGATGTAATTCAGTTGCACGTGCTCCGAGAACGGCGCGCGTCCAAGCCCATCCACGTCTAGGATCTGCGATCATCTGGATTTCGTCGATAACACCAACCTCGTATGTCTTGCCCAGATTGGCCATCTCGACTGTGTTGCTCACTATTGTCGGAGCCGATCCCTCGGGAATTTGCACGTCGTCACCAGTGATGAGACTGCATGACACACCACTTGCCTTGAACTTTTGATATACCTCCTGCGCAAGGAGCCGCAGCGGTCCCGCATAGAACCCGTTTTTGCAACTCTCTAATCGCTTCAACGCATGATAGGTCTTTCCAGAATTTGTTGGTCCGACGTGTAAATGGATTGTCCGTTGCATGGCGCGCGCTTGCCCGTACCACTCTGCTGGAAATCGTAAATCGGCCACCTTTCTCTGATGTTCCAAGTTCGGCAGCGAATACTTCGCAGTAAGGTCTTCCGCAAATAATCGATATTCTATATCCTCTCTCAAACCCGAAAGGCCTCGAATAAGGTAGGTCCTCTGTAGCGACAGTTTAAATTCCCTGAGGGGGGTAGGCTTCCCGCTTAGAGATTTTTCGTCCACCTTACAGGCATTTAACACATATCGTTCAAAATTCGGCCACTTTTCCAGTATCGAATTGTCTGGTCCCAGTCCCTGTTTAATTTCATGTAGGATGGATACAACGACGACGCTAAAATCTTGAGAGCTGACACTTTTTCTCATGGATTGTGTGACGCCACCGAGGGCCAGTCTTCCAGATGGCTGTTCATGAAACAAGATGTATTAGTATAACTGTTCGTAGGATACAGACTGGTTTTGGATCATACATTTTTAGCATTTTCCAACCGCTGCCTCTTCTTGCTTTGCTTCTGCGCTCTAGTTGATCTCTGCAGCGCCGGTGTTGTCGCAAACGTTCGCCATGCTGCCGGACAACACTGGGATTGGACAGCGCGAAGCAGGCGATGGCTGCCTCTGCAGGCCCATGACTGCATCCCTCCACCCGGTTAAAGTCTTGTATATCGGCTCGAAGGCGGGAATCGGAGTTGGCGATCGGAACACAGCCGTACAGGGGTAACAAGCGATGAAAGCTGACGCTAAACCGGTCGTTGGCAATCAGGCGATGACCGTCTCAAATACTGGAATCGTTCTCCTCGGCGTGTAGTGTATGGACGAATGAGTGGTGGTGGTGATGGATCGCCATATTTTTTTTATCGCTGGCAAAACCGCCGCCACACCGCGTTACCGATCCACCGCCTGCCGATTTCCCTCGCGATAGTACGTAGTAGTGGGGGATAGTTTCAGGGTTCAAGAAGAGCGTTTCAAACAGAAAGGGTCCAATCTTCCTTTTACTCATCTAATTCTGTTGTTTTCTCGCTACTCCGTCTGGACGGAGGTCTCCTGTCTTCATACCTCTTTCAGTTCTCTTTCTTGGTCCTGTACAGCTAGTGCGTTGCCGCCAGGATGGGCACGTCAATCATCAACATCCAGCGCGATAGTAGGTGGCTACACATTGCTTGCTATATCTCCTATCGAATGACTTACTGACTATTCCTGATTAATAGTTATCCTGAATACAATTCGTTATGCAGGAGGCGACGAGGTACTGCATGATCCCCCCCCCCCCCCCCAATACTTCCTTCCCCTTACCTCCGCATCGATGACGGTAACTGATGGAGCTCCCGTTTCGACGTACAGTGGAAAGTTTTGGTCGTGGATGAGACCAGTCGGAAGTTGATCTACAATGCGACGACTGAAGATGACATTCTCAACCTCAATGTCACCAGTGAGTCTACGAATCTGGGAGAAAACATTCGCGACAAGGACAGGTCAGCTAATTGGGGTACTCCGCAAGATGTGGAACAGATCGAGCACCGGCGAGAGACAAACCCAGAAATGGATGCGCTTTATATCCTATCGCCCATGACGCATATTGTCGATTGTCTGATGGCCGACTTTGAGATGAAGAGATACAGAAAAGCAAGATTGGTGTGGACTTCAGGTCAGTACTTCCGCAGGAGGTCCAATGCGCCCGCTCTGACGTCGCTTCGCAGTCCTCGATCCCCAACAACGAGTTCGGCTGGAACGATCTCAAATGGCGCAAGAACAGATCGCGGAGTTCCGGGTTATGAATATCAATTTCTATCCCAAAGAATCGCACGTGGTGACGTTTCGGGATCCTTGGAGCTTTCCGGTCTTGTTCCACCCCGGCTGTAACCATTTGATTCGGAACCATTTAGAAGAACTTGCGCAAAAGGTGAGAAGTTCTAGGTAACTGTGGGCTTCCTTGAATCAGCGCAGGTTGCTGACATTGATATAAGGTCGTATCTCTCTGTGGCTCTCTAGGCGAGTATCCTGTGATCCGATACTATCGGCCCCGAGTACCCACACACGAAGCCAGCGTTCTGTGCTCCCATCTAGCGCGGTTTATTCAAAATGAGCTGGACCAATTCGCGCAATCTCAACGGGGATACCCACCACAGTCGTCGAGGCCGCGCGGTGTGCTTCTTGTGGTGGATCGTTCTATGGATGTGTATTCGCCCCTTCTGCACGAGTTCACCTACCAGGCCATGGTGCACGACCTGCTGCCGGTTCAAGACGGGGATAAGGTCACATACAAGACAGTTATCAATGAGGGGTCCGCTAAGCAAGAACACAAGGAGATGGAAATCAGCGACAATGACAAAGTCTGGGTTGACTATCGCCATCTCCACATGAAGGATGTGCTTGAGAGGTTGGGCGAAGACTTTGCCAAGTTCAGGAGAGCCAATCCTCAATTTGCGGAAGAGTAAGTGAAATTGTTCCGTCGTAGGAAGACTGAATGAGTCGCTAATCCTTTACAGAGACGACAAGGCCACCGTCAATACTATCAAGGACATGCTAGCTGGTCTTTCAGAATTCCAGCAGGGCAGAGACGCATATACGCTTCACCTGAACATGGCGCAGGAGTGTATGAAGCACTTCCAGGTCCATAAACTCATCGAAGTCAGTTCCGTTGAGCAGTGTTTTGCGACAGGACTTGATGAGAATTACAAAAAGGCCAAGAACCTGGCTGCACAGTTGGTGCAGTTGCTCGATGACGAGGCAGTCATGCGTTCAGACCGATTGAGACTTCTGTTGCTTTACATTATATACAGAGGGGGCTTGCTTGGGGGGGACATCAGAAAACTGATGGCGCATGCGCAGCTTTCACCACATGATGGAGAAGTTCTTTACAACATCGGTTTGCTTGGAGCGCGGGCGGAAAAGCCGCTCAAGGATGAGAGGCCACTGATACAGCCATTGTTCCAACGGAAACCCCCAGCTCCTGCCGAAGCTGACGAAACCAGCTTGTCTCGGTATGAGCTTAACGTGAAACTGATGCTGGAAGAGCAAATCCGTGGAACCTTGGACGCAACTGTTTTCCCGTTCACCCGCCCGCCAACAGACGCTGAGGGCATTGCGTCTCAACACACAGAGACTTTTTCGTCATCGCAGGCGTCCCTGCGAAGCGCGAAACCGACTTGGGCCCGAACTCGCTCCTCAGCCGATCAGCCCAAACAGCGCATTATCGTCTTGATGGCTGGCGGTGCCACCCATGGCGAAGCCCGGGCGTGCTACGAGGCTTCCCAGGCATTCAACAGAGATGTCTTCCTGGCAACATCTCACATGCTCAGTCCCGGTCTATTCCTGCGTCAGCTGGGAGACCTGAGCGTCGACCGAAGACGCCTGGATATTCCCTCAGAGAGACCCAAGCCTACTGCACCGGCTCATCTGTTCGAGAAGGAGGCCCCTCCGCCGCAGCCACAGCCACAGCCACAGCAACCGATTGCGAAGAAGCCGGCGCCCAAGCTCAACCCACCGGTGTCCAACGCAGTGGCTATGGGGAAGTTGTCTCTGGAGGATGCGCAGGGTGGAACGCCTCCTCCGGGCACGGACAAACATGACAAGCACGATAAACACGACAAGCACAAGGAAAAGAAGGAGAAGAAAGAGAAGAAGGAAAAGAAATTCCACTTCTTCCGGTAGTTTTGTCTAACTTTTCGGTTTCAATCGCATATACCACTAATCTTGATGTACCCCGTTTCTCTTCTTGGACGGCCAGGACCGTTCGTTTTCGGTTGGTTTTTCTGCTGTTGTCATATTATTGCGCTACTGTGATACCATGTTTTCCTGTCTATGTCTTGAAGCATTCCGACGGCGCTGTTCGTTTTGTACATTGGTTCTATATTCTATGGTCATAGTTGCAGGCAAGAGAAACCAACTTCTTTAATCTTTAATAACTTGATCTATAAAAAACCGGGGTATCACTATCTAAACCATCAAAAGAAAACGCAACAAAAAACCACATCACCCTAAATACTTCTGCACATCCTCCCTCTGATAAAACATCTCCTTCAGTTTCTCCCCCCTCCTCCTGGCCTCTAAATTCCCCCTCCGAACCTCCTTCGCATTCAACTTCTCCACCCTCGCCGGCCTACTCTTCTCAGCCTTCTTCTTCTCCCTCTCCTTCCTCTTTAGCCCTATCTTCCTCCCGCTTTCCTCGTCATCACTATCACCGTCAGCACCCAATCCCATCGTATCAGCTTTTAACCGCCCCTTGATCGGCTCCCGGATACCCTCTCGCCCCGGTGCGCCCAGTCCAACTCGACTATCGGGATCCCAGCCGTAGGACGAGAGGTAACGGAGGCCCTGACGGGTGCGGTCGAGGTGGGAAGGGGGATGGGAGTGGGTGAGGCAGAGTTGGTGCGCGAGGGAGCTTTCGTGGGGTTTGTCACGGTTGCCATCTATTGTCGTGGTTGTCGTGGTTGTCGTGGTTGTTGTGGTTGTTGAACTGGGGTATAGAGGGAGGTTGCAGACTTCGCATATCGCCGGTTTTTGTTCCGTCGTGCTGTTGGCGGTCGTGCTTTGACTGCTTTTCGGCATAACAATAGACAGATATTTATCCGCTATACTCGGTCCTGGTCTCCCTGTCATCGGTGCTGCAGTGGTGGCATTGGTGGTGTTGAGCTCATGCTCCGAGGAACGAACAAACGGTACGCGCTTGCGGCGGATTCCAGCGCCGAAAACTCGTTGGTCTTCAACGGGGAGGAAGTAGTCTTCTTCGTCGGACATTTCCTTTCCTATTTTTTAATGTTGTATGTTGTAACCCTGAGTAGAGGTGTAGAGGTGTAGAGGTGTTGTTGTAGGCAATTAAATGTCATACAGGTGGTGGCGGAGCCCGATGCGGAATCCAGACGACCTCCGTCCGCCTATCTGTTGACGTTGTTGTCCTCTCCTACTTTCTATCAACAACAACAACAACCACAACACAACACCAATTGCACAATGCCCATCCCCATAATCCGAAAGGGGGTTGAAGAGGGCCTGTCGTCTATTCCCTATGCCTACACAGTTCTCAGAATCGTACCATGGGTTCTCCTAGTCGCCGCGCTGAAGTACTGGTTCGGTGGTGCCAGAAACCGCTCTGAGCGATTGATGCACTCCAAAGTCGTTATGATTACGGTATCTATCCCAAACTAGCCACCCGAGGTAATATTAATCCCAGCTAATAAGAGATATAGGGCGGCACATCCGGCATAGGCGCATCAGTAGCCTACGACCTCGCCCTCCGCGGCGCCCAAGTCATTCTCCTAACCCAACACTCGCCCTCCGACATCTTCCTCGTCGAATACATCGAAGACCTCCGCAAATCAACAGGCAACCAGCTCATCTACGCCGAACAAGTCGATCTGTCTTCACTGTACTCGATCCGCACGTTCGCGACGAAATGGATCGACAACGCGCCGCCGCGGAGACTGGATATGCTTATTCTGTGTGCGAACACGGTTGTCCCCTCGAAGGGCGAGCGGAAGATAACTGTCGATGCGCTGGATGAGGAGTGGCAGGTGAATTATCTGGCGAATTTCCATCTGCTGAGTATTCTTTCTCCGGCGTTGAGGGCGCAGCCGGCGCATCGCGATGTGCGGGTGATTTTCACGACGTGTCCGAGTTATATCGGGGCCGAGTTTGATCTCAGAAAGGCCGTTATTGAGGATAAGCCTGCCAAGCCTAACAAGAAGTCCAAGACCGTCCCCGCCGCCAAGAAGAAGGACAACAGCCTCTTCGCCCTAAGCAAACTCTCCCTCATGATCTTCGCCCAATCCTTCCAAGCCCACCTGAACGCCTACGAACGCCCCGACGGCCAACCCCCCTGCACGCGCGTCATCACCGTCGACCCAGGTTTCAGCCGCACCCCAGGAACCCGCCGCTGGCTAACCGGTGGCTCCCTCTGGGGCCTCCTCCTCTACCTCCTCACCTGGCCACTGTGGTGTTTGATCCTCAAGTCGCCGCAGCAGGGCGCGCAGAGTATTCTGTACGCGGCGATGGAGGCGAGGTATGGAAAGGACAAGGGTGGATGGATGATCAAGGAGTGTCGGGAGGTGGATTTCTCGCGGAAGGATGTGAAGGATGAGCAGCGGGCGAAGGAGTTGTGGGAGTTTAGTGAGAAGCAGATTGAGCTGAGGGAGAAAGAGGGGGCTGTTTTGAGGGCGATTGAGAAGAAGGAGAGGGAGGAGGAGGAGAAGTGCAAGGCTGAGGATAAGGGGGCTGCTAAGGATCCGACGCCGGGGTCGCGACGGAGTCGTAAGGCGAAATAGATTATAGACCAACATTCGTTGATATATTGCATAACCACAGTATTTTTATTCTATTTCAAGTCTATGCATCTAGACAACATCTTTCACAAAGGAAATATCGTCATTTCATAATATTAAAAAGAAATATATCTGAACATCTGGTCTATATGTCGCCTTCGCATATTACTTATTTCTTAAGGGCAGCGAGCAGCTCCGCCGGCGGCTCCTGGCGGTAACCCTGAGGGTTATTCCGGGTCCAGAGCCAGAGGTCTTCGCAAGCCTGCTCGAGGGTACGCTCAGCAGTCCAGCCAAGCTCGCTGTGGGCACGGGTAGGGTTGGCAGTCAGGTTCAGGACGTCACCGGCACGGCGGGGAGCAACCTCGTAGGCGAGGTCGCGGCCGACAGCGGCGGAGAAAGCATTGATCATCTCGTAGACGGTGCTGCCCTTGCCGGTACCCAAGTTCCAGGCACGGACACCGGGGTTGTTGGCGCGGAGGTAGTTGAGGGCCTTGAGGTGGCCGTTGGCAAGGTCGAGGATGTGGATGTAGTCACGGATGGCGGTTCCGTCGCGCGACTCGTAGTCTATTGCTTGTTAACCATTGGATCTAGATGTAGGGACAGAAACAGGCAACTTACCGTCACCAAAAACAAGCAGCTTCTCGCGCTTGCCAGTAGCAACCTGAGCCAACAAAGGCAGCAAGTTGTAAGGAACACCCTGGGGGTCTTCACCCATGATACCACTGGGGTGAGAGCCAGCGGGGTTGAAGTAGCGCAGCAAAGCGCCGTTCCACTTCTGAGCCTCAGCCTGGTTACCAGCCTTGAGGGCGTTGTTGCGCTGAGCGTTGATCAAGTCGGTGATGGCGGTCTCAACGGCGAACTTGGTGTTTCCGTAGGGGTTGGTAGGGCCCAGAGGGCAATTCTCGGGGATGGGGATCATGTCAGGGAAACGGGTAGCGTCACCGTAGACGGTGGCGGAGCTGGAGAAGACGATATTGGTGACATCGTGGCGGATCATGGAGCGCAGGAGGCAGAGGGTGCCGAAGACGTTGACATGGTAGTAGTCCAGGGGCTTCTCGCCCGACTCGCCGACGGCCTGTCGCAAATGTTAATATACCGTACTCTATATCCTTGTCGCAACGATCCAATGAGCGAAAACAACGCACCTTGAGAGCGGCAAAGTGAATAACGCTGTCAATGTCGGGGTGCGCCTCGAAGACTTTGTCGAAAGCGGCCTCGTCGGTCACATCGAGCTGAGCGAACTCAGGCTTCTTGCCGGAGATCAATTCAACGCGCTTGAGAGCCTCGTCGGAGGAGTTGTAGAGGTTGTCTGCGACAACAACCTTGTAGCCAGCCTCGACCAGAGCGAGGGTGGTGAAGGAGCCAATGTAACCGGTACCACTGTAATGCGAATGCGGGGTGTCTGTTAGTCAGGAGGAACAGGGACAGGGACAGGAACAGGAACATAGAGGGGAAGATAATGCGTACCCGGTGACAAGAACAGAGCCAGCAGACATGATGATTGTATGAGGAAAGGAATTGAGTGGATTAGGGAGAGAAGAGAGAAATGGAATGAGGAATCGGAGTGAGTAGGAAAGAAGAGGGAAACCAGCGACTGTTATATTCGGGGGGGGGGGGGGGGGCAATTTGGTGGGGAACCTCCCGTCTTACCCAATCCGGCAGCTGACGCGGACGAGAGATTTCAGGGTCTTTTTTTATATCGTTTGAACTGAGCGCATTTACTGTTTTGTGCTATTCTCTGTGTTTACTCAATTCCCCTTTATTTTGTCATTTCAAAGTGACGCTGATCGTCACCAAATCCCTCTTAGAAAGGTCCAGTTCAGCTGGCCGATCTCATTTCGCTGATGGGGATCGTCGTGGTTTACGATTAGGCTTACGGAATTGGTTCGGGAGAGCAACTGGATTGCCATTCAGTGGTATTCAAGCTATGTATCCTCTGCCTGAGAAGAGAGCATCATGTACAAAGAGTATCGGGCTGGCGCCAAGGGTGTTTCAGAATAGTGACAGATTGTCCCGAGGTTTCATAGACAGTACGACCAGATATCGGAGCAACCATGCAGCAAACCGGACATAACACATTGTTAGAAACTAGAAATAAAAAGGAGAAGAGACAAAAAAAAAAAAAAAAAAAAGAAAGAAAGAAAGAAACAGGAATAGAAATGCGAAGCATCAATCGTCAACGTCACAAAAAAACAAACACCCGTATCCAAAAGTTACAACACTGGGCCCTTTTTCTCCTTATCGTACCATTCTTGCTGGTCGCCCGAGCCAGTAGACAGTAGATAAGCCTTTTGCAGCTAATCTATCATATTCCGAATTGGTGAGTCCTTGCTCCGGGGAGGGCTCATTCTTCCCTTTCCGGGATTGAGACCACACCCCTAAAAGTAACCAAGCCCCTCCTGAAGCACAGAGGACCCATGTGATGGTGTAGGAGCATCCGTCACATGGAGACAAATTGTGCCGGTCGCACAAAAAGCAATACTAGGGTGCATGTAGCCCGAGACGGATGCGGAAGTTTCAAACATTCCACGCATGTTCGGCCCCAACAGGGTTATTAGAGAGGGTAACCACCCCAGACCCATAAACAGAAAATATTCGCTTCTTTATCCGAGAAGTTCGACGTCAAGGCCAATTGCACGCATGAAAAGGTTGACGTTTCCAAGTCGTTGGCTTCCCATATCAGGGGGGAGCGTCTTGCTGTAGTTCACCGTCTCCATGACTCGATCCCTGTCACAAAGCGTTAGAATCACGATTATCAAAACTATAGGGAGTGAGGGAAAGCTTACTTGACTGCAATAACCAAACGTTGCTGCTGCTCCGGGCTAGCTCCAATACCAACGGCCGCCAAGAACTGCCACACGTACATATCGTCGCCAGCGTTGATGGAAGCAGGGAAGATATCAGCAAGAATAGGCTCCAGGGTATCAAACAGCACGTTGAACTTCTCAACCCATTGCTGCCAATCGTGTTCCTCAGCCTGTCCGGCTTCCTTAACGATCTCTGCGCGACTGAGCATCATGGTCAAGATACCCAGTCCGATACGAGTCTTAGACACCGTCTGCAAGTGGGTCTGGGCAATGACCAATCCTAGAAGACCGATGATGATGTTGAACGGTGCTTCGCTGACATACATCAGGAGACTGGGCATCACAGCCTGCGAGAATAACTCAACGGCCTCGCGCACATCTAGTGACGGCGTCTCGCCCGCTGCTTGTTGTGAGCGTCGAACAACATCCAACGTATCCAAGTGAACGACAATCATGGTGAGAATGGTAACCCGCTGCTCTTGGTCGATTTGGCGGAAAATACGGGGGATAGCTTTCTTGCCCTTGGGGTACGAGAGGAACGCGATGAACGGGTGCGGGGTGTTGGCATTGGGGACGATGGGCTCCATGACTTTGAGAGCCTGCCATAACTTCTGGTTGAGCGAACGGACCTTCTGGCGCCACTCCATGTGCCGTTGAATCGCCTCAGGGTCGTCCTCGTCCGGCGGGGGAGGCATGGTACGCTCCATGTCCTCCATGGCCATCAAGTTGTTGTATACATTTTCGATGCTGTTCAGGATGAATTTCCGATCAGTGAGGCTCAGATCGGTCTGTGCCTTCTTAGCGGTCTTGCCCCCCTCCGAGCTCTCAGGGCGTTTGATGTTAAGCATCGTTCTCGGAGCCTTTGCGTTACTGAAAGAAATCTTGCCCAGACTACCCTCGATGATAAGCTGCTTATTCTTGGGCTTTGCCTTGGCCGCTTCAACTGCCCGCTGCACCTGCTGTTGCATCCGCTGCATGTGGTTGTCAGCGTTTTGTCCGTTTCTCCGCCCGCCGTGGCCGCCAAAGCGGTTACCAGTCTGGAACAAATAGGTTTGCGCAAAGTGACCGAGAGGCTGGTGCGGATGTTGACGAGGAGCACCCCGAATCTGACTGTAGACCTGGTAGTAGAAATCCTCAGCCAAGACAGCCTCTGGGTCCGAGTCTCCGACGTTTCCCGCAGCTGCCACCAGTTGCTGCAACTGGATCCGCGTAATGAAATTCTTGTCCTGCGGGGTCATCAAGCCGTTGAACCGCGAGAGGAGGAATATCTTGTGGTTACGCTTCGCACGCTTGGCATCTTCCAATAGGTATGCCATGCGTTGCTCCTCCGGTAGCTGCATCAGCTGCTGCGGGTTGGTGATAACCGGCAGAGGATTATTCGCACCTTGCAGGGCTTGCGGCAGCAGAGGTGGCTGCTGCTGCTGCTGGGCCTGGGGCTGCTGCTGAAATGGCCCCGGGGGCATTGCATGTCGCTGCGGGGGAGGGGCCATATGCTGCGGGGGGAAATTGGCATTCTGCAGGAGATGCAACGGGATGCCGGGAGGTGCTTGCGGAGGAAGGGGATAGGGCTCAGGAACCATGGGCTGGGGAAGATGCTGCAGCAACTGCGCTGGCGGGACACCTTTGGCCAACTGGGCTTGCAAAATCTCCGGAGGGATCTGCGAGAAGATTTCCGGCAACAAAGGCATCTGCTGAGGCGGGTAAAGCGGCTCGGGGATTCCTGGAGGTAGCGACACTGGTGGCTGAGCCAGCAATGTTGAGCGAGCGCTCGACTGGCGTAGTTGCGCTTCGACTTCTTCCAGGCTCAATATCCTCCTGGCCGCCGGTGGCTCGTATATGGGCTCTTCAGGCTTCTTCGATACCCCCCAAACACTGGACTTGGCCTGCAGGTCGGGAATGTACCCGGGGTCCTCGTACTTCTCATACCCTGTCCGCTTGGGTTTTGGTTCTTGAACCATGTTTGTCTGCGTGAGAGTTTCCGCCACGCCTTCGGTCGGATACTGTAGATTGTAACGGACTTGTTCCTCCCCAAATGCATCGGCCACCTGTGCTGTTCTGCCGAAGAAATCGAAATCCTTGCCTACGGTGGCATCATCACCACCTGCATCACCGAACGTGTCATCGTTGAACGCATCCTGGTCCTCATTGAGTCGGTCACCAAGACCATCGTACGTATCCTCGAAATCGATACTGTAAAGTATAATAAGAGAGGATTAGCCATTTCATGTTCTTATTTTTCATCCTAATTCCAAACGAGAGGATCTCTCACGCATCATCGTCGTCGTCTTGCTGGCCCGCCGCTCTAGCGCGAGCGACTTCGGCAAAGGGATCTGAGGCATCGAAAAACCCCTTCTTATTGGGAAGGGTAGTATCGAAGCCGAAGAAAGACATCTTCGGTCCAATGACAATGAACTAAAAGGGGTGGGAAGTTGGAAAGCACTCAGCACGACATGGCGTTGGGGGGGGAATCCAATATTCTTGTGGTGCGGGATGAAGTGAGGTCTGATATCAGATCATGCCTGAGGCAGAAGGCGGTGTCGGAGCATCTACTCTACTCCGTACTTGTGCTCTTCCTAGTATTTGATATGTTTCAACGAAAGTCTGTGGTTGTGGAATTGGGCTAATTCCGATGAAGATGACTATTCCAAATAGTAACATGTTGCACGCCGGTGGTTCAAGCGCTCGAGATGCTAACAATCTGACGTCCAGAGAAACAGTTCAAGCCAATGCACGACATCAAGAAGTTCTTTCTAGATGAGTCCTAATGCCATGGATCGTGCTTTTCTCGACTGAGCTACCTAATAAGGCTCTAAACCAATGCGCCGTGCCTGTTGGTTTCCCGGGCTTATGGCCTTGAACCCCCTATACCAGGAATGGTACGAACTAAAGACTTCTCTCACATATCGGGGCACAATGGGGGCTGTATTCAACGGCATTCGGATACTCTCTTGACGCTGGACGCTGGTTTGCCTCTGTAGCTACAGCAGAGGGCTCCAAACGACTAACGAGGTATCACCATGGGGGTGGGGTACTGGATTCAAGTGTGATAATTCGAGCGAAATGATGTAAATAGGCTGTACAGAGTATTCAAATACTGGATCGATCCAAACGGTTTTTATTCTACAGAGTAGAATCATTGAATTTGCGGCGCTGTCGTCCCAGCTATTAATATTAATATGAATTCCAAACCAGTGGATACAGATGATCGTCGTTGATCTGAGCCGCATGAGTATTTTTGACAGAAACGATGGCAGTTAGAGCTGTCAGAACCGTTTTTATACTCCGTAGAGTAGATTTTTTTATTTTATTTTATTTTTTTCTTTTTTTTAGAAAATCAGCAGAAAAACCGTGTCTCTCCAATGCCTCCAATTTCTCGCAGTGAGGCTCGGGCGCAGGTGCGTCTGCGTCTTGCGTGGCACGGCCACCTTTACTATTTTCTTGTCGTCCATTTCATCTTCCAGCAAATCCTTCTTCCTGCTGTCAGCATCCTGGAATCACCGCCAAATCCTTTCTGATATCTTCTATTCTGTATTCTTTGTCTCTTTTGTTTGTCCTATTCTTTGATAGCCCGGCCTGTTCCACGGCGACCTGGGATACCACAGCCATCCTTCCCGAGGCATCACCATTTCGACCACTGTCCCCAACCATTCAACTCTGGAAGGCTGGGGCTTACAATATCGGATGTCTCTGGGCCATATTTTAGCTGGTTCGCGATTGTAGACGGAGAGAATCCCACCTTGGTCGTTCGTTTTGCCGAATCGTCGCTCAGTTTCCCTATACGGTCCGCGTTTACGCCCCTCTATTTGCGATTTTCCTCATCGCGCTTGACCTTCTCCCGTCCGTCCTTTTTCGACCGTGTTTGACACGGATAACATATATCAATCATGTCGTCAGGACCGGTTCGATATGTCCGGTATCTGCTGTTTGCGGCGCTGGTGAGTTATCTTGCGCCTTTCTCCCCTTACCCCCTGTCGAAGCGCCGTGCCGATAACTAACATTATGGGTGTTATGCTGTCAGGGACTGGGTATCCTCTTTTTCATTTCGAGATCCGCGATTCCTATGCCCGATACTGCTACGCTATCAAAATTGAATCCGTCGACTTATAAAGGCAAAGGTTCCCTTACAGTGACTGGCGGGTCAGCAAGCCCATCGCAAGATGGTGCTGCGTTGTCATATCCATCTAATGCGTCCGGGTCAGAGGGCGTTAGTGTTCGCCCGGAAACCCGTGTGAATGCGACTTTCGTGACGTTGGCTCGCAACTCGGATATCTGGGATTTGGCACGATCGATCCGACAAGTTGAGGACCGCTTCAACCGCAACTACCACTACGACTGGGTATTCTTGAACGACAAGGAATTTGATGATGATTTCAAGAAACTCACCACGTCGCTGGTCTCGGGGACAACGCACTACGGAATTATCCCCAGAGAACACTGGTCATACCCCGACTGGGTCGACCAGGAGAAGGCAAAGAAGGCTCGACAGGCGATGGGACAAAAGAAGATCATTTATGGTGACTCGGAGAGTTACCGTCACATGTGTCGCTATGAGTCTGGATTCTTCTTCCGCCACCCATTGATGATGAACTACGAATACTACTGGCGGGTGGAGCCCAGCATTGAGCTCTTCTGTGACATTGCCTACGACCCATTCCGCTTCATGAAGGAGAACAACAAGAAGTACAGCTTTACGCTAAGTTTGTATGAGTATTATGAGACTATCCCTACTTTGTGGGATAGCGTGAAGAAGTTCATGGGTAACCACCCTGAACACATCGCATCCGGGAACTCCATGGACTTTTTGAGTGACGATGGTGGAAATACCTACAACAAGTGTCACTTCGTAAGTTCCTTCCATAGTCCTTGTTCTTTTGAGCATGGCTAACGAGTTATAGTGGTCCAACTTCGAAATCGGAAGCCTGGAATGGCTGAGGTCAAAGGAGTACATCGACTATTTTGAATCTCTTGACCGTGATGGTGGTTTCTTCTATGAGCGATGGGGAGACGCACCCGTTCACTCGATTGCTGCTGGTATCCTCCTTAGCAAGCCAGAGATCCATTTCTGGAACGAAATTGCCTACTACCACATTCCCTTTACCCACTGCCCGACAAGCGAGAAGATGAGACTCGATCTGAGATGCCACTGCAACCCCGAGAATAACTTTGACTGGAAGGGATACTCATGTAAGTCTTCAGTTTCTTTCTGGCTTGGTTGGCTCTCGCTAATACAGCAATCTCTAGGCACTTCCCGATACTTCCACGTCAATAGCCTGCAAAAGCCGGAGGGCTACGAGGGACAGCAATGACTAACTGTCCTTAAAATCACATGTCTGGTTTTGGCATTGTTCAGCATTGGTAGTATTGGCTTTGCAATGCGCAGGAGTGTCAGATTGAAGGTAATCTTTTGGGTGGACCAATTGATTGATAGATGGTTTTGAGCCACTACAAATTGGATGCTGGATTTTCGAAAGATGTCTTCAATTTCTTTCTTTGAATTTAAAGCGATTGTTCTTCACCATGTGTCTTAGTATATGGGTTTTTCTCTCTTCTCTTCTCGATTTTGACTTCATACATGCAAAATTTTCTCATTCTATAAGGCATTCAGATCAACCAGCAAAATTACATGCATTCGATTTCGGGTCAAGTCTAGTATACATAACTGTCAGATGCTGATGCAAAGACAACTGTAGGGCTCAGCACTCGTATGCTCAAGTCAGACATGACAGCCAGAAATACAGTGCATAATGTCCCATGTATACCAAAACCAATGCACAGCCGTGGCAAGCAGAAAAAGAAAAGAAAAACATGCGTATATCAAGTTCCAGCGGCCCCTTTAAGCATTGACTTTGTAAAGCTAGTAATATTTGTATTATTATTTCTGTTCTATTTTCGCCTCTGGTCCAGCCCGCTGCCTTAAGCGTCATTGCGGCCTTTTCCCCTTTGAGAGACCTTCACTTCTCTCTCTTTTCTGCCTTTTCTTTTTTTCCTCTTCATTATCTCCATCCAGAATTGACTCTGGCTCTGGTCTCTTCCTTCTCTTGTCCTGACTATCTTCGTTCTTCCTCAAGAAACCCCTTTTGGTCGTCTCTTTACTTTATCGCGTGGTGCTCAATAGTCCACCCCAAAAGCTCCTCCGGGTGGTTCCTATGCGACAACTGATTGCTTTGCTTTCGTTCGCTCTCCAGTGAATCGTTCGCCTTTTCTTGTTCTTTCTTCTTTCTTTCTTTACTTTTCTTTTCTTTTTCTTTTCTTTTTTTTTTTTTTTTTCCTTTCTCTTTGCTTGTTTTTCTCTGTTTGAATCCTCGAACCCTCTTTCTCAATTTCCTCGTGGGTTCAGGCGCAGTTCCCCTCCCTACTCTCTCCCTCGATCGCTCGCTCTCTCCTCCACTCTCTCCTCCTTTATCTCGCGCCCGTTGCCCATTTCCCCCCATCATCCGCTCTTTGACCTCTTTCGCCCATCTATCTCTATTTTCCTTCGTTCATACCGGAAATTAAGTCAATCGTGACCAGCGACCGCGGCGAACAAGATTTCTTACGAAAAAGGATAGTCCATCGTACATCCTAATATGTCGGCTAACGACAACAACAACACCAACCTCCCCGAGCCGGGCGTCGCTCCAGCTGGCACTGGGAACGGTCCTTTGCCTACGACCACCAACGAATCACAACCATCTTCCGGTCCAGTCGAAACCGCAAACAATGCGGCTTCAGAACAGAGTCCTCAACAGACAACGGAGAATGCCGTGACTGCCGATACGAAGCCCGCAGAGGGTGGCGAAAGCGCTGCGCCGACTGCTTCCACCACGACCAACGATACTACTGTCGCCTCGTCGAACGATGCAGCCCAGACTACCGCAGAAAAGACCAAAGAGCCGTCCCCGGAAACTGCGGGTACACATGCAAAAGAGGTGGAGGATCCCAAGGACGAACAGCCAAAAGAAGACGAAGACTCCGGACCGTCATTGATGATCACTCTGCTGTTAACGTCCGGATCGCGGCATCCATTCAAGATTGATGGGAAATACCTTCGCAAGCAGTCGGTCAATGTCGAAAACAATGATCCGTTTGCCATGAGTGTCTATACTCTGAAGGAATTGATCTGGCGGGAATGGCGTGCAGGTAAGGATCCCATCCACATCTCTCGAAAAGAAATGCAGACCAGTTGGCAGATGATTGGTTGCATGCGAGGTTGGCAAGTTGAAATGTGCTGAATGTGACTAATTACATGCAGACTGGGAATCGCGCCCGTCGTCGCCTAGCTCCATCCGACTGATCTCGTTCGGAAAACTGTTAGAAGATAAAGCACCTCTATCAGGTATGCGAACTCTAATGGCTATTCCCCTGCCATGAATGAAACTTGGCGCTGACTTGCTTCTGATTAGACTCCAAATTTAATCGTGATGCACCCAACATTGTTCACATGACAATCAAACCCCAAGAGCTTATCGACGAAGAAGACGCCGCTGGAGCCAAGGGCCAATCCATCCGGGAACGGGTCCCCAGCGTGCGCAGCCCTGGATGTCGCTGTGTCATCCTCTAAACAGGGCATGCGATTTTTACACGTTTTACAGGCTGATCATCCACATTGTCTTTCTCTCGATTATCGGTGTTGGGATATCGCATTTGGCTGCCTTCTTTCCTTCTCTCTTTCCTTTTTCCTTTCCTCGTTTAGCTTTGCATTCCTTCCTTCTCAATCGCCTGGCGCAGGATATTCACTTGCCTTGTCTGGCTATCAAGCCCATGGGGCGGCGTTACGGATGTTCAATTTCAATTCCCTAATACTTGCTTGGGCAGCGCCCGGAGGATATGTTGCCTAGTTATTCCTCATCGTTTCTTGTCCCCCCTGTTCTATTCCCATAGTTGCGTATGTGAGTGGCTTGATTTGTCCCTTTTTACACTACACATCCTTGCACTGTGCTTATATATACCCTGTTTAACCTTGAGCTTGATATGTTTATTGTTGTTTTTTATGGCAATCCTTTCAGTCAAGCTTTCTTCGCTCCATGTTTTTAGTTCTCTCCCTGTGTTCTCTTTTGTTTTATTCCAGGATCTGGATCTTTGTCTGCGTGCCGTGTTTTTTCCTTTATTGTTCCAATCTTTTAGATTGATGAATATCATGTACAAAGGGAATGGCTGAACATATGTTAATACATGACTTATATCGAGTACCAGTAAGGGCTCTAGTGCAGTAACTTGCTATATCACTTCGACTGATTTATTATGATGATGGATAGAGGTAGTTATTTTCATATATGACACATCTTGTATCCGCGCCTGTATCAATCCCTAACCGCGAAACATCATGAAGACGAATTCGTAATGACAAAAGAAAACCGATAAAAAAAGCCAACCAAATAATTAATCCATACGCAGTCTTTTCTCCATCTCGTCGTGGAAGGTAGCAGGTTCCTTGAACTCGTCTCCTGCAGCATATTAGCAAAACCATCATACACGAATAGTAAGAGAAAAGAAAACGAACCCTGAAAAACATCCTCCCACCCAACCTCCGTATCCCTCCCTCCCAACATCAAAATATCCTCATGCACATTCCCACCCCGACCACCACCAAGCACGGCCGGCTTAAACGTCCCATCCCTCACAATCTTCAACTCCATCCCACGCCGCACAGGCTCCGCAATCCCATACGCACGTCTCAAACCCTCCATCTTCATCGCATCCTGCGTCTGGCGCCACGCGAGGAGGCGGGCTTCGAGAGGGTGCGCGGAGGACGGGATCGTGTTGGTGTTGGCGGAGGGGGGGCCGTGGGGGGCTTGAGCGGTTAGTTTGGTGCGGAGGGTGTCGGGGAGGCCGGGGGCGGAGGGGGCGCCCTTTGAGGCACGGGGGAGGGAGATGGGGATTTGTTGGCGGGTGGTTGTGTTGGAGGTTTGGGTTGGGTGGTTTGGTTGGGGGGCGATTCGGAGGGACTGTCTTTTTGTTAGTGATGCTGGGTTTGAGATAGATATGGTTGATAGGTGGTGAGATGGCAGGTTGGGCATACCATTATGGCGGTTGAATCAGACTGATTATTTCGATAGGAATACAGAGATGGGTATTAACGGAGACCAGGTTTAATCTTCAGAAAACCCTGGATAGAAAGAAGATGGAGGTGAATCGGTGACGATGTTGAAGCTCGATAAAGCAGCTTGCCATTACGACAGTCCAGCTTCCCCGGTAACCCAAACACACCACTCCCGCAAATAAGTCACGTGCAACCATCCAAAATTATCGCATCTCAACCCGGCCTCCGATCCAACCCAGCAAGCGATAACGTCTAACGCCCCGAAATAACGCCAAAATGCCACTCCTAATCTCCTCCCTCACCCTCCGCACCCTGCGGACAATCATCCAGCGCCCCTCCATCGCCACCACCGCAATCAAACCAACCTCGCGCTTCCAACCCATCCTCCGCACACCCGCCGCCCTCACCGGCTTCACAGCAGCACGAACAACAATCGCACCAACAGGCCCCTCCGCCCTCCTGCGCCGCCAATTCTCCACCTCCCCGATCCGCCAGGCAACATACAACCAGATTCGTCGCGGATGCCGAGTTTCGCAGCGGGCGCGGAGATCTAGGTCTCCGGCGCTGGTGGATAGGTCGCAGATGAAGGGCGTTTGTTTAAAGACTGGTATTACGAAGCCGAAGAAGCCAAACTCGGGGGAGAGGAAGACGGCGAGAGTTAGGTTGAGTAGTGGGAAGGTTATTACGGCTTATATTCCGGGTGAGGGTATGTATTTTCCTTCCGGTTTTGTGGGAGTTGTAGGGGGAATTGTGTTAGAGGGGTGGATAGTTGGCTGACTAGGTATAGGTCACAATGTCCAGCAGCACAGCGTGGTTCTTGTTCGTGGTGGTAGAGCTCAGGATTGTCCTGGTGTGAAGTATCACTTGGTTCGTGGTGCTATGGATTTGGTATATTCTTCCTATATGTGACTGGTTTCTCTTCTCGATATACTAATGGCTTCCGCAGGGTGGTGTTGCCAGTCGTCTGACCAGTCGGTCGAAGTACGGAACGAAGAAGCCCAAGAAGGACTAAATGAATTAAATTGGATCCGGTGTTAGGGCACGGACATGGTGTCATGAATTTCCGTCATTGTACTATTCTTTGATATCGTTGTACTGGGTTTCGTTATTGCCATCTCTTATTAGAAAAGGCGTGTGTATTACGAGACAATTCTGTTATTCTGTTCGGGTAATATTGCCCCCTTTCTATATATGTCCACTAACGCCTTTGAACTCGAAGTGCAATGTAATTGTCGCATGCATAGTAAAGAGGACCGAAGACTTGGCTCAGTTCACACCCAGTGCTTAGCAGCCGACGCCAGTTTCGGTATGGCTCTGAGGCCCCGTTCTCTTTGCAGACCTGCATTGCGAGCTTCACGTCTCCCGGAGACTGGCTGATATAATATCGAAACCACCAGGGCAGCCTGTCTCGGCAGGCTGTGCACGCTCAACACTAAGAGAGCTGGTCTATTTCTCAATGGTGGTGTGCTTCTCGAATCTGGAACGATCGCTGGACTGGTTGGCCAGTGATCTCACCCTTTTATTTAAGACATGATAAACCAGTCGAACAACTTCTCCGTTACTACAAGATGTTAGTAGCAAAATTAAAAACAGGATGGAGGAAGATCTGCTGACCCCGTCTCAATGACAGCAGACCATAGCAACATGTGTAAATTCGTCTCCTGGCTCGCCTTGTTATGGACTCTTCATTTCATCCTCTTCTGTTCAGCCCTACCGGGTTTCCCATTGCAGCTCGAATCACTGCCCGTCCTTTCTCAAAAGTTCTTACCTCCCCAGCGCTTCTCGTATGCAGCACCTCGTTTTCCTTGTTGTAATCATGGAGTACGCGCAAATACACGACTTCGGAGGGTGTATGCTCCTGAGCGGCCGGACTCTAACCCACTCGCGCGTTGGTGAGCAAGCAGCCAGACTGCCAGTGGCATTTTCAACAGCAGAAAACTGAGCCTGTTCAAGATGGGCTCGCACTCTTCATCTGTCGCACATGTACCCTCCATCACGTATATTCAAGCATAATTTAGGCTTTCGCAATCAATTGGGATATAGCGATTATCAAGCATAGAAGAATCGCCATAATCAAAAGGTCAACAAGTAACGCAGGGGGTTGTATGGATGTCTGTAGTACAGTCGTACGAAAGTCGAGCAGAATGTACTGCGAAACCTCACCGGACCAAACCCGCAGGTGAAAACGGTCATCCTGCTTGAACCGTGCAATGTGCCCATTCATTCTCTGGCCGTCTCTCATGAAATCGATTACCAATCCCTGCTTTTTAACGCAAAAATTCACCCACCCCGTCAAGATCGGACCCGTTGATTTTGGGACCAGCATTTTTCCAGACGAAGGAGTGCCCTGGTCATCCTCCTCCTTTGCCGATGTCAATCACGGAAACAGGCTGTTGCATGATTTTTGCAACGGCCTTCAAAAAAACCATCGCCTTGTTGCATTAGAATAGGTGGAAGTGCCCATGCAGCATACAATACGGCGGGCAGGGACATGTCGACATTCGACCAGGACAGGTACTCTCTCCACCATGCCAGCCGACCAAATGGAGAATGTCTCCAACTCGGGAGCACGTCGCTGTCTGTATAATCAGCATACCAAGGTGAAACAGGACTTGGTTCCATCCATGACAGTCCGTTATCCAAGGCGTGGTTGAGTGTGGACCTGGTATGGTCGACAATGCGGAATCCCAGCCAGTTCCGCTCACGCCATCTGCTTCGAACAAGCTGCCCGTTTCGGACTATTTTGTTGAAAAGCGAGTCCATCTTAATCTTCAAATCTGGTGGGTTGTCGAATCTAATCCAACAACTTTGGCTTCGACCGTTTATGATAACGCTGCCCCAAGGTCAGCTGTAATATCGTCGATCTCATGCACTGTATGATGGGCATTAGCATATGGAACTTAAAGATACCAGGAAAGCCACAAATAAACTATCAGAAATATCATATAGACAGTGTATATGTGGCCCAATTTAATCAATTGGCCGCCTGCAGCAGTAGACATAAGACGGCTAATAAAGCCGCTAGTTTCTTATGATTGAGGTAGTTCAAAGATGCAAGGTCCACAAGGGTTCCGAGCCCTAACCTCACAAGGGCCACTTGCACTGCGGAAGAATACCGTGTATCGCTAGGTTTTCAGTCACATTTCAACTTACGAGACTTGATCTTTCTCTGGAGGAATTCAGAAACAGTCAGGGGAGCCGTCGATGCGACTAGCTTTGCGCATCTCTGATATTCATAGCAAGTTGACTGGAGGACCCGTACTGGTTCCTCGACGATGGGGTCATCCGACTATGATCAGACTGTTTGGTTCAAGCGTCGCATTTTATGTTAGAAACGGTTTAGAGATGGTAGTGGCGGCACTGCACCAGAATTACCGTAAGCAATGCCAATTCCCATCGGAACTAGAGCTGCGTTCAGCGAAACCAAGAAGCTCAATCGTTCTCATATTTCTGCGTAGTATTATTTTGGCTATTGGCATCTTTTCGTCTGGTTCGAAAATCCCCTGAATTAGCGAGGAGATGCTTCCTTCTGAGGCTTGGCCGTCGAAAAGTGGGCTTAGCGCAAACCATTCTTTCATGCCTCTTAATTGCAAGATTTGATATCTCTCCAGTAATCTGGAGACAGTCATTTATACCACTGACGTAGTGGATGAAATTTCTCAGAGCTGCAAGGTATGGCTAGCGTTGTGCTGTTTCCGGTTATAAGGCCTGTAGCCTCCTTCGAGGAGAACACCAGCTATGACGGCCCGGCTTTTTTGGAACTCCAGTCATAGGTTATGGAGGTTTCACCAAACCACCATAACTCCTCTATCAGGTGGGCCGCGAGGAACAAATGATTGAGGTCGTTCTGTCTCTTATAATAAAAAAGGTCTCCCGTGCTTGAGCCTTAGTCCCACGTCCGTGCCTGCCCGAAACGAGTCCAGCGTAGGCTGAAAAACCCGACTATTCTCTATGTTCAGCATGAAGACAAATTTGTTGATGCACGACACGCCCAAAATCACACCACACAAAGACGTATAGATGGATGCAAGCACTCGAAGCGTATCGGCTTGTTGACGAAAGAGTCCACACAGCCAGTACACAGCCAACCTAGTGGCAATGGATTTGCCTTCAGAAATTTATATAGACGGCGTATGTGGGGCCCAATTTGGCTTACTCTGCCGCATGCGGTTGCTATTTATTAGTATCTGTACCATAGTAGACCATCAGCATCAGTAGACAAAAACGGCCGATAAAGCCACTGACCACTGATATATAGAGTAGAGTGTAAAGCAGGTAAACTGCAAAATCCCCTTCCGTCGTTTGCAAGTTGCAAGAGTAGGCGACGCATGGAATCCTTGTAACATTCCCCTTAGTCTTTCTATTGCACTGTCAGTCAATCTCATGCCATTCGGCAACTTTCCTCAGCATAGCAGTGCGTCCGCAACCCGATCTTCTTCCAGTTCTCAACTAGTGCCTTCGCAAACAAAACTGATGCCGTCTAGCCATAAGAATGATGCCAACGACATTACCGTTGATGGTCCTGGCAGTAGGGCATTTGACCTTGGGAACCAACTCTCGACAACCTTGATCGCCGATCCTTGTGCCCGTCTTAAGGAAATTTCGCGAACGTGAGTCAATAGCAATTCCCGTACCCTCAATGTCCAGGATTGATAAAGTTCTGGCTTCGGAGATCCTGGCTGGTGTCTTGTCGATAGGTATGTAAACTTTAGTGAATATTCGACAAATATTGCATGTCTGTAGCCATCTACCATGCGTGGTTCGACCGGGCGACCAGAACCTTCCTATCATTGTACCTTGTATCTGGGATGACAATTATCTGCTATGCAGGTTGTCTTGGTGTTTTCCTGTCGCTTTCTTCGGAATAAGTGGTTGCTTTTTCATCTCAGGTTTGGCACCAGATTGGCCGTCATGGCTATGTTCTCTTAAATAGTCACTAAGGCTTCGTGGCGCTGGATTTCTGATGTTCGTAGTTTGTCTTGGGTGATAGTGTTTATCTTGTCGAATCTTATGAAGTTACGGACGTTGTTGGAACCCTCTTCAAGACGAATGTTTGATATGTTTGAAACAAGGGAAGGAGAAGAGGAAAGGAGGGGGCATTCGATAAAGAGATGAGATGATTAAGGGTGAATGGGCTGGAGCAGGGACTCTAAATAGGGTACTATACAGGCTCAAGTTATGGTAGTGAATGTATTAAAAGGTATATTAATATCAAATATCGCTGGCTATTTTTCGAATGCTAGTTGCTGAGGGCATCAAACTACCCGCTGTCACTTCAAATCACCTATACCCAGCCAACATATTGATAAAGCATCTCATTCCTTACACCCTCAGACCCATGACGCACACCAAGGAGCCGGACCTTTCCAATCTTCCCCCCGAAGTCATCTTCATCGTCGCTCTTCCAGTTGGCAAATAGGTCGTTCAGCTGCTTGATCACCATCGGGTCATCGCGGATCAAGAGCACAATCGCGTCGTAACCTCCGGCGCCAGGGACGACACCACCGATGACACCCTCAATTTCGGACGCAGCATCGAGTAGCTCAGTTTGCACAGCCGGTTCGATGGGCACTTGCGTTTTGCGGGTCATGGTGCGGATGTAAGCACGGGATTGTTGGAGATAGGTGCGGACGTCGGCAAAGTTGCTGTAAGCACCTCCGTCGCGGCTCTGTGCGAGGCGTTTGAGCTCTGTCCGCAGGTTCTCATTGTTGGATTGGAGAGCTCCCCAGAGTGTGTCCGCTTCCGCCTGGTTGTTTTTCCGCCATTCCAAAACCTTCTTAACCATAGATGGTGTCTGCGAGCCGCACTCCACATCGCACAGCACCATCTGCATACCACGGGGGAGCCTCATGCCGAAATCCACACACTCGGTGTCCCACGGGTGTTGCTGGTTGACATCCTCCACAATGGCGAATAGACGTTCTCCAAAGCCGGGGGTTCCAACATCTCCAACGGATTCCAGAATGTCAGGCGAAAATCGTCGGTAAAGGCACGATCCGTAGATGGCGGCAGCAACGTCGAAACCGGAACCAACCTTACCCTGGGCCGCACAGTGTGCTGCCTGGGCCAGATTATGAAGCTTGTCTCGACCGAGGCCAAGATCTTCAGGCGACATGGTGCGATGGATGACCAGCGCAGACACTAGAGCAGTGACCAAAGCGGCTGAAGAGCCAAGTCCCGTCTTATGCGCCTCGTGGAGAGGCACCCCAAAGCGTGTAAACTTGCTGCGGGGCTGTGACGCTGGGCCTCTGGAGAAGGCCGTCTCGGAATAGTAGTCATTATCAGCCAAGATGGTGACGTGCAGTGAGCCGAAATCTTTCGAGTCCGCAACGTAACCGATATAAGTCAATGCGTAGTTTAGGGAGGTTTCGACAAAGGGGTTTGGTCGTCTGTTTCCGTTTAGCTTCGCAAGCAGTAGTTTGAGATTGTCCTCTTACCCATCTCCTTTCTGGACGACGCTTATCCCACCATTATCTTCATGAGCTTGGACCCGGTATTCCCATACAGCGTCCACGAATTGCGGCGATTGAACAATAATCGTGTCCTCGTACTCTTCGTCAACGGCCTCTCCCAATGGTCTATTCAAGTTCTGTAGCCCATTGTTCACGAGCTGGTTGTCGGTATTAGGGCCGGAAGCTGCCCTGGGACGTGGCCTCCTCATCTGTTGAACGACGGCATGAATCCTAGCGTCCAGCGCAAAGACCGTACCGGTATATTCGCGATCGAGGACAAGGTAGCCACCGGACAAGAGGACCTTTCCGGGGGCGGATAAAGCGGTGATAGACATGGTCAGGTAAGATTGAGTATTCGTGGGAGTTGGACGGCGGACTACGAAAGTTATATGGAGTAAGCACACTGCGCAGGAGTAATGATATGAAGCTGGACCATACCACCATAAGAGAGACCAATTCAAACGATATCAGCTATAAGAAGTGAGACTTGCTATAAGTATTCTTCAGCCGATTCTAAAATCAACCAATGCCCCGCCTGGTGCAGTACCCCTGAAAGTAAGCAGAGTTTAGAGGCAGAACAATAGGCAGTTGGCAAAAGACACGTCACGGCCAGCTGAATTGACGGCTAAATGCAGATACAGACTGGTCCAGACACGCTGAAGAAGGCACAGTAAGCCGGGAAGCAAAGATCAATCTGGTGTTTCTCGAATGTTGTTTTGCGATTTGGTGTGGCTGAAGCTGACTGTGGCTGATTGATAAGGATGTGGCTACGTGGCTTATCATATGTGGCTCAGCAAGGCAAAACTAATATTACCCGATTGGGACGGGTAGCTGTGATTGGTCAATTGATTACCGTCGGAAATCCTACATCGGAGAATTAAAGCACATCTTAAAAGGTACATAGCTACGGACTACAGTACGCACCCCGTACGAGATGTGATATTAATACCTGGGGTAAGCTGCTACTCATGGCTAAACGTCACAGCAATAGTACATACAGACTTCCATCTGTCCTGATTACAAGCAAATGCCGCATCCTCGGACATTCGGACAACCGGGAAACCGGTCAACCCCAGCCAGTCGGACTAAGCATGCAAACTCCGGTTCCCGAGCTAATCCCAATTTAGGTGTTAAAGAAAAAAAGCCGGAAGCGTGAGTCACCATCCCCCATTCTGCCGTGTATTTCCGCTTCGACGCCCCAGGCACCCGGTCCGTTCCTTCCGAATACACGCTGTTATTGGCTAGTGTGGCTCCGAGGTCAGCAGACCACCTGATTCTTTTGTATTGATGCTGGTTTGCGTCTTCGAGAAGGCTTCGTATCAACGGTTCTTAGGGTACGCCGTACTTTATGCGCACACTGGAGGTTATTACATATAGACAGCACAGGGACGTTTTTTACTGTGGACTGCACAATACTCTTCTCCGTACTTCGAGTGACAGACATAATCGCACTGTTCAACCCGTGTCAAAGCGATCGGCACTATACCGCATTGGGATTAGTACTAACCGTCCATTCTCTTGATTCTCCCACACTCGACTTTCTTCTCGTCTTTTCTTCTCTCTACCAGAATCCTCTCTGAACGTCTTCTGTTCATTCGTTTCCTTAAATTATCCTTATCTTACCTTTAGTCGCGCGTTTGTTTGACGGCCCCAACGTCGTCAAATGAACCTGCATCCGTTTCACCATTCTGATTGCAAGGTATGTTTTTATTACTGTGCTCACTGTCAGAATCCATGCTAACTTCTCCAGCATTGCCTCTTCTCACTGAAGAGGTCACCCGCTAGATAAATGGTGTTCAAACCATTCACCCATCTCGCGCGTCAAAGTTTCACCAAAGCTTTCACCCATGGTTATGCCCAGTCGGTAGTTGCGGCGTCGCAGTCATCCTATGCGTCGTCCACCACCTTCAACCAACTCGCAAACCAACCCGCCAAACTCTCCCGTACCCAGCTCCAGAATGTCTTCCAGCCCTCGAGTTCTTCATCTGGTGCAGGAGCAAAGGCTAGCCAGGGTGGAGGCTCGGGCGACTATGGCTTAGCGGCCTACTATGCCGCCTGGCAACACGCCCAGCAAACCGGTGACGATAGCGATTGGAAACAGTTTCAGAATAAACAACGAATTGGTTGGAAACCGAACCCAAACGAGGTCGCAAATTCGAAGAATGGAGAGGACCAGAACCTTCCATCCGACGATTTTCGTGAATCGCCCCGCGTTAACAAAGCTTCTGCCAACGAGGATGTGAGCGCCAAGGTGGAGGAAGCTGTGGCCCGAGAAATTCAGATCCAGGAGGAACAGGCACAAGCGGAGGAGACCGCTAATGCCAAGGATGACTTGGGTGTCGAGGCGTTTCCCGACCTCCCGGAAGAGGAGGCGGCCATCTCCAACCTCGCTTCGGACAAAGCACGTGATGCTTCGGATCGGATTGTTGAGTTGGCTTCGGGTAACAAACACGCTGAGATTCCAGCTGCCTTTGAGACTCTACTCAGGGAGGGATTGACCCCCACGGTGGATGCTTACAATGCTTTGCTGGAGGCGGCTGTTCGGCTCCATACCGATGTTTCCCAGGCCATTCCGAAAGCGCTTGATGTCTACTCCGACATGCTTCGTCGTAGGGTAGTACCCGACGAAGACACGTACCGGACTCTGGTTCAGTTGTTCGTTACCCGCGCTCACGATGCCATCGAGGCCAAGGGAGCGCTGGAACACGACCGAGTTCGCTACGGTGGAATGGAGGAACCCGGCAAGTTCATGCTTCACTCGAGTGAATTGGAGCATGATCTGCTTGTGGAAGACCACTCCCTTGGCATTGCCCTGAAGCTCTTCAAGACTGCGATTACCCGCCATCCCAATCTTGTGTTCCCGTCCGACCTGTACCCCCGTCTGGTTACCGCTTGCGCAAAGGAGGGCAAGGTTGAGGATATGGTTCGCATCTACGCCCACATGGAAAGCCACAAAGTGACTCCTCATGCCTCGATTTTCCCGTCCATGATCGAAGCTTTTGCCTCGATGGGAGATCTGCAGAGCGCTGTCGAGTGTTACAACGAGTACCGGACTTTGGCTGTTTCGGACGACAGCGGTGTCTTCAGCGTTATCCAGCGTTTGGATGGTGATGTTTACGCGGCAGTGATCCGGGCATATCTGTCCTGCGGCAAAGAGGAGGCTGCCCAGCGCTTCCTCGAGCGTATCCGTTCGTCCTTTGAGGTGGCCGAAAACCGCGAGGTTCGTCAGAGCGCCGTTGAATCGGTCATCACGCAAAACGCCACGGTCCGTCACTATCTTCAATCGGGCCAGCATGAGAAGGCTCTTGAGGAAGCCAAAGCACAGTTGAAGGATGAGACATTGGTTCAAGCGATGGCAGAAATCTGTGTTGCGGCGGCCGACGCTGGAAGCATTCAAACCGCCACTGAAGCATACGGTCGCCTCCCGTCCGACGAAGCTCGCCAGGGATCCGCGGTTTCAATGCTGGCGTTGCATGTTCGCCAAGGCAATGTGCCGGCGGCCCGGCCCTTCTGGCGTCTGCTGACGTCCGCAGGTCAGGCAACGTCGGACATGGTTCAGCCGACGACCATGTATTCGGTGGCCCTGCTGAAGAGTGGCCAGATCGACGAGGCTCTAGTCGAGGCCCGCAATATGTTCGCTCGCATCCGCTCCGCCGTCCCCAACCTCAACAATCATCTTGTCGCCTCTGTTCGTGAACAGATCAACGAATCTATCGACCTCATCGGCCGGGTCCTGATGCAGAAAATGGGCCCTGCCATTCCTCCTCAGGCGGCCATGGTCCTCCTCTGGTCTATGGTTGAGAATGGAGGATTGTTATCGCCAGTGGCAGACCACGCGGTCGCCAGCCTCGGTCCTATGGCTATCTCTCAGCTCGTCCCTCGCGACCTTCTTCTCGTTCTTCAGGTCCAGGCTGGTATGCTGATCAACAACCGCGCCATGCCCTTCGATGTCTCCCACCAGGTCCGTTTTGCCCACTTGCTTGAGGTTGCCATGTCCACCAGTCTTCCATTGGATCAATTCACCACGGGCCTCGTTGACCAGGCTGCTTCCAGCCTGGTCACCTGCCGTCCTGATGTGGTCCAGCGGTGGCATGATCACTTGGGTTTGATGTCAAGCCCATCGTCCTTTGTCTCCGACCGTCGCACCCCGGTATCGGAGCCTTCCACTGGGATGAGCTCCATGCCTGAGGATTCTTTCGACCCTTACGCTTATGCCACCGACTTCCGTGGATCTGCCCTCATTGCCGATCAGTTGGAGAGCGCTGGCCGTCTCGAATCTCACCTGAACGATGCGTTGCTCCGTCTCAAGAACATGCGCCGCGCTGGACGTCACCCTCGCTACATCACCTACGCTAAGTTGATCACCGCCGCTGCCAAGGTTAACCGCGTCGATCTGGTCAATGAAATTTGCTCCATGGCCCGACGTGATGTGCCACTTACTGCTCAGTACCACGCGGTCAAGTACGGATGGGTCTCGATTTTTGACGCCATGGTCGCCGCCTGCCTCACCCTTGGGGACCGCAAGCTGGCTTCGAAGTTCCACCAGGAGCTTCTGGACCTTGGTGCTGCTCCTTCGGCCAACACATTCGGTCTCTACATCACGACTCTCAAGGAATCTACCAAGACGTTCGACGAGGCTACTGAAGCTATGAAGATCTTCCACCGTGCTGTCGCCGAGGGTGTCGAGCCGACCTCTTTCCTGTACAACGCGCTCATTGGCAAGCTTGGCAAGGCTCGTCGGATCGACGACTGTCTGGTTTACTTTGCTGAGATGCGTGCCAACAACGTCCGCCCCACCAGTGTCACCTATGGTACTATCGTCAACGCACTGTGCCGTGTCAGCGATGAGCGCTTCGCCGAAGAGATGTTTGAGGAGATGGAGTCGATGCCCAACTACAAGCCCCGACCGGCCCCGTACAACTCGATGATCCAGTACTTTCTCAACACCAAGCGCGACCGCAGCAAGGTTTTGGCCTACTATGAGCGCATGCAGTCCCGCAAGATTTCGCCCACGATGCACACCTACAAACTGCTCATCGACGCGCATGCTTCTTTGGAGCCGGTTGATATGGCCGCCGCCGAGAAGGTGCTGGAGACAATTAAGTCGACTGGTCAGCACCCCGAAGCGGTTCACTACGCATCCCTCATCCACGCCAAGGGCTGTGTGATGCACGACATTGATGCAGCGCGCGAGGTCTTCCAATCTGTTGTGTCGAGCGGCAAGGTCCGTCTGCAGCCTTGTTTATACCAGGCCCTCCTCGAGGCGATGGTGACCAACCGTCGTGTGCACGAGACCAGCGATATCGTCAAAGGCATGGCCAACCGCAAGGTGGACATGACTGCGTACATTGCCAACACCTTGATCAACGGCTGGGCTGTTGAGAGTGATGTTGCCAAGGCCAAGGCTATCTATGACAGCATTGGCATTAACAAGCGTGAGCCCAGTACCTACGAGGCCATGACCCGTGCTTTCCTGGGTGCGCAGGACCGCGAAGGTGCCTCTGGCATTGTCAAGGAGATGCTTTCTCGTGGATACCCTCCTGCCGTGGCCAACAAGATCCTGGATCTGGTTGGCGAGACTGCTGCCATCTAAACTCATTTCTTTACCATTTCTTCCTATTTCTTTTCTAATATGTCTGACATCTGTCACCGGGGCTGGATCCCTCTCTTCTTCTGTTTCCAGCCCGATGGCCTTTGCATAGGCATTTTGGGAGGTAACATTCGGTTTTCTCTTTTCTTCACATTTTGATATCCTTTGATTTTGCATTCAGCGAGCGGGATGATAAAAAAGAATGGCGTTATGGGTTTTGATTTCAAAAGAAAGAAAAAGACTATATCTGGTTTTATAATGACGGTGTTTGCATGTATGTATACCACGGGTTATGCTTTTCTTTCTTGTTTTATAGACGACTCTCAACTCCTCTTCAAGGATGGAAATATATGCATTTGCTATCCTCATTGGTTTACTGTAAGATTTTGGTCATTCAGTAGTCTCGCGTCTGCATAGAATGGAGAGTATGACCAAAATGGCAATCCCCGCTAACCCCGCCGCATTCATATTCCGATTTCTTCCTCTTCTCACCACCTCAGGTTGAAGATACATTCTCTCGTTTATACTTCTGTTATTGTTAATTCCAGTATATGCTTATTCTTCGCCGGCCAGCTGGTCGCTTCTACCCACATCGCATATCATTGCAATCGCACCGTTTCTTCTCAATGACGTCCGAATCATCAGCTCGCAAGACCAGCATGGGAGCAGACCACGACCACGAGTCCCGGCGGCCAAAGAAGCTAATTTGTACGTCTCAAGAACCATCCATGAGAAAACTTAAGCTAAATATACTATGAAGTCGCCCCAGGAGACATCCAAGCAACCCCCGACCTCAAAATCTCATCCTCCGAAACCTCCGACCCCTCAGCATCCGGCTCAAACCCACACCCCTCTACCACCCATGATGCCGTCCAAGAACAAGAACAAGAAACCCTCCGCTCCGAAATCTCAACCCCCGACTCAACCACCGAGCAACAACTCGTCTCCCACCCCTCCCGCGCCCACCAATTCATCCGCAACCCCCCACTAACAATCTCCCAAATTCACCCCTCCAACCCACTCCACCAATTCCACACTTGGTTCCGCGATCCGAGACTCACGCCATCGCTTGCGCCGGAGACGTGTACCCTTGCTACGGCTTCGTTGCCGTCGGGACGGGTTAGTGCGCGGATGGTGTATCTGAAGGAGTTGGATGAGAGGGGGTGGGTTGTATATAGTAACTGGGGGAGTAGGGAAGGGAAGGGCGGGCAGGTTTTTGGTGCTGATGATGGGGAGGGGCTGGAGCATTTGGGGAATAAATGGGGTGCGTTGACGTTCGCCTGGTCGACTGTTGAGCGACAGGTACGCATCGAGGGTCTACTGGAGCGTCTCACCCGCGAAGAGAGCGAGATGTACTGGCGCACAAGAGAACGGGAAAGCCAACTCGGCGCATGGGCTAGCTGGCAGAGTAAAGTCCTCTGGTCCGCTGAACCAGACATCCTACTTGAGACCCGCCGGAAGAGTCTCGCCGAGAAACCAGAGGTCCCAGCAGACATGGACGAGACGGATGTCCCCGACGGGCGCGAGGTGCTTGAGCAGCGGGTGAACGAGATGAGGGAAAGGTTCAAGGATGTGGAGGATATTCCGCTGCCGCCGTTTTGGGGTGGTGTGAGGTTGGTGCCGGAGAGTGTGGAGTTTTGGCAGGGGAGGAAGAGTCGGTTGCATGATCGGTTTCGGTATGTGAGGGTGCATGAGCGTGATGAGGAGGAGGGGGAGTCGTTGTATAGGTGGAGGATTCAGAGGCTTTCTCCGTAGTATACGTATTTTTAGATTGGTGTATTGGTGTATTGGTATATAGATATTTCCCTATTCGGTAGCCAAGACAAATCCCCGGATCGTCAATCAGCTTCACGTCGCGTTTCCTATTCAATTACAGATCAATACAATCATCTATAGTATACAAAGACACAATTAAACCACCATGGCTGAAAAGCAACAAAAGCAAGAACAAAAACAACAGCCGCAACCACAAACCCGCCAACCACGCTGGCTCCTCTTAGCCATCGCCAGCGGCGCCTTTGCGGCCATGAACGGCGTATTCGCCAAATTGTACGTCTACATGACCACGAATGTATATCAATTGCTAATGATAAATAGAACAACAGACACCCAAACCGCCTCCCTGACCAAATTCCTAAATCCCAATGACAATCCCACGCTGGAATTGGTTATCCGGGGTGTATGTCTCCCTTTCCCTTTCCCTTTCCCTTTTCCTTCCCTTCACCAACCATCCAAACCACCCAAACCCCAACGCAATATTAACGAAAACAGTCCTTCCTCGCCCTAAACATGCTCAGTAACATAATAATGTGGGCTCTCTTCACGCGCGCCCTCACCGCATCCCCCTCCACAACCAAAGTCTCCATCACCAATACATCCGCGAATTTCCTGGTTACGGCGATGCTGGGGATGCTTGTTTTTAAGGAGTCTGTTGGTGGATTGTGGTGGGTTGGGGCGGGGATGATGGGGGGTGGGTGTATTCTTGTTGGTATGAGGGATTCTTGATTTTCTACTTGTGTTGGTTGGGTATGGTGGTGGTATGAGGATGCCAGATCCTGGTCTAATGCTGGTGTATATGTACTATACAAGCGAAAGCAAATAGCAAGGAAACAAGGTAACAAGGTGTGCTGTTGTATTATCGTCTCTCCTCCAACTCAACAAGTCCCTCGTCGTCCTCCGTCCCCTCCAATATACGACTGGTCTCCTGGGGCTCAAACCCATCCGCACTCGGTCGAGCACGCGCAGTCGCAGGCGCTGTCTGCCACCAGGGTAACTTCCCCCGTATTCTTTGCATAAAACTCCACACCTTATCCTCCAGCGAAGGGGCTTCTGGATTGCGCCCATTTCCATTTCCAAGGCTGTTATCCCCATACATATCAGGCCCATTCGTCGCTGCGAGCGCATGTTCCTCCGCTTCTACCTTGAATTGGTATTTCAGGCAGTCCTTGACGGTTACCAGACCCATGAGGCGGCCGCGGTGCTCGACGAGGATGACACGGGGGCCCATTTTCTTGAAGATTTCCATGACGGTTTCGAGAGGGAGACGCGGGTGGACGGTAAGCGGCGTGTGGTCGACATACCGGCTAAAGTCGACGTGGTTCGCGCCCACACTTGATTGGATGCCGTCGAAGGTATCGATGTTTCTCGATGATACGGATGCCCTGCGTGCTACCATCGCTTCCGCAGCTTCCTTAGTAAACACGCACTGCGCGTTCGGTGCGAGAATACCCTCGTTCCGCGCACGGTCAGTAGCATATCGCAGCTCCATGCGTCCGATATATCCAACGAGGATCTTATTCGTGCGGTCCTCAACGATCGGGAATCCTTGGAATTTGTTATCGCCCAGGAGACGCTCTGCTTCGCGGACGGGGAAGCCCGAGGCCGGGAGGGCGACGGGGTCGCCAGTCATGGCGTGGGAGACGGGGACGTTGAAGACGTGGTCTTCTTTGTTGTCGAGGAAGGGGAAGCCGTTTGACCAGATCATGCGGTCTGCTATGCCGCCGTTGCCGAAGCGGTCGCTTACGGCTTTGGTTACGCCGACAACGATCTAGATTTTTAGCATGTAGTAAGAGCGTGGTGGAGGGGGGTTGGCTCACCATAGTGGGAAGGATGTAGGTCAGTGCTCCGGTTAGTTCGAACATGATGACGGTTACGGAAATAGTCAAATGCATGATACCACTCAGAGCTGCAGCTGCACCCAGGAAAGCGTATGTTCCCGGCGTAATACAGGGAACATCAGGCTCGCAGTTTGCGAAAAAGGAGGAATCCGGGAAAGACTCGTGGAGAGCTTGGACGAGGATTCCCACTAGACGACCAAACGATGCACCGATGGCCATCGACGGCACGAAGATACCCGCGGGTACCTTGCAGCCGTAGGATATGATAACCAAGAAAATGCGAAGGAGAGTCGCAATGGACAATGAAAGGACCATTCCCCATCTGTTCTTAGCACTGTTCATCGTTAGAGAAATTGTAGATTGATTTGACCAAGACACTTACTCGCAAAGACCATTGTAGTCATGGGCTCCTTCACATTCCCGGAACAGAATTTCCATCATTTCCGTCATGTTGATTTTCAAGAACATGTTCGGGAAGCAGAGAATAGCGGTTATACCAGCCAGGACCACAGACTCCGTGATGGGATATTGCGACAAGTACTTCTTCCTGAATGCCTGGACTCGGAGGTTCCACTTGATCACAAATGCTCCGTATAGCCCACCAAACACGCCAAGGCAGACGAAGAATATCAGTTCGAAAAAGTGCCATGTGCGGTCATACTGGACCTGGAACATGACCAATTGTCCGGTTCGGAAAGGGTTCATTGCGGCCAGTACACTGGTCGCAACCAAGGCGCAAAAGTAGCTCCGCCAGAGGGTCTTAAGAGGGAAATACGACGCCATTTCCTGAGACAGTCAGCATTGTCCACTCGTTGAGAATGATAGAAACCCACCTCTAGTGAGAATAAGACACCTCCAATCGGACTACCAAAAGCCACCGCTACACCAGCGGCAGCCGTCGCCGTCAAGATCTCCCGGGTCTTGGAGGCATTCTGCCTATACTTGCTGAAGAAGCGCGAGATGATATTCCCCGTGCAAACGGCAAAATGCACACTTGGTCCTTCTTTACCCACCGAAAGACCAGAGGCAATAGCCAATGGCAACCCGATAGACTTGATTAGCAACGTCCACGCGCCCAGAAAGCCCTTCATGACGAAGCCGGCAATGATACATTTTATCTCTGATATACCGGAGCCTGCGGCGTATGGTGCGAACGACTTGACCAAGGTTGCGGAAATGAGGGCAAAGAGGATCTATCGTCTCAAGTCAGTCCAGCCATCCAGATGCGCACGGGGGCGCAACGTACCGCAAAGAAGAAATATATGATATAATTCAAAAACCAAAATGGCGTCCAGTTTTTCCACTCAGGACAACCACCCTCAGCGCCCCAGCAACAGAACTGCTCATTCAGGTAGAACCCAGTAGTACAATACCCCAGCTTAACATCCGACAACCACTCCGTAATAATATTCAATAGCGCCGAATTCAAGCCAATCGCCGCGCCCACAATCGTAACAACAAGCCACGCCTGTCCAGCATCGTACGACTCGCTCACTTTCCGTCTCCATCCAAAGGCACCCTCATGTTCCCAGAACCCGAAGCCTTCTCGACGTTTCGCTCGTCTCCGCGCCTGCTCGTGCACTGCATCTTGAACCCAGTCGATCGTCGTAAAGTCTTCGTAGCGCTTGATTTCGTCGATTTCTTCTGTTATCAGGGGTGGTTGGCCATTGTCGTTGGCGGGTGGTCTATGCGACTCGGCGGCGGGAGAGGAAACAGATAGGCCTGAGGTTCTCCTCCAACCCTGTCGCTCGGTTGCGACTGAGGGGGAACGGATGGAGATTGACGAGGTACGAGTTGGGATCATACCATCGGTTGGGCATGCGAGGGGGGCATAATCGTAATCGAGGTTGACTGGTGTTGCGATGCGATGGTTGTCGAGACGAGGAGCGATATACTGCCCGCCCACGTGAGGGAAGCTTTTCCGTTTTAGATAAGGTGTGATTCAAGGCGAAGATAGAGAGCTGTAATAGACAGTTGTTATATGGTATTTTCCTAATGTTTTATAATATAGCAGAGTATTGTACCTTAGCGAATTGAGACGAAGTGTCTGGTACAGTAGTTGGAGTTGTCCCATTGAACGCCGAACGCGCTCCGCGATTTCTTACAGCGACACGACTTCCCGACAACGAAGCCACCAACCCATCCCAGTTTACTTACGATATACTGGTCTATATCGATATTCTACGTACTTTTTATACCCGGAATTGCAAATATCGCACCATGTCTTCCAAAGACGCCCCCGAACCCTCCGATGAAATCACCGGCCAGAGCGCTCTTCCCAGTGAGTGAAATCGCGAGAATACGTCTAGACACAAGTCACTGACCAGCTCCTTCTACTACTGCAGTCTCCCGGATAAAAAAAATTATTCAACTGGACGACGATATCGTACAATGTTCAACCAACGCTACATTTGTGATCTCCGTGGCCACGGTTCGTCCTCGTCTCTCTTTTTGCTAGGTGGACTCTGGCTAATGATTCCCGGTGTTGTGTAGGAAATGTTCATCCAATACCTCGCAGAGCAAGGGCATAACGTCGTCAAATCCGAACGGAAACCACGAAAGACCATACAATACAAGGACTTGGGTCAGTCACCTCCAGACCTGGGAGACAAGATTCGAGACTGATGCTAATACGCTACGAATAGCTACGGCAGTTTCCCGGATAGACAACCTCGAATTCCTCTCCGACGTGATCCCCAAGACCACCACTTATAAGCAATTCAAGGAAAAGAAGGCGAAGGAGGGCCCCGTGAAATCCGGCGGAATCGAAAAGGGACAGCGCACACTGAACGGAACCAAGTCGTCGAAGTCGAAATCGTTGAAACCAAAGGTTAATGGGGATTCAATAGACCAGGATCGACCGTCGACGGAGGAGCCATTGCGGAGTTCCGGGGCACCGATTACTCTGGTCGTGGATCGGACAGTCGAGGGGGGATCCAAGGAGCAGGACCGTGACGTGGAAATGACCGACCAATGAAAGATAATAGTATCCGGGTATTGCATGGAGTTTGGTGTTGGGTATCTTCGTTTGATTGTTCTGGTTTGGTAGTTTTGTGCGATGATTGTCATGACTGCATTGGTTCGCTGGACTGTCAGATTCTGCCGGTAGATTTCAATCAAGAACATCCCAATAAAAGAGAAGAATAAGGCATTGTGTACAGAATAGAAAAACAGTCTGTATAGTTCTCTCTAGGTAAGAAATGCAGTGTAGCTTAGTCAGCCACCAGCCAATGAGCGCCCCCGTGATTCCGAAGCGAAGGCTCTGGTTCGACCGACTTGGTCCGTATGCCGTTCCGACTTCACCTCGAAAGAACTTCCTGACTTCATTCCCACCAACACCCCCGTCCACCTCCTCCCTCCCACACCCGCCACGACTGCAATTGTTAGCCTCAATTGCTATCTCCCCTCTCGCCCGTCATGGCTCTCTCCGCCGCTTCCGGTTCTATGCTGCGTGTTTGCGCTCGCCAGCAGCTGCCCACCACCTCCCGCGCCGCCATCGCCTCCTGCCAACAGCAGAGGGGAGTCGCTTCGTCGTTCGACAGCCCCTTCGGCCCCGCCTCTAAGGACTCCACCTACAAGATTCCCGACTTCAGCAAGTACCAGAGCAAGAAGAGCCCTCGTTCGAACCAGGTCTTCTCCTACTTCATGGCCGGTACCATGGGTTTGGCTTCCGCTGTCGGCGCCAAGGCTACTGTTCAGGGTAGGTCTCGACATGACTCTAGTGGGATATGGAATAAAGCAGCTTGGATGGATTGGGAGCATAATTGGAATGGAAGGAGACTGGTCGCAGGAACTGGGGGCTGATGCGATTCCTACAGACTTCTTGGTGAACATGTCCGCCTCCGCTGATGTCCTGGCCCAGGCCAAGGTTGAGGTTGGCCTTGGTGCCATCCCTGAGGGCAAGAATGTACGTTTTCCTCGCTGGTTTTCCGTGGCAACGACGATCAGTCTAATCTGTGAAATAGGTCATCATCAAGTGGCGTGGCAAGCCCGTGTTCATCCGTCACCGTACCCAGGAAGAAATCGACGAGGCCAACAAGATCGACGTCGCTTCCCTCCGTGACCCCCAGGCCGATGAGGAGCGTGTACAGGACCCCAAGTGGCTGGTTATGCTTGGTATGTTTAAATTGCGGATTGTGACGGAATCAACAACACAAGGCTAATATTACCCTTTTCAGGTGTCTGCACACACCTTGGTTGTGTCCCCATTGGTGAGGCCGGTGACTATGGTGGCTGGTTCTGCCCTTGCCACGGTTCTCACTACGATATCTCCGGCCGTATCAGGAAGGGCCCTGCTCCTCTCAACCTCGAGGTTCCTTCGTACAACTTCAACGAGGATGATACCATGATCATCGGTTAAACGATGACGAGAAAAGATATGGAATCGTTGGTTGGGAGCGATGTGAGATAGCATCATAGACCGTTGGACACGAGAATGGGAAGATAGAAAGGTTTGTGTGTATGTTTTTACATCTCTTCTTTCATGTCTTTTGTCAAGATTTGAAAAAAGGGATCTTTTGTTTTAATAGGTATGGACAAAAATGAGCCGCATGTTTCTTTTCCTATCAGGTTATGCTCATAGAGCCTGTCTGTATCACAACTCTCGCTGTCTGTGGAGAGTCAACAGGGAGGGTTATAGGCATATATTCCTTACCGCGTTGCTTTCCTGATACCTACAGTACAGTCGACTACCCTGTCCTTATATATTTAGCATGCAAGTTTATTTCTTTTGTTCAATGTTCAATGTAAATGTATTTTTCATCTCTTCATCATACATATCCATAATCAACAGTAACAAAACAAAACATAGTCATTCAATCGTATACAACCAACTATCCAACCATCCATCCATCCATTTCACCATCCCTCGACGCTGTACAATTGTACAAGAAAAAGGACTATCTAAATATCTCTATATCATCACTGGAAAGAAAAAAAGAAATATACACAGTCATAACATGTGAAAACCTGATCTGATATGACACAAAATGGCACAGCATGGCATACAAGATGGATTATAATATAAACAGGAAAGAAAAAAAACCCAACCAACCAACATAAATACATACAACCTGTGGTCTTTTTTTTTTTTTTTTTTTTTTTTTTTTTTTCTTTTGGCTCTTGGGGTTAAGTGAGAGGCCTACCGCGGTCGAATAAGCGCAATCACAAGACCCATAACCGCCGCACCGGCCGCGGCACTCTGTATGGCAACGGTAGTAAGATCGTGCTGTGTGATGAGGATGAGGGTACGAGAGCTGAGAAGGTCATCGAGGGTACGACGCCACGAGTCGACGGTTGTAGAGGGAGGGGAGATGTGCGAGAGTTGGGACTTGCTGAAATCGAGGTAGTTCTGGTCTGTTTGTGTTGCTATAGAGGCAGGGGTTTCGGATGTTTGTTCCTGAACGGAGTCCTTGGTTTTCGTGGCGGCGGTGGCGGTAGCTGTAGCCGCGGCTGTAGCGGCCGCGAGTTGTTGCTGGTGCTCTTCGTAGGTGAGGGCTTTTTCCTTCTCCAGGGCTTCGATGACTTTCTCTTCGAAGCCCTTGACGAGTCGTCTGCGGCGCCAGGGTTCCACGCCGATTTGGAAGATGAGGAAGAGGAAGACGTTGACACCCATCAAACCCCAGGTACCCCAAGTACTCATGCGGCGGATTTTATCCGACCAGACCTGTTCTTCGTGGTACCGGGAGAGGATGCTTCTGCTTAGTTTTGTAGCGGATTCTTCGGCTTCGCGCTCGGCTTTGGAGAGGGCTTCTTGGGCATCCACTTCGGCGACCTCGTTGGTGTGGTCGTTGCGGTAGAGGTGGGTGAAGCGTTCGAGGTCAGAGGCGGACCAGGCGTGTTTGCGTTGGAGGAGTTCGTTGACTTCGCGTTGGGAGGTGGAGCGGCGGTTGATGGCGGATGCATAGTCGTCTTTTGCTTCGCGGACGTGACGACGAGCGGATCGAAGGCGTTCCTCTAAACCAATTGTCAGAGATATTCCCAATTCATATGGTGTTGGAAGATATACCTTGGGTCTCGATTTCCTTCTTCAATGCCTCGATAGACGAATACCCAGTCAAATCATTCAACCGCTGCCCAGCCACGAAAACATTCGATTGCAGATTATCCATCATCTCTGTGAACTGCTTGGAATACCGTGACCTGCGGTTCTCCAAATACGACGGAAGCCCTCTTCCCTTGCCACTGCCATTTCCGATATCCTTATCCTTGTTCCCATCCGAACCCTGCCTCTGCGCATATTGTGCATTCTCAGCACTCACCCTGCTCGCAAATAAATCCCGCTGCTGCTGAGACTCCGTATTCAAATTCGCATGCACATCACTCGACTTGGGCACGTCTGCTTCCTGCGGCAGCGTAAAAGCCAAGTTGTGTTCCGAGCTCTCCTTTGGAGCTGAAGTTGAAGCCGGAGCCGAAGCTCCAGCCTCCGCCTTTCCACCCTCCTTCACATTATTATTTCCTTCTGTTTCTTGAGAGTAGAATCGAACACGCGAATGGAATTGACGCCGTCGACCAACCGAAAGCCCCAGTATCGACCCATTATTCCCCTTGAGCAGGGCGCTCGGAGCAGCGGACGGAATACGTATCGGACGGATAGCGGTGGTAGCGGTGGTAGTAGTAGACCTCGACAGCGTAGAGAGTCCCGGGGCCTTGAGAGACTGCCGGAGCAGCAATGGCATGGACTGCATGACCAGTGTCAATGGCCACGGGGGGATGCGAGTCAACCAGTTGCTTTTTTTATGTATGTGTTTTGACTCGTGCTGTAAGAACAGAATCGGATGGAAATTGGTGGTGGAGGGATATTCCCGGCAGCTGAAAGCGGTGCGCAGCTGGCATCGGAAGGGCGGTGGCGGTTTCTTTTCGAGCTGAGCTTCAGCCCGACACGGCTAGTAGTTTTTATATATGGGAATAGTAGTGCGTTAGAAGGTGCTAACGAGGAATTATTACTCCGTACTGCTCACACAGCTCGCTATTTTGTAGGGAATCAGCCCTGGTGGCTCAATTGGTGCTGTGTCTTACCCCACATCAGCTTCGGATATATATCGATGGCTGGGCTTCAATGCCCTACCAGAGTGAAGCAATTGACCAGATGCAGGTACCCATAGTGATATGGATTGGGCGCCATGGTTTGATTACTACAAATATACTATGGATGTCGAGACAGAATTCCAACCCATGAACCCACGGATTCAATGAACAAGCCTAACGATGAGCAGACCACTCGATGCACTCGATGGGCAGCTATGAGAAATGAAGGAAAAAAGACATAATGAGAAAGAAGCAGCCGGTGTACAATAAACCATGCCAATACAACTCCAAAGAACAACCCGAAAACAAAAGAAAAAGAGCAAGAGAGTGAAGATACGAGGGTATTATGAACTGGCCAAAGCCATGGTATGGGTATCCTTCACCATTCCCACCATGGCACCACTTAATCCTGCGTCTGCACCTTGTGGTCCCCCTTCACAGCCTCAGCATACGTAGGCGGAGCATGAGCATGACCCTCGCTGCTGCCCTGGCCACCATCACCACCGTGTGGCTCATCAGAGTATGGTGTGGGAGCAGGCGCATTCTTGGAAGCTGGTGCGCCAGGCTGGTTTCCAACAGTACCGTAGGTTCTCACAGTAGGAGGGTTCTGGTAGGGCTCGCGGGAAACGTAGTAGTATGTCACACGCCCTTGTTCAGGGTCCTGTCGCGAACCGCTCGAACCGCCAGGGATGGCTTGGTAGTTGGGATCATCGTCATCGGGCTCTGGGTTTTTGATGATTATGTACCATGCGTGGAGGAGACCGGGGACGTAGCCGAGGCAGCAAAGGGCGAGGTTGATGATTGAGTCGGCCGTGCAGATTCCTACCTTGACCCAGACTGTTGAAGTTAGCGACTATATCTACTAAATAGAGACAAATGCAAGCGATTCTTATCGCGATGCGAACTGGTAGATCGAGTGAGCTTACCTGAAACAGGTGGGAAGAAGACGGCGAGAATTCCAAGGAAGAGGTCTGAACCGCACATGTTTGCGACAGTAGGATAGCCACGGTCTTCAAAAACGTCTACCACGCGAAAAGGTCGATGTGTATTGTATGTCAGTGCTGTTGCTCTAAACAAATAATCAAGCAGCGGGTTGAAGCAAAGATGGGGTAATCAAGAAGTTCTCCTGCGACGATGGCGAAGCGCAAAAAGGATGATGCCTTGCCGGTCAGATGACGTCTGGAGTCACCTGACCTCGCGGGGTCGCATACAAAGAGATCTCAGTTGATATCGCTGATTCGCAAGAAAAAAGAGCTTGATTCTTATCAATTGCTACGAATATAAATCTTGAAGACTGGATTGGTTAGTTTGCTCAGGTCCACCATGACATTTGGACGATCCCGATGCATTCTACGGAGCACCCTCTACTATTCGACCCCGAACTGGACATAAATGTGATAAATATATACTATGCTGACCCTCGGGGAATTTAGATCTATGGATTGAGTGTGATACATCGATCCTGACATGGACCGAAGAATTGCCATATTTTGAGTATTCTGCATTCCGCCGTGATATATCTTCACTTAAATTTTGGACCTGGAGAGGAATCTCATATGGCAGAATATTCACTCAGGAGGGCCTGATCTTTAGGTTTACTTTTCAATGAGAGAAATACAGACATACAGGATAATAATCTGTTGGAGTGCAGCGACGTAGGATTAACATACTACTACTGCAGGACCGTTCAGTTCATCCTGCACTGGGGCATGATCCACCTCGAAACACCACGATCTGTTCGAATGTGGAGTCATCCAGCGTGTTGGTGCATGTATCCTCCAGTAGGACATTGTAACTGACTGCCAGTACATACAGAGTACAGATGCATGCATCCGGCATCTTGACTGAATCTTTATATTGCTGCGATGCAGGTCTCAGTGTGTCCAAACCGAGACTAAGATAGACTCCGAAACGGTGCGAAACGCCGAACCAGATGGCGCAATTCAATTCTTCCGCACCAGCCAGGGGTCCGTATTTCCGTACTCCGTATGCTTCTCTGCAGTTGCTGTGCCACATAACTGATTCACCATGTTTGGTCGCCAGCCTCGCGTTCCTGCATATGTTCCTGGCTTTTGTCCGGTTGTTTACTGACTCGCGGGGGAGTGTTGCTTTATCCCCTCTTGCTCTCTGCAGTATCCGGAACAACCCCTCCAACCATTCCCAACCAACAGAGCGGCCCGTCGATCGAACCTCTGTTCAGCAATTGGTGGATCTCCCACAACCTTACAGAGAGCCGGCGGGCGTTTAATTATGATTAGCTTCTCGTTTAGCTCCATTTCCCCTTTGTGATTCTTCTGTTCGGTGAACAAAATTTCCCCATTCTCCCTGCAGTTTTGGGGGATTGTCTCTGCATGAATCAATTTCTCGATGGTTTCTTTGCTAGTCCTGGTCTGCACTGTGTAATTATAGACACACGGACTGCAGATTCACCAGTGTATTGATAAACACACCAGGCCCCCGTGACTTTCTCGTGGGTGCTTTTGGCTTAGACCAGAGGAAGCAATCGCCGCCATCATCTCTCGCTTCATCCCTCATTTCTTTTTCTCTTTCTTTAATTCCTTCCAAATTCCCCTTCTCTTTTCCTTTTCAGGGCATTAGTTGTCTTTCCCCCCCATTCTCTGAGTGGCCTCTTATCAGGCCCTTTTCTAGCCACTCCCTATTCTCTCTCTCTCTCTTTTTTTTTTTTTTTTTTTTTTTCTCCGCGGTTCTTGCTCGGTCGTGGGGAACCAGCCACTCGTTTACTCTTCAATTGTCTTCTTCGCTCCAGACTTCCTTCCTGCTTTCTTTGGACCTATATCGGGATCGACACGCGTTTATACCGACCGGAGTGCTATTGTCGTTGGCTTTCCCCCCCCCCCCCCCCCCCCCGAGACCGTGAATTGTATCGAAGCAAACAAGACCATGAAGATTCCTTTCTCGCCATTAATTCGATAGTTAATCACCAATTCCTGTATTGACGCTCCTAACCGTCGACGTTTCATAACCGAACCGCTGTTATTGTTCTTTTATACGACCGGCGTGTGACAGCAGTTTCCAATCGGGGCTCAACCATGTCCGGCTCTTGCATGTCCCTGTCAGGGTCGACGCTATGTCCCGCCTTTAATGCCTCTTCGATATCGACCAGTTCCAGTCTTTACTCCGATTTGTGTGTTTATCCGTTGAGACTGGGTTTCTTGTTTTCCTGGCTGACTGCAACAGTCCCTTTATGCGAAATGTCTCGAGCCTCTCGGACTTTGACGATGCGTTGAGCAACTACGTCAATGGAACCTACATCAAGTCCAAGTGCGTACAGTCTCTGAAGCAGTGCAAAGACATTCAACTAAACCATGGTCTTTGATTAGGTATGAGAACTACCTGGGTTGCCAGGGAGCTAATCTCACCGACACCAATGACTACTACGCCCGCTACACAACTAGCGCAGTTTGCAACGGCTTGGTTCAAAGCTCAAAGGATGATTGCAACCTATCCGATGACGAGTCAAAACCGCTTTGTGCAGACACTTGTGTTCGTCTCACCCCATTTCGTCTGCCGATCAACATGTGTACTAACAAGTGCGACAGGCCTTGATGGCGACGAGCGAGCAGGAGATCGTGGTCAATTCCGACTTGTGCCCCGGATTAAGCGACGATTATATGAGCCATATTCGTTCCGACTTTACCGTGTGCGCTCTGCCGGCTGACTCGCTGACCGGTACCTGTATATCAGGAGCCGACAATGAACCCGATGAGTGCGGATATGGACCGAATGTGATGGGATTGTGTGGTTATTGCGCAGGGAGCTCTACCAACTCGACCGATTCCTGCTGTACGAATGCGAATGCCGCAAGCCGGTGCAAAGATGTAACCGTGCCAACCACGACCGCATCTTTGCCACCTCTCATGCCGTCCTCTTCATCCAATTCGACAGGAAACGATGCTGGCTCCCATCATGGTCTTTCAGGAGGCCAGATCGCGGGTGCCGTCGTTGGATCTGTTGCTGGATTCGCGATATTAGTCGCTCTGATTGTACTTGCCCTGATATGCCTACGGCGCAAGCGCCGCACGCAGAGTGACACTGCTTTGAATCAACCGAACCCGCAAAGAAGAGGCTTTGCGCCGATGCAGAATCCTTCGGACAACCCGGGAATGGTAATGATACCTGGTGGCCGGGTGGCCAGGATGTCTGCCCTGCGAGAAATGCCGAGCTTAACCTCTAGGCGCTCCCGCCGCACCTTTTTCGGTGGCAGCAGCACCAAGTACACTACTGAGCCCTCCGAATCAGAAGCACCGAGCGCGAGCCCCGGATGGATGTCGAGGCAGATTCCCCCCGTTACCGGGAAGCGACTTGGCTCACTCACGAGCAGCTCGTTTTTGGCTGCTAGTAGCGATACGTCTCCTCGTTCGGGAACAAAACTCTCTTCCCCCGAGGTATCAAGCCAATCCGAACAGATGTCGTCCTTCCAAGATTATTACTCGCAGGATAATATCCACCCTGGTGACCGGGTCGCTGTTCTCTGGGCGTATCAGCCACGCGCAGGCGATGAGTTCTCATTGGACCGTGGAGAAATACTGAAAATAATCGGCATCTGGGATGATGGCTGGGCAACTGGCGTACGCCTTTCAGAAAGTGCCGAAAATGATGGTTTCAAGCATCGCGAACAGCGTGATAGTGGGGTGTCACAGGGTTCGCACCTGATGCCCTCACCAGCTCCAACAGGAGATATAAAGGCGTTCCCACTGGTTTGCGTCTGTCTCCCACAACACTGGAAGAAGATCATCGATGGCGCTGGTGAGGCAGACAGTGAGGGTTCTCCATGATAATTGTCTGCTCAGCACGATTTGCACTTTGCGTTCAAACCTCCCTCCCCGTCCTTCCTTTACTCGACCAGGGAGCCTGCAGACTTCTTCACACTTGTCCGTGACCAAAAGCTTTCATCGCCGTTCACCTTCCTTTTGCGTGATACCGTACTGAGCGTCAATTCGGTTGTGATTTTTCCTTCCTTTCTGTCCTTACGAGTTGTCTGCAGCCATTCCCTCCATGCGCGTCAAGGCTGTTATAACCGTACAAGCCGTGCAGACTGTTTCTCACGAAGATGATGTGATGAGAAACCCGGGATGCTTGTGAGACGACTTATGCTTTCAATTTTTATATCATTCATATACCCCATCTTACGGCAATGATTCTCTGTTCTTTGACTAGATGTCTTTCTTTACATTATTTATGTCTGTTTTAATGTGGAATTCTGATGCTTATTTTCTGTTTCTTTGAGTACATATTAACCTGTGTACATATTTAGACCTCAATCAGATATCGGTGATACTGCTACTAGTTCGGAGTTGGATACTGTTTCTGTAGAACCCGAATTGTTACCCGGCTGCGGGGGAGATGCTTTACTAATCCACTCAGTGCCCCTCACAGACAGAAGGAACCAGGAACACAAGTCGTTAGTCTTGAGTGGGATCACCTCATCGAGACCGTATATATTCTGTGAACTAAACCTGTCCTTCTTAACAATTATCACTACTCAAATATCCATCGAACACAGCAATTGAACGACTACAAAATGGCTTCTCCGAAAATCATCCTCTACACTTACCACGGATGCCCCTTTGCGCACCGGGCCCATATCGCCCTGAAGGAGACAGGCGTTGACTACGAAGAGGTCATTATCGACATCAAGAAGCCTCGTGAGCCCTGGTATCTCGAGATCAACCCGGTACGTCACCTTAGCCTACACATCTGAGCGGTATCTCTAACCTTGAACCCAACAGCGCGGCCTCGTCCCTGCTATCTCCTACAACGGCGAGATCCTCATCGAATCGGCTATCGTCGCACAGTTCATCGCTGATGCCCACCCCTCTCACCTCCTTCCTCCGTCGGGCCCCGCAGAGAACGCCCTCTACCGCGCGCGGGTGAGCCTCTTCGCCGATGCCTTCAGCAGCAAGGTCATGCCGAATGTGATGGCTGGTGTCAGGGCTGCCTCGCAGGAGGAGCGTGAGACCGCTGGTGATGCGTTGGTTGAGGCTGTGGCTAAGGAGATTGAGCCGTTGTTGAACAATGAAGGCAAGGGGCCTTTCTTTGGGGGTAGTGAGAAGTTGACGTTTGCCGAAGTGAGTTTCTTTCCCTTTACTGTATACACTGGATTTCTTTTCTGTTGCCTGGATGATGTATGCTGACAAGCGCAGGTCCTCACCGGTTCATTCCTCCTCCGGATCCTGGCTTTCACGAAGCCGGAACATAATCTGAACAGCACCAGAGTCCCGGCCCTGCTGAAGGAAAATGCACCCAAGTTCTTGCGCTGGGCGGAGGCTACTGTCGCTCAAGAGAGTGTCAACTACATCTGGAATGAGCAGGCTGTGGTGGAACACACGCGGGCCAAGTTTGCGCATAAGCCGTGATATAGTTCTCCGTGTGGAAAACCAGTATAATAATAGGCAATTGATATAGGGCCCTATCCCTGTTCTAAATAAATGACTGCAGCCTGACGTGATGCTCGGGTCGCCGCGTGTTAGGGAAAGCCGAGTCCCATGGTTAGAGCCCGTTGATGACAACACGCAAGGAACTCATGACAGCCGGCCGGATATTTTATGCCTGCGAGGAATGCTGGCCACGTGTGCAGCGCAGTACATTTCTTATTCGTAAACATCTACTCAAGATCACATACATAGACATCCTATACATAAGCCACAGTACAAAGTGAAGAACTGCCTACGGTCAGGGGACTCGTGTCGGCATAGTCACGTGCGGCATCTCCCCACCATCACCGCATCCAAAGCCGCAAAGCACAACAACCAAAGCCCCTCTATCTCTCCTCCATCTCCTTCTCACTTTCACCTTTCCCATCTGTCCAGGAAGAAGATTTGCGAGTTTGTGAGTTATATCCCTTTTCCCTTTGTTACCCTGAATATGCTCGGTTATATTATACCCTGGATTCAGATTCCGTGTTTAATGTCCCCAGACGAAAAGGGGAAATGTATTGGTGGCCACTTGACTGACTGACGGTTCCATATCGCGTGGACATTTCAGCGCAGGTTATCGCTTCCTATTCTCCTCTTAAGAACACCTCTAGCCTTCTTTACCCTCCGCCGGGTTCATATTTTCGGTTTCTTTTTTCCTGTTTAATTGAAATTCACACTACAAGTGGTAAACTATGTCGGTACGTTCAGACCAGTGCTGTCCTTCCCCTTTTCCTGCTGACTGCGGGGTGTGCTCTTGGGTTTTGCATCGGCTAACATTTCCTTTTTTGATTGCAGCTCGCATCTGGGTATGTTTTGAGAAACTCCTTCATATCCTCGCCGCCCGCCATGCTGTCATACTCGCCCGAAGGTGTCATTTGCTGACGAAGAGCCTGCGACCAGTGTTTCCGTCGGTGACGATGTCGTCGGTGTGTTCAACGAGTTCCGCACGAGCGCAAACTCCAAGGCGGACAGAATCAAGTTTGTGATCTTCAAGATCTCCGACGACAAGAAGGACGTTGTCGTCGACGAGGCCTCGACGGAAACCGACTATGAGGTCTTCCGCAACAAGCTCGCGGACGCCAAGGATGACAAGGGCAAACCCGCTCCTCGCTACGCTGTCTACGATGTTGACTTCGAAATCCCCAATGAAGGCAAGAGGTATGATATGCAACGTTCTGGTTGGATGGGGAAGGGTCAGTCACCATGACAAGAAGATGAAAACTGACACGTTGCTTTTCCTTGTAGATCCAAGATTGTTTTCATCGCTTGGGTGCCCGACGATGCTCCCACTTTGGTAAGTGTCATTTCCTATGGATTGTCGCTCAAGAAGGCAACCCGGCTAACGTGGCGATAGTGGCGCATGGTCTACGCCAGTACCAAGGAGGATTTGAAGAGGGCGCTTAAAATCACCAGCGAAATCCACGCCGACGACAAGTCCGACATTGAATGGAAGACGGTCCTTTCTGACGCGAGCAATAAGAAGGCTGCTGGATTGCAAAACTAATGGTGTCGGCTGGGTCCGGGCCATGTTGGTGCGTTAGAGCAGACTTAGATGATTGCGCAGCACCGCTCTGTCGCCGTGTTTCGTTTATTTCCTCTTCTTCGGAGTAATCCAATTCGCAATGAGATCCCCGTTTGCTCGGCATATACGTTAGCTTTCAATGTGAGATTGTAACGACTTTGGCTGTTTCCGCTGGATGGCTGTATTTTCCGCAGTCGTGGATACACCTGGTGAACTCAAATGGAAGGGGACATCTAAAAGTTGTAATTCTTTTCTCCTTTCTGTACAGAGTACAATCCTCTAGAGTAAAAGGAAGGGTACGTAGTTGTTTGCCTTTGGGTCAGGGTAGCTATCTATCGTATGATAGCCGGAGAGAACCGGATCCCGGCGGGCATAGTTGGTGGTGACTTTGAGCACAGTAGCAACACAGCAGGTGTATACCGAAGAGAATAACCATAGCAAGTGAATATATAGCAGATGAATAGCAGCATTGACATATCTAAATAATCCATATACTACTACTAACACTGGCATCTGGTGGCATATGAACAAACCCCGACGGGTCGGGTGGAAGCCCGCGGGCCAATAGAAACGCCGCCAAAAACGGGACTAAGCTCACCGTCCGCCTTTCGAAACCTCAAACCACAGTCGACCGTCTGCTCCTCGCCTTTCCCCCCCAATCGCGAAGCCCCTCTTACGCTTTTATTCGGAGAATTCATATACCCTCCGGGGAAGGTTGATATTTATTGGCCTCTGGAGAGCCATTCTTCTCATTTTTTCTAATTGACTCTGTGCGCTCCCTTTTTCCGCACACACAATGTTCCTTCAATCCGTCACTCGGGCCGCTGCTCGCAGCTCGGCCATGCCCACCACTGCCATTCGTTCCTACCGCGCCGTCCCGAGCCCAATGGTCTGCCTGAACGCCCGTCCTCAGCCTGTGCAGAAGGCCATCGCCCCTCAGCAGACCCGCGCCTCGTCCGAGCATGCCATCGCGAACCCTACCCTCTCCGGTATCGAGAAGCGCTGGGAAGCCATGCCTCCCCAGGAGCAGGCCGATCTGTGGATGCAGCTGCGTGACCGTATGAAGGTAGACTGGCACCAGATGACCGTGCAGGAGAAGAAGGCTGGTATGTGATCCTGATATCCGGAGAATTTTTTTTTTTTTTTTTTTTTTCCTCTTGGTGGGTGTTGATGCTGATAGTGTGGTTTGATAGCCTACTGGATTGCTTTCGGTCCCCACGGCCCCCGTGCCCAGGCCCCCAAGGGTGAGGGTCTCAGGATCTTCTTCAAGGTCGTCCAGCTCGTTTCGGCTTCTTGTGCTGTCTTCTACGTTATCCACCTGTTCGGCAAGCCCCTGCCCCGGACGATGACCAAGGAGTACCAGGAGGCCTCCAACGAATACGCCAGGGTATGCATCCTCTTATGCCCCTTGGACTGGATAATGCTAATGGCCAACAGCAAGAGCGTATCAACCCCATCCACGGTATCAGCAAAGAGGGATACGAGGGCGAGGGCTTCGTCCAGAGCCCCCCGGCCGAGAAGGAGTAAACTGGATGGACATGAGAATGAGGGACAAGTGCTACGATTGTCCGACGACATGCTGGACGAGCAGTTTTTTTCTCTTCTGGCCGTATATCCCGTCGCATTGACATACGCAACAACAACGACAACAAAAGACCCTCGTTGCTGGAGTGGTATTTTTTCTTTCCCGTCACAAGGAGTCCGAAAATCTGTGTACTTCGTACTGTGCAATAATCGTTTATATTTCTTTTGTAGCCATAGAGCATTGCATTATATTTCTGATGTACGAGTAGTACTTGTATGGAAGCTGGTCGTAGTGTAGCTTCGAGCTAGACTGTAGAGAGTAATTGACCTGTGCATGTGCGTCATAGCGTATCCCCGGGTACTCCAAGTTCTGCAGATATCAATCCTTCCTGGTTCTGTTTCTAGATAGTCTGGAGTATTGGAGTGCAGTATCCGGGGTGGAATTGAGAGCCGGATGTGGAGGGAATAACCGCACAACAAACACAGCTCTATTTCTAGGCATTGACAGATTTACAGGTACATACAAGTACTCTATAAAAGTACGGAGTAGATGTATATCATAGCTAAGCATGTCATTAACAAAAGAGTCCTCAATGCAGTACAAGCTGGTAATACAAGCGAGCTCCGGTACCAACAGCTTCATCACTATGGCGATATACAATACAGTCGGTGACAAGTTGCGGAACACACGTCAGAGATTTCCGAGCGTTCGTCCGAGCAGGTGTAATTGCCAGCAATACAGGTGAGTGTACATAGTAATATGTAAAATATTTTGTATTTTATTAAGTGATGTTATTTCAATTGAGCTTATATTTTGGAATTGATTGATACTGCCTACGGAGTATGGAGTATGTTGACCAGGTACATAGTGGTAGCTGTAAAGTGGCATGGTGGGAGAGAGCTCCGATACTCGGTGGTATGACGGTATTGTATTTTTACATTCCCTGCATCCGGATTGTGCGTTTTAGCCGGCTTTCACTGCTACGAGTTCACAACAGTACTCAGTATGATAGAGTGAAAATAAGAGAAAACAATTATCTATTCTATAGACCAGAACAAACAATTACATACTCATAGAATACTATAGTATAAAAAACCACAAGTAGTGCTGGTATGCTTCGCGTCGGTACATCACGGGATCGTCGGCAAAACCGCCCCGGAAAGGCTAAGGGCCACACCGTGTGCCCGTCTCTCTCTCTCTCGTTCCCTCTCTCACTCTGGCCAACCTCACTCTTTTCCTTTTTCTCTCTTCTCCTCCTTCCTCCCCCCCATCTCCTCCCCTTGACCTTCTCATCCCCATCTTTTTTTTTATACCCTCTTAAACACCCGTCATCATGTTCAAGAGGTAAGTTAATGCCATTGTCTTTTTTTTCTTTATTCCTTTACCCCCCGTCTCTCTATTGTTGTATCGCTCACACAAATTTCTAGTGGTCTCGCCCGGACCTTCGGGAGGGCTGCTTTTGCCCGTCCGGCCCCCGTCGCTCGCCGCGCTCTCCAGCCTCGCTTCCCCTCTCTCGCCAGATTCGCCAGCTCTGAGGCCACCCAGGCTGGAAAGATTTACCAGGTCATTGGTGCCGTCGTCGACGGTATGTTGTTGGCCCTTGTGTTACCGCCCTGCCTTGCTTTTTTTGCCGACGGCTCGACGGGTGTGGGAATTGGGATGGATGGACGCGCAAAAAATCTTTTCTGGCTACAATTGTCTACAACAACCACGTCAAAATCCATTCCAATTCTCGATTCCCAGATAAAATGCAACGGCTTGAGTTTCTTTATGGTCGAGTTCTGACGTATTGCAGTGAAATTCGAGGGTGAGAAGCTCCCTGCCATTCTCAACGCCATTGAGACCGAGAACAATGGTCAGAGGCTTGTCCTTGAGGTTGCTGTATGTATAGCCATCATTTCTCTCCGTTCTGTCAGTTGCTAACGGTACCAGCAACACATGGGTGAGAATGTCGTCCGTACTATTGCTATGGATGGTAAGCTTCCTTTGTCCCGGTTACCCAATCGGGTTGTCTGCTCCCTTCCCATCTGGGGTTTGACAATTCGACATCCCAATTGAATCGAAACTCACCATCTCAGGTACCGAGGGTCTCGTCCGTGGTGTTGCCGCCCGCGACACCGGTGCTCCCATCACCATCCCCGTCGGCCCTGGTACTCTCGGCCGTATCGTCAACGTCACTGGTGACCCCATTGACGAGCGTGGTCCCGTCAAGGCCACCACCCACCTGCCCATCCACGCTGAGCCCCCGCCATTCACCGAGCAGTCCACCGAGGCTGAGGTTCTCGTCACTGGTATCAAGGTTGTCGACCTGCTTGCCCCCTACGCCCGTGGTGGTAAGATTGGTCTCTTCGGTGGTGCCGGTGTCGGTAAGACCGTCTTCATTCAGGAGCTGATTGTATGTCCCCCTTTTTTTTTTTTTTTTTTTTCTTCTTGTTTATGTCTATATTGGTCTAACGAAAACAGAACAACATCGCCAAGGCTCACGGTGGTTACTCCGTCTTCTGTGGTGTCGGTGAGCGTACCCGTGAGGGTAACGACTTGTACCACGAAATGCAGGAGACTGGTGTCATTAACCTCGACGGTGACTCCAAGGTGTCCCTTGTGTTCGGTCAGATGAACGAGCCCCCAGGTGCCCGTGCCCGTGTCGCCCTTACCGGTCTTACCATCGCCGAGTACTTCCGTGACATCGAGGGTCAAGACGTGCTGCTCTTCATTGACAACATTTTCCGTTTCACCCAGGCCGGTTCTGAGGTGTCTGCCCTGCTGGGTCGTATCCCCTCTGCCGTCGGTTACCAGCCCACCCTGGCCATTGACATGGGTATCATGCAAGAGCGTATTACCACCACCACCAAGGGTTCTATCACCTCCGTCCAGGCCGTCTACGTGCCCGCTGACGATTTGACTGACCCTGCCCCCGCTACCACCTTCGCTCACTTGGACGCCACCACTGTCTTGTCCCGTGGTATCTCCGAGTTGGGTATCTACCCCGCTGTCGACCCTCTCGACTCCAAGTCGCGTATGCTTGACACCCGTATCGTCGGTGAGGAGCACTATAACACCGCCTCGCGTGTCCAGCAGATGCTCCAGGAGTACAAGTCGCTCCAGGATATCATTGCCATTCTGGGTATGGACGAACTTTCCGAGGCCGACAAGCTCACCGTCGAGCGTGCCCGTAAGCTCCAGCGTTTCCTGAGCCAGCCCTTCACTGTCGCCCAGGTTTTCACTGGTATTGAGGGCAAGCTCGTCGACCTGAAGGACACCATTGCCTCTTTCAAGGCCATCATCCACGGTGAGGGTGACGACCTTCCTGAGGGTAAGCTTTGTTCTCCATCTTTGACCGTCTAATGGATTAAGCTAACTTTACTAGGTGCTTTCTACATGGTTGGTGACCTCGCGTCGGCACGCGCCAAGGGTGAGAAGATCCTGGCTGAGCTTGAGGGCCAGTAAATGTAATATTGTTGTGTTTTGAGCGCCCCTTTCTTTTTTTATTTAGACATGGACTTTCTTCCATGTTCCGTTTTCTTTTGATGGATGTACAGTATACTCGATCTAAGAGAAAAAGGGATTTGAAAGAAAGCTGTTCCGAAGAACGAAAAAGGAAAGAAAGGAGCAACACGTTATGCCCCCGACCCCCAACCAACCCTCTTATTGTAAGCCTGGATGGAAGTTCTCCAAGCTTGTGTTCTATTATGTGTTCGGATGTAAGTAACCTAAAATGACCACAGTCAGCCTATGATACCCTCTGGGCTGGGACAATTGTATTATTTCTTTATGTGTTGTTAGTAGTCAGTTCAATGTACGAGTAGTTTTTGTGATCTTTCCAGTTTCGATGTATGCTTAAGGTCATTGAATGGACGAATGGAGCTATCTTGGCTGTTGTTCGTGATTGTGATCATTGTGCTCCTATGCTATCCTAGACTATATGCTCTATGGAGTATATCCTGCTGTGATATCCTTGACCTGCCATTCTGTAGGGAACTCGTCCCCATCGTCTAGAAGGCCACCGGTCATCCCGTGCTGTTACTTAGGACGAGAATCCTTCATACTAGATAGATACTCTCGTCCAAGTTGTAGGTTTGCAGCCCTCAGACCTCAATGCCGGTGGTCGTCGGGAGTCAAGCAGTGTACACGAGTCTAACTGGTATTGTCTCGGCATATCGTTGGATATCGTCTATTTAATCCTCGAAGAATATGGTCTCGATACAAGAACCTAGTCAAAAGGTCAGCGATGAGACAAAAGAATGCGAGTGAGAGTTGAGCTTACCAGTCACCCCGCCATGAATCCGAGCCAACCCCGCCGCTGCAGTAAGAAGTATACCGCCAATCACCCAGTCACATCCCCTCAAGGCATGTGCATGCATAAAGGCCAATTCATCGCACAGCACCTCTAGTACATACTACTCGTAGTGAGTGAAGTCGGTGAGCGGCAGCCAACGGCAGAAAAGAGGGGCCGCCAAATTCTGCCGCTAGACCGCCCACCACATGCGGAAATCTTAATTTTTTTTTCGAGTAGAAGCCCTTCGTGTTGGATCCTCTTTTTTTTCCTTCCTTCCCCCCTTCTTCCCTGGCAGTTGCCAGCCAGGGAAATTGGGCTTGTTTCTGAATATCCAGTCAAGATGAAGTATATTCTTGTTTCCGGAGGTGAGTCTTTTCTTTTTTCCCCCGCTTTTCGTTGGGAATTGTGGTTGTCGAGGACAAGTACTGATCTTTCTTCAGGTGTTATCTCCGGCGTGGGAAAGGGCATTATTGCCTCGAGCTGTGGTCTTTTGTTGAAGACTTTGGGTCTTACGGTGTCGAGTATTAAGGTCGATCCTTATCTTAACATCGATGCTGGCCTTATGTCGTATGTACATGTGCCGTTCAATTCAATTGCTCAAGTCGAGTCCCGTGCTGATCATTTCGTTTTCTAGACCGATCGAGTTCGTACCCCAACCCTTTCGAATACTGTCCCAGGAAAACGAAGTTAACATAACAAAGGCACGGTGAAGTCTACGTCCTCGACGACGGCGGCGAAGTCGACCTCGATCTCGGAAACTACGAGCGTTACCTCAACATCACCCTCTCGCGCGACCAGAACGTTACCACCGGCAAGATCTACCAGCACGTTATCGAGCGTGAGCGTCGCGGCGACTATCTTGGAAAGACTGTTCAGATTGTGCCGCATTTGACGGACGCTATTCAGGATTGGATTGAGCGTGTGGCGCGGATTCCGGTGGATAACTCGGGTCGGGAGCCGGATGTTTGCATTGGTGAGTATCCTGGTATATCACCTGTATTAGGGGTATAATTACTAAACTTCGTAGTTGAGTTGGGTGGTACGGTTGGTGATATTGAGAGTGCTCCGTTTATCGAGGCTATGAGCCAGCTTCAGCGACGGGCTGGGCAGCACAATTTCCTTCAGATTCACGTCAGCTATACACCGCTGATTGGTTCGGAGCAGAGTATGTCACTCGGACATGGGTTTGGTATGGCACGAGCTAATGAATGCAGAGACGAAGCCGACGCAAAGGGCTATCAGCGATGTCCGCAGTGCTGGTCTCCGGCCTGACCTGATTGCCTGCCGTTGCGAGACTCCTCTTGCCGAGAGCACTATTCAGAAGATCGCCAACTCGTGCCAGGTAGAGCGGGACCAAGTTGTTGGTGTGCACAACGTCTCGACCACCTACCAGGTTCCCATCCTCCTTGAAAGCCAAGGGTTCCTCAACACCCTCAGTCGCATCCTCGAAGTTCACACTATCCCCAAGCACCCCAAGCTTGTGGACTACGGCAAGGCCATCTGGCAGGATTGGCAGGGGCTTGCTACAAGCCAGGACCAGATCCTTGGAACAGTAACGATTGCCCTTGTCGGCAAGTACACCAGTCTCCACGACTCCTATCTCAGTGTTAGCAAGGCATTGGAACATGCCGCTATGCACTGCAAGAAGAAGTTGGATCTGCTCTGGATCGACGCCTCCAACCTTGAAGAGAGTACCCAAGAGACCTCCCCGGCCGAGTACTACAAGGCATGGCACGCCGTCTCCACCGCCAACGGCATTCTCGTCCCCGGTGGATTCGGCCTCCGCGGAACAGAGGGTATGATGAAGGCCGCCCGTTGGGCCCGTATGAACAACATCCCCTACCTCGGTGTCTGCCTGGGCATGCAACTCGCCGTGGTGGAATACGCCAAGAACGTCTGCGGCATGGACAAGGCCTCCAGCGCCGAATTCGACGAAACCTGTGAGCAGCCCATCGTCGTGTACATGCCCGAAGTCGACAAGACCAAGATGGGCGCGACCATGCGTCTGGGCAAGCGCCGCACCGTATTCCAGCCCAACACCGAATGGTCGCGCATCCGCAAGCTGTACGGCGAGAAGCAGGAAATCTGGGAGCGCCACCGCCACCGCTACGAGGTCAACCCTGAGATGGTGGAGACCTTGGAGAACGCTGGCCTGCACTTTGTTGGAAAAGACGAGACAGCCCAGCGGATGGAGATTGTCGAGCTGAAGGACCACAAGTGGTATGTCGGTGTGCAGTTCCACCCCGAGTACCTGAGCCGTGTCCTTGCGCCTAGCAAGACTTTCCTTGGTTTCTTTGCTGCTGCTGCTGGGTGTTTGGAGGGTATTACGGATGTGTACAAGGACCGTCATGATCTTAGCCACCAAAGTGTTGAGATTACGACGGGTGAATCTGCTTAGGCGTTTTCTTTTTTGACTGTTGTCATGATTCGGTGTTCCGGAAAAGAAAAGATGAAATATGTTTGGGATAGAGTTTTATATCATCTGCTTAGGAACGAGAATGCATTACTATCATATTACTGGCCTTCTTAGCAAGCAATAAAAATCACATAATATATCAAACGCAAATCAAGCCTTAACAAGCCATCCAAATAAACGCCTCTCATTCAACTTCCTAGCCACCCCTTCCTCAAAACACACATAACACCACTCACCACCACCACCACCCCCCCATGCCCACACTCTCTCCAACCCCCCCTCGCAAATACCTCTCCCTCATAGCACAACTAACACCATCCACCACTCACCCCATGCCCGGACTTCTTCCAAATCCACACGTCAGCATCACCGTATTCCTCTTTCCTCGCGAAGAGGTCTTCCTCCCAGCACAAACAACACCAGTCATCGCAGCCACTTCCGTGGATGCCGTGCGTCTGTTTTTGGTTCTGTAATTGCTTCTGGCGATGGTGATGATGCGCGATTTGCGCTTCGTGGACTTGTTATAGTTGCTTGGGTAGGTTGAAGCTGTCGGTGAGGTAGTTTGGTCTGTAAATTTTGGCTTTTGGTGGTATGGTGAGTATCAAGACTGTTGATGGAGATTAGATGAGATGAGTTGAGTTGACAGAGTTTGAAAGGTGAGGTGTATGTATTCGGTAGCAGGCAGAATAGCTAAGTGCAGTAGGGACTATGCTCTGCCTGGGTATCCGCGTACAATTCTGATATCACCACCGGCAAGGCAAAAGTTGATACATAGCATGATCTCGAGAAAGCGGCAGTTGGATTATGGGATATTTAGTATTAACACTATCCGCGAAGCAAGCTACGCTCCTGGTTTTGTGTCGTGATATTTTAACTTATAGAAATCGGAATGAATAAGATTGCATTATGATATTACCTAACTAGTATAACCCTTCCAGATCCAACTTGTCAATATCATCAATCCCAAACTCCGTAATATCGAACAAAAGGAAAGACAAAACAAGGGTGTCTCGTTAAAACCCCCCGGAGCAAAAACCCTTCGGGATATATGTTGAGGAGCCCCAGTAGGAAAAAGAGCACACCCAAACACAATCGTCAATCTGATATTAGAAAAGCGAACTAGCCCCCCCCCCAAAAACGACCCATGCGGTTTCTGCCATGGCAACGCTGAAACTGAGTCTGTTTTAGTAGTTACTTTGGAAGCAGCAGGAGTCGCCGCAGTAGCAGCAGCAGCAGCAGCAGCAGCAGCAGTAGGAGGAGGATAAACGGGAACAGAAACAGGGGCCTCAGGGTACAGGGGCTTAGGAGGCAGGCGTTGTCGTTCTTGGATGTGGAGGACGTCTTCGACGGAAGATATCCAGTCCATGATTTTTGGATAGTTTGTGTTGATAGTTGTGTGTAGACCTGGGTTGTAGAAGTGGTGAGTAAATTGATTGTTGAAAGAAAGAGGGAGAGAGAGAGAGAAGAGAGGGTGGCTTTTATAAACTAGGGCCAAGCAGAACATCTTATATCACCACTGACAAGGCAACGCCGTAGGTGTTCATGTTTTAATCCCCCAAGCTTGAAGTCTTCGTTGACATTAGGAAATCAGCAATTTCCTCTAGTTAAAATTAAAAGAAAAGCGAAGAATTCTATATCATCTGATTCAGGAATGAGAATGCATATCATATTCGACTATCTCCAGATTCCAGCCGTCGACGACTGCTCGTTTCCACCCCTTCACAGCGCCAACAACAATTGGTTACACTGCCCGTTTCTAACGAGGGTTTTCAAAGACTAGCCGCGCGGATTATACTAAGGCAAGGCTGGCGCTGATGTTGCTTTGGTATTAGATATAGCAGTAGTGGTAGAAGTAGCAATAGCACTAGAAGTTTGAGTAGCGGTAGCAGTAGTGCCAGCACCAGCATTAGGAGAAGAAGAAGCCCCAGGATGCGAAGGAACTTGACGTTCCTGCATACGAAGGAGGTCTTTAACGGAGACGATCCAGTCCATGGCCATTTTTTGGTAGTGCGAGTAGAACTGTTATTTGTGGATGCGTTATATGGTGGGATATGATTGCTGAACGAGAGAATTAGGAAGAGCTGGGCTTCTTATACCCTGAGGGATAGGCATAACTTGTCGTTAATCCTGCCTGGATAGTTGCTCTTCCGGCCATGGATAGATGTTTGCCTCCATTCAAGGCAGCACACTCTAACTAGTCCGGTTGATGATGAATAGAGACGTCAATTTCTACCCCTATCTGCATATGAGTAAAACCATTTCTTGGGACTAGTATAGTACCACCTCTCTATATCAACTCACACATTCAAACACATCACGACGCCGGACTAGGCGGCACCCTCCCATCCGTCCAATTCACAGCCCTACTCCCCAACTCAAACTCCAACCTCCCCCCACTCTCAAAAACATCCCTCCAATCCACCCAACTCCTCCTCCACCTCTCCCCATTGACCCTTAGCCCCTGCACATAAACCTTCTCCCCATCACCATCCTTATCACCACCCGTCGCAGTAACCTCCAACGTCTTCCCACCCCCCAAATCAACAGTCAACGACTCGAACCACGGCGCATGGATCAGGAACGTCGTCTGGCCCGTTATCGGGTACAGACCGATCATGTTCCAGAGGAGCCAGGATTGCATGGCGCCGGCGTCGGAGTTTCCGGGGAGGCCGGATTTGCCGGTTGAGTATTTTTCTTTGGCGATGCGGCGGGAGCGCTGGGTTGAGAGGTCCGGGCGGGAGATGTAATGGTAGAGGTAGGGGATGTTGAACATTCTGCTTTGTTAGTAAGGGCTGGGGGAGGTAGGGTTTGGGAAGGGGACGTACGGTTCATTAGTAGGATCGAAAATCATCCCCGAGTCAGAGCCATCGGCACCCGGTGTGAACATGGTGTCTAGCCTGTTGAGGACGGTTTGGCGTCCGCCCATTAGCTCGATAATGTGTTTCATGTCATGCACTGCGGCCCAGGTGTATGCCCACGAGCTCGCCTCGTAGTACGGGTCTCCCCAGTAACCGCTGTCATTGAGAGGATCTGTCTCGATGAATCCAGAGGAGTTGCGGGGGACCACGAATCCCTTGAACCCCAACGAGGTTTGGTTAGAGTTGAAATGATTCCGCCAATTCCTCGACCGATTCAAATACTTCTCTGCGTCGTCAGCTTTACCCAACCCAGAAGCAACCTGATGCAATCCAAAGTCGTTGCACGAGTACTCTACCGCACGCGTAACAGCCCGACTGTACTTGGGAGTAATATACCCCAACGCCTTCCAATCTGGCAACGCCCCTCGTCCCTCTTTCGTCGACGAATCAGGCGCCATAGAATCAACCGGTTCGTTTGCCGGCGTGACCTCCGCATCTTTCAGCATAGCCTTGTACCCGTCTTCCCAGTTAACCGCACCACGGACACCTTTCACATAAGCGTCAGCGAGGATATTGTCTGCATTAGAGCCACCCTGCGTGCGGCCGTTATAGTTTGAAGATCGGGCGTCAGGGAGGTAGCCTTCGTAGCGGTAGATGTCGATTAGAGAGCGGATTTGTTCTTCATAGGCGGTTGGTTGAAGGATTTGGAGGAGGGAGGTTGTGCAGCGGAAGAGGTCCTGCGCGTATCAGTATAGCCCTAACACTAGTTCAAGAAAAGGGGAAGGGAGGGGGGGGTGTACCCAGAAGGTAAAGATATCTTGATAGTATGGCTCGTTAGAAGTCCAATTGGGATTCTCGCCTGTTTGGTTCGTTGGAATCAAGTGCATGAAGTACAACGATGTGTAGAGCAGCTGCAGACTCGTGTCGTTTGTGTTTGTCGTGGTGATTTTGTTCAGCACTTTGGTGTTCCATTCGGACTTTGTGTTTTGTACGACTGTGTCGAGGTTTGTTTTTGCTGGGATTTCGTCTTGCACGTTGCGACAGGCTTTGGCGGTTGAGATCCAGGAGATACCTACTCGCGAGGTCACTTCGGATTTGTCAAAGGAGAACACAGCACCGACACGCTTAGATGTAGATGTTGACGATGCAGTTCCGCTGGGTTGCTCGACGCTGCCATCCTCATCTGTTCCAACGTAGGTCTTGTTTCTGGTGATCGTTGTATCGAAGTAACCACCTGATAAACAGTTAGCCAACATCAAGACCGTAGAAGGAGAATGACGCACAGAAATAAATCGTCCAATCCGGCGAAATATTCCACCCATTATCATAAACCCCCGAGCCCTCATAATGACCATCCGCAAAAACACTAATATTCCCACCCTTATAACCCTGCCCAAGCCCCTGTCCCCGAAACGACGGCAAAACATGCGACACATCAACAAGCACATGATTCCCCTGACTACTCCCCTCAGGAAAACCATACCGATAAATTCCCGCATGCTCCGAAGCCCCAAGCTCCACACTAACCCCCTCACCCGTCTTCGCCTTATAATACCCCAACTCAGCCTGATCATCACCAGACCGGCCAACAGTCAAATTCGACAAAAGATCCTTGATGCTCTTCCTGACGAGCGGAAGCTGCGCGACGGTCCCGTATTTAGGGGCGCCGCCGGTCCCCTGTTCATGCATCAGGCTGAAGCCCGAGAAGTTGCCGGTGGAGAGGTAGCCGGAGTAGGCGTCGGATTTGGCGTCGTAGAGGTCTGGGCCTAGTTTGACCATGCCGAAGGGGCGGGCGACGCCGGGGAAGTTGTTGCCGCCGCTTTTGGAGCCCATGCTAGTGTGTGTTAGTTGGGTATTATTGTAGAGGCGTGGTGTGGGTGTTGGAAGAAGGCTTACAAGGGGTCCACGTGGGAGGTTAGGTCGGCTGCGGCAGCCCATGCTATTGGTGATAGAGCCAACGCAGAGATGATACTTTTGTAGGCCATGATGGACTGTTTGTCATGACAGTCAGCTGTATGTAGTTTAAGGGGGTTGTTCAGCCTTACGGTAAACGCAGCTGCGAACCGGCCCGACAGCTCCGGACTTTTGACAAGCTGTATCCAGTTATTCAAAGGGCGGATAGACAAGAGATATTTCGACAGCAATTCAGAAACATAAATAAGAAATCAACGCGAATGAGCGAAATAACACTAATAGATAGCGCGGAGGCGATGAGGCGGGATCAGCGAGTTTCACGCCCAAAACGAAGGATAGAAGGATTCATAACAAACAAGACTGGATTCAATTGGGCCGGATACGATTCGGATGTACTCCGTATATGAGTATTTTGGCTCCAATGAATAAATAGGAATATGTATCGCAATCTGACGTCCAGCTCACCGGATGTTTTGGGTGTGTATCCGGAAATGCGGTGATGATACGGAGTACGGAGGACCTCGTATCTATTTCTATGCGAACTGACAGGGCTGAGCTGTTGGAACGGGGTGCATAGCCATCTTTAATACGGATTCTGGCTAAGATCATCAGGGGCAATAAACCTTGATTATATCAACTTTGCATGGTTGTTGTGCAGAAAACTCAGAAATATATCTCGTACTTTGAACTCCGTTCTGCATATCGACATAAAAATAGCACCTTGATGGATTTCTAGTCAAGTAGAGAAGACCAATACAACAGTTTTTTGTTGCGCATTCTGGTATCGCCTCTGAGTTGATTTTGTCAGCACAATATGGAAGCTGCAGTCAACCCAGATCATTAGTTGGGCCCCGACGATTTATATCAAGATCGTGAATGTTAATGCCCAAGCTCTAGAGATTGTGTAGCACATTGACCGGAAATGTCTTGTTTGCAACCAGGCTTCGTATTTATCCATCTTCAACGATTAATTGGCTTGCTGTGCGGACGTTCTCAGATGCCTGGCAACATTGATGTCAAATCACGCCTATCCAGTGTACAACCATAAAGCCCTTCATCGCTAATAATACTAGAAAAACTCGCCACATTTGGGCCAGAAGCTTGCGAGTTATCCTGGGGAGAGGAGCCCTAACTCTGCTATCAGCCGGGCAAGATAATATAGAGGAGCAAGCCACAGGGAATATGTCGTGGAAGGTCCCGGGACAAGATAATACCTAGGATCAGGATTCTCCTTCTCTCTTTTCTTTTACAGCTATGTGTATTTTTATTAGTTTCATGAGGCATCAGTATGCACTTGCCTTGCGGTGATATCAGACTTATCATCACTATACTAGGCAAAAACATCTATATAACAGAACGAGCGACCGACAAGAGCAGATATCTAGGCAGAACCTGGTCTACCTGTCCTACCCGATAGAAACATGTTCTGCCTGTTATAGGGAAATATAAAAACATCTTGTTTCACCGAAAGCGACAATCTTCCAACAACTATCTCTCGCATCAGTTTACTACTACTATTTCGCATCTTATCGTCACTGTTATGCCAACAATAAATGGATAACAACAAGCCTTACTTCGTCTCCCTCGAGGATTTTCATCGCATGCAAACTCAACAACCAAAATACCCTACTGACACTGATCCCTCACCACCTCCTCTCCATCGTGCTCCTCCCATTACCACTACTGTTACCAAAGCAGCAAAAAACTCTCCGTGGTATAATCCACGTGGCTTGTCCCAAAAAACCAAGTGCATCACCGGCATCATGACGGTAGTTGTCTTCGTGGGAGTGATCGTGGGTGCCATCGTGGGTGGAGTTGTGGGCTCGAGGAATCACCAGTATCCGGACTACAGTCCGCTGCAGTACCAGCTGGTAGATAACTACATGGGGGCTGATTTCTTCGATAAGTTTAATTACTTCAGCGAAGTGGATCCTACGGGGGGCACTGTTGACTACGTCGATCAAGCAGCGGCCCAGGATCTGAACTTAACCTACACCACCGGTGACTCGGCCGTTCTGAAGGTTGACACCGACAATGAGCCCACTGGACGTGGCCGTCGGTCTGTCCGTATCGAGTCAAAGGCGCAGTATGATCATGGGTTGTTCATTTTCGACATCGCCCACACGCCAGTCGGCTGTGGTACTTGGCCTGCGGTTTGGATGCTCGGGCCTGAGCATCCCTGGCATGGTGAGATTGACATCATGGAGACAGACAATCTGGCTCAAGATGGGAACGTCGTGACTCTGCACACTTGGGAAGGCTGCAGCATGGAGGGCGTCAAACGGAAACAGACCGGGAAGAAAACAAACCTGAATTGCGGCGATGGCGACAAGGATGGATGCGATGTCCAAGGCAGACCGGAATTCGATGGTGAGCAGATGAATAAAAAGGGCGGGGGTGTTTATGCCTTGGAACTGCGTGAGGCTGGCATTAGGATCTGGTTCTTCCGCCGCAGCAAGCTCCCGCATGACATCGCGAACCCAGGACATGTCCCGGATCCATCGTTGTGGGGTCGACCGTTGGCTGATTTTCCTAACACGAAGTGTGACATCGAGTCGCATTTCAACAACATGAGCATCGTTGTCAACATTGATCTCTGTGGTCAACAGGGTGCTGATCTGAAGCTCTATACGGAGAAGTACCAGTGCCCGGGGAATTGTACGGAATTCGTGAGAGACAATCCGGAGTATTTCACCGATGCGTACTGGGAGTTCAAGGGCTTCAAGGTGTATCAGGCCGAATGATCCTTTTCGGACGGTTAAGGTTGTTAGATGTGTGGATACCTGGTCTGATTTGTCATTTTATTTTGCTGAAAGTTAGTTTGAATTAGCCTGCTTGCTTATATCCTAGGGCTGGAATCTATGCGTTGATAGATCTTTCTCAATGAATTGATTTGTTTCAAGGATTGCATCCACTACCGGCTTTCTTCTTGCCATATGTAGACCGTAGAACAGAGCATTGCTGGGATCGCAGTCATTGTCGTTTAGGACCCGAGTTGGATAGAGCGCCCCCTCGACTGTTACACGGTATCTCTGTCATCGTCGGCTGATGATCCGCTGCAAAACTGGCCTCCGGTGTGACAGATCTTTGTAAAAAGCATGTGTGCACTTTCATCTCGGCAGATCACAGGATCTGTCATCCCAGCACCGCCATCAGGTACCCTTGTTGACGTCTGATAGGAACAGCCCTCCAAATTGACCGTTCGTGACGGAATAAGCTGATCTATCGTGATGGCCAGATGTGCTCAGTGCTCCCATGATTTGCTTCTAGAAAAGCAAAAATTGTCGTCGCCGGAATTCTCGGACGTTCCATGAGTTCATGGTACGGAGTACTCGGAAGTATTCGCCTGTTGAATCATGAATTCCAGTTCCAATGGAGGTTGCGACTTATCCTCGGACTAATGTTGGGAAAGATAACCTGATCAACACTTTAGCCTGGATAGCAACATGATATTTACCACCGAAAGAGCGTTATGCATAAGCGTAAATCCCAGAAAACGAGCTCACATGGCCAGAACAATAAACGACAAAGAAAACATGGTCAGAACCGTACTTGTACAGCCACAGGATGCGGTGACATGAACTCGCATGTCTAGCACGACTGGTTCAAAAAAAGCAAAACATCCCTGTTTGATATTTGAAAAATTCCCGAGAAGGTTTTGGAGAAATTTCTCTTTCATCGGCCCGCTAAAACATGTATTAGAAACCTTGTTCCTGGAATTATTCACTCGAGACATTGGCGGAATTTATTGAGCTTATTGAGAAATAGAGTTGTGGGCCCTATTGATGTCAACTTGTAGTATAGTTGCCGCACTCGCGTGGCTCACATGGATCCAGGTCCGGTTTCCGATCCGATACTTTGCTTTGTTTTTCTGGTGAATTGTCTCGGTGGAGAGACAGTTTGCATGGTACAGTAAGTTATCGGGCCAATAAACAAGGGTAGAGGGGGGTTCATTTGCTGCAGCTGCTGTGGCGGAGGAGGGGGAGTATGCACTATTTCGATGAATTGTAATTTCATCAAGTCTTGGGTTTGAGATTCTGGTACTTCGGGAGTGACTGGAAATAGAAATGCGAGGGGCATGTAGTTCGGCCGTACATATTTTAAAAGGGCCCGGTTGTCGCCAGGCGATGCCTTGAGATTTTGCTTGCATTTTTGCGGTTCTTTTACCTGACTGAGTGAAGCTTTACCATGATATTTGGCCGACACTTATCGAGCCTGGTGGCTCTTCTGTATACTAGTGTAGGCGTTCTAGGGTACCCGACTTGCGAGAAGGCTTCGGCTGGTGACTGCGCATATCCGTCTCTGGTCAATGCGACATCAGATCAACTCCAGGATGGCCTGAGCAAAGGATGCTTCACGAGCGCTGATTTAGTCAAGGTATGCTTTCGCCAATATTCCTAGCTCGGCATGGCTAACTGTTGTAGGCGTACGTGGAAAGGATCCACGAGGTCAACTCAACCCTGCACATGGTGTTGGAAATCAATCCGGATGCGATACAGATTGCCCAGTGTCTCGACGAGGAGAGAAAGAATGGCAACACTCGAGGGTTTGTCCCCTTTCCCCTCAGTGGTGTGGAGTAAGCATCTAATGAGGACCAATAGGCCTCTGCACGGTCTACCCATTCTGGTCAAAGACCTGATAGGCACAAACGACAAAATGGAAACGGCTGGTAAGTGTCTAACCCCATGCTTTTCCATTGTGCCACGTACTGATCTGCTTAGCCGGCTCGTATGCACTCGTTGGCGCAAAAGTACCCGAAGATTCGACGGTCGTCGCCAAACTCAGAGAAAGCGGTGCCATCATTCTCGGCAAGACAAGTCTCTCAGAATGGGCGAACTTCAGATCCTCAGATTCATCTGATGGCTGGAATGCGAGAGGAGGTCAGACGTATGCCGCCTATATTCAGAACCAGACTCCCAGTGGTAGTTCTAGCGGCAGTGCCGTTTCTGCTGATCTGGGGCTCGCTCTAGCAGCGCTTGGGACGGAGGTATGTCGACATTCATCTTCATGAGGGCTACATGTGCTGATCATTTCTTTTCAAAAGACATATGGAAGTATCCTCTGGCCCAGCGAAAAGAGCAACATTGTCGGAATCAAACCAACCACCGGACTGACCTCACGGCATATGACCATTCCAATCAGCAATCGCCAGGATACCATCGGACCCATGGCCAGAACGGTCAAAGATGCAGCAATGGTCCTACAGGCTATTGTCGGACAGGATCCCAAAGATAACTATACGCTGGCCTCACCATTTGCCGCCTGTTTTCCGGATTATGTCGCGGCGTGCAAGTCGTCGGGCTTGCAAGGAAAACGAATCGGGATCCCTCGCAACGTTGTTAGCCATTATGGCGGAAAAGATAATCCCGTTGTATCGGCCTTTGAAGCCACCATCTCGGAAATAGAAGCTGCAGGAGCAACTATCGTTGAGGACGCCAACTTCACGGCTTATGAGGAGTTCACCAATTCGGATACGTACGGCGAAATGACGGCTTTGGACTTCATCAGCAATATCGCAAACTACCTTTCCAGCCTGAAAACGAACCCAAACAAGCTTGATTCCTTAAATGACATCCGGAATTTCACACAACATGAACCCCTGGAAGATTACCCAGATCGCGACACGCACTTATGGGACTTGGCCCTATTCGTAGGACTGAACAACACATCCCCAGAATTTTGGTTAATGTACCAGGAAGTCCTCAGAATCGGCGGTGATGGGGGAATCCTAGGTGCCCTTGACCGGCAAAACCTGGACGCTGTCATCTTGCCCACTGCCGTCGCCCCTGGAATTCCAGCCATGGTCGGCTCGCCGGCTATCACGGTTCCGCTTGGTGTATTGCCAGAGGGAACGCCTGAATTCAAGGATCGTGGAGTTGTGTATAGTGCTCCTGGGATTCCTTTCGGGATTAGTTTTCTGGGAGCAAAATGGAGCGAGGAACAGCTGATTGGGATGGCGTATGCTTTTGAGCAGCGAACATTGAGGAGGGATCAGTTGCGACGCATCATTGAGCCGAAGACGGAGCTGAGAGATGTTTTATAGTCCCGGTATCTGGTTTTGTTCATTGCTTCCTGGAACATGCTGGTTCATTGCCCCAGGAGCTGGTCTGTACATAGAGGCAATTTGCATTCTGCATGGAATATTAGCATGAGTTCGCATATATAAAACAGAGTACACACCTACTTCACGACTGATCGATGTAGGGAGAGTAGTTGGCAGTCCGAAGAATGGCTGTATGACGAAAAGGGCTTAGTTAGTTACGTTAGCGCGGATTGATTTCCTAATCGATAAGGCCATCCCCCGCTATCGATGCTCTCATTTCCTAACTACCTCAACAGTCCCAATTCACAGAATTGCCATCTCCATGATTCTACCGCGATAAACACACTTTCATAAAGGATGGAAAACCTCGAACGCACCTGCGCATCATTGCGCGCACAAATAACCGCCACAGAAACCAGGTTAGCGGGGTTGCGACGCGAGCTCGAAAGCGCAGAAAAGGCTGCCATAGATACCAGGAAACAAGAAGATGCGAAGACAGAAGAAAAGCATGAAGATCGCGAAGCAAGAACCTGGCCACTGCTAGCCGAGGAATACCGGCGCTATGGGAGGCAGATGATTGTGCCACAGCTTGGGCTTCAAGGTGAGTCAAGAGAGTACTATACGTTTGGATTCGTCTTCTAACAATCGCTCTCTGCTGCAGGCCAATTGAAGCTTCGATCCTCGAAAGTCCTGATTGTTGGCGCTGGTGGATTGGGATGCCCGGCTGCGCAGTATCTTGCCGGAGCCGGAGTGGGCACATTGGGACTTGTTGACGGGGATACGGTCGAGTTTTCGAACCTTCATCGCCAGGTTCTACATCGGAGGAGAGCTGTTGGGAAGTTTAAGGTGGACAGTGCGATTGAGTATCTTCAAGAGTGAGTGCTGCTGGCTTCACTGGATCTCGGAGTAGGTGATGCTAACTATGCGTGTCTGCTAGATTGAACCACCACTCTACATATATCCCCTACAGGGCACATCTTACGCCCCAAGACGCACCGGAGATATTTAGGGACTACGACCTGATTCTGGACTGTACGGACAACCCCGCGACCCGTTACTTAATCTCGGATACTGCAGTACTGCTTGGAAAGCCGCTCGTCTCTGCCTCCGCATTGCGAACCGAAGGCCAGCTCATGGTCCTGAACAACCCTCCTCGATCAGCCGGAGATACGACTGGAGGACCATGCTACCGATGTGTTTTTCCGAAGCCACCTCCAGCGAACAGTGTTGTCAGTTGCGCAGACGGTGGGATCCTTGGACCTGTGGTGGGGACGATGGGTCTTCTACAGGCGTTGGAGGCAATCAAGGCTATTACTGCTAGTGGTGATGCACCTCGTAATCCTCCATCACTTCTGATCTTCTCTGCATACTCCTCGCCCCAGTTTCGGAGTATCAAGCTCCGCTCCCGCCGGGCGAACTGCGCTGTGTGCTCTGCTGAAGCTAGCGTATCGTTGGACACTCTGAAGTCAGGGTCAACCGACTACGAATTCTTCTGCGGAACAGCAGCTCCCGAGGCATTGTTATCTCCGGAAGAACGCATTTCGCCGCAAGAATACCGAACGAGACATCCCGATACATTCGCGCGTCAATCGGGAACTACTCCTGCCGCAGACAACAAGCAACATACAATCATAGACGTCCGCGAAAAAGTCCAGTTTGACATCTGCAACATCGACCACAGCATCAACATCCCGATCTCGAGCATCCTCTCGTCTCGCCCAGCTCCGGCTGCAGAGGATGGGACCCCTGCTCCGTTGCCTACCTGGCTTCCAGAGAACATTCCTTCTCCAGACTCCACCGACCCCGTATATGTTGTGTGCCGTCTTGGGAATGACTCGCAGATTGCTGTACAAAGGCTAAAGGAACTGGGATTGGACCGTGGAGGGCAGAGGTTCATTGGTGATATACAAGGTGGACTGCATGCCTGGCGAAGACAGGTAGATCCGGAGTGGCCTGAGTATTAGCACCGTATTCATAACACGAAGAACTTTGTAGAATAGCAATAAATAACGTATGTAACTAACTAGTTAGTTAGTTAGATAAAAAGATTAGACAAGTTTAATAATAAATAAAAAAAGAAAAAGCAAAAAGAAACTCCCCGACTGGGAATCGAACCCAGGTCTCCCGCGCTTGCAAGTTGTTAAGCTGACAAGCGGAAATCATTACCACTAGACCATCGAGGACTTGTTATGTGAAGACTTTCAATATTATGTTTTACAAGTCATTCAAGGTATCAATGATGGTTTGTCAGTGTTCCACACCGATATCAAGGTTTTTCCCAGAGCACAGTAGCAGTATCTGCCACGGGAATCTATTTTCAAGCTCAAGGTCCACCTCGGAGAGAGATGTTTCGGGATTGCTCAAGCTTGCAGCCGAATGAAAGAAGGCCGAGATTATGAAAAGAAAGTCAAACAAGAATTGAATTATCGCCAAGTAAATAGTTAGTGTCCGGTAGTGACTCAGATCGTTGCCACTCCATTATACATCCGTTTGTTGAAGATATCCCGAATTGCATATAGCGCATAGTGTGCGATGAGTAGCCAACCCTTCCAAGCCCATCAGCAGTTATATCAAACCCCTCCCAGTCGCATGGCGATTCCCAACCGACAGATCATGTTGGAATAACCTCCAATTTCCAGCTCTTGGGGTGGGTCAATGTCGGTTTCTTGGGCCGAGAACCGACTGCCGTTCGCGTCTCGTAATGTTCCGATACTCTACGACTCCAGGCAGTTCTTTTCTTTGACTCTCACCGATTTCTCGAATAAAAAAAAAAGTGATTTTTATATCGCGGAATTCCCCTGGCAAATAGCAATTGCATACGGGGCTGTTGAAACAAGATTCGTTTGCATTCATTGACAGTAGCAGGTCCACGGATCGTCCCTCCGCTTGGGAGCGCCGTTTTCACGTCAAATTTTTGCGCCGTTGCGGTTTTCTCCTCTTTCCACCGGTTGTTTTTTCTTCAATTTTGCTCTGGTGTGTCGCTGAACACCCGCGACAAATTGTCTGGTCTTTGACTGCGAGGGAGAAGAAGAGTGTCCGATATAACAGTCTGGGGTTGGTTGCCTGGCGCAATAACATCATCGCTACCGGGTCACGTGAATCGGAGGCAAAGGATGTCGATGTGCCAAACAGACAGATAACAATAATACCTACACGTTTGGAGACGCTTTGCGATTGGGCTTTTCAATATGGTCTCTCGGTCCAGCTCATTTAGCGATATGGATCCTCCGATCCAGTTCAACACGCCAAATCCGCCTGTTGATATGGATGACATACCAAAGCCTAGGAAGAATTACCTGAAGATTTTTGGCGGCAAGGTGAAGCAAGGATGGCAGAGGTTGGAATTGGATATCCACACGGTGCTGCAGATGATGAAGTGAGTTGCTTCGATGTCTCGATATGGCCAGTGCTAACATATGTATCAGAGGCGCTATTCCGCCCACAATTGCTCTTGCTATGTAAGAAGAACACCCATGATCGAGAGGCTGGAGCGCAGCTAACACAACTAGGTACCAAGCCGACTCGGTATCCGCAGAATTTACCACCCTTGGCTACATGGTGGCTATCATCTCCGTCCTCGGATTCGCCATCATGCCCAGAGCCAAGTTCATCCAAATGATGCTTCTTGACGTGCTAGCAGTCTGCATGGCAATCTCAATCGCCCTGCTGATGATGTACTGCTGTATTCAGTCACGACAGCATGTGGCGACAGGCGACCGGACCGCGCTTGGGGCTTACAATTCGTCTGCGTCAGCTGTTAGCGGCGTGTGGTTATTCTTCCAAACGTTCATGGTGCATTCGCTTCGTGCCAAGTTTCCGCAGTTCCAGTTTCCGGTTATCATTTATTCGATCATTGCTGTAGTCACCAGCACCAATGCACCTCAGTTTACGACTATGGCTACATCAATCAATTTTGCTACGAGACTCCTGAAGGCGTGTATGACGGGTTTAGCGCTTACCACGGGAGTTTCTCTATTTATTTTCCCTCTGTCCACCAGGACGGTTGTTTTCAAAGAAATGGCAGGATACATAGGAGGGCTGCGCGCGGCTCTCAAAGCCCATTCAAATTACCTTGAGACCCTCGAACGCGACGACATGTTCGGCCGCACAGAGACATTCGACGAAACCGTCGAGAAAATGGGCAAAAAGGGAAAAGTCTATAGCTCCGAGGCACAAGCCATCTATGCCGCAGTCCGGAAAATCACCGAGCTCCACGGAAAACTCCATGGTGACTTGACATTTGCCAAGCGAGAGTTTGCTTGGGGAGAACTGGGCCCCGATGACCTGCAGATGACTTTCAGACAGCTGCGCAAGGTTATGATTCCGGTTGTCGGAATTGGGTTTGTCGTGGATATTTTCCAGCGTCTTTCGGAATACAATAAGTGGAACGAACCAATTGATCCGAATTCGAATGATGTTCCAACTGACGCGATCCGCCGACGTGTCGTGCAAGAATGGAACGATATCATGAGGGCCGTTCACGACCCGTTTTCTTCTATGATAGAGACCATCGACGGAGGATTACAGCATGTTTCCTACACCATGAGGTTAACCAAGCCACCGAAGAAGAAGGCTGCTCCTAGTCCTGCGAATTCTGACATGTCTGATAACAAGGATGGGGTGGATATTGAGGCAGACGCTGGAAAGGTTGAACCCGGCGAGAAAGGGTTCGCAGAGCATTTCCAGCGCAAGTTGAGTGAATTCCGGGTAGCTAAGAAGATTGCGTTGCAGACTTGGGCTGAAGAGAAGGGTCTGAAATTACCGGATGACTTTTTCGATCATCCCTCGTCTGTGGAGGATATTGATGATCTTCCTGCAGACGTGACGGGATTCAGCAGGGATAGAAACCGTCGACAGCTCTATCTGTTTCTTTTCGTATGTGTTTAACAGCCCCATATTCAAGTGATGATGCTAACCAATGCAGATGGAACAATTGCTATACGCATCAGGACAGGCAGTCCTGGAGTTCGTCCAATTCGCCGACGAGAAACGCGACAGCGGCAAACTGTCCAGGACACGTCTCATCGTCCCAGGAGCAAAACGCATGGCTAAATGGCTCGCGAGTATTTTCCATGTAGGCGACACCCACGAAGATGATAACATCGGCGACATAAACACCCAAGGCAACATCCTACAACTTGGAGAGGCGTACAAATTCCGAAAAGACCCCGAGCATCTCCCACCACAAACCGCCTTCGAAAAAATCGGAGACAAAGTGCGCATGTTCTCCTTGATGTTACGCTCAGCTGAATGTGCCTATGGCTTTCGAGTAGCGTGCGCGACTATGACAATTGCCATTATTGCTTATCTGCACGACACGCAGGAGTTCTTCATCCGGCAACGCTTGTTCTGGGCTATCATCATGGTTAATCTCAGTATGTCGCCTACGTCTGGACAGAGTATCTTTGGCTTCGTGCTACGGATCCTTGGCACTATACTCGCCATGATTGTCTGCCTCCTGTCATGGTACATTCCCGATCAGCACACAGCAGGAACCTTGGTAATCTTCTTCATTTTCATATCATGCGCCTTCTACGTTCCCATCAAGATGTTCCGCTTCCGAACCATCGGAATCATCACCATCATCACCGCTTCGATGATCATCGGCTACGAGCTGCAGGTCCGCAAGGTCGGAAAGCAAGTCGCTACATCCAACGGACAAGCATACTACCCCATCTACCTCCTTGCGCCCTACCGACTGGCGACTGTGGCAGGCGGTATCGGGGTTGCGTTTATTTGGACTTTCTTCCCGTATCCCATGTCGGAACATTCAGTGCTTCGTCAGAGTCTGGGCGCGTCCCTGTATCTGCTGGCGAACTACTACTCGCTTAACCATGAGACTGTCTCCGCGCGTATTCGGGGTGATGAGGGTGATATGGCGCTCAAGACGTCTTCTGGACGTAGACTTGAGAAGGCACGGAATCAAGTATTCTCGAAACAGATGTTGATGTTGAATGGGTTGCGGACGTACTCTGGGTTCCTGCGATGGGAGGTTCCTATCGGCGGTAGATTCCCCAAGAGGCGATATGACTCGACCATCAATTGCATAGAAAAGTATGTCCCCACCTATCTTCAACACAATATGCGGGCTTTGCTAACTGGTCCAGCATCGTAAACTACCTGTCTCTGCTAGGCTACGCCTCCGAAGTCCTCTCCAAACTCGGCGCCGAAGAGTCCGAATCTGCCTGGATCCACGACTTCAAAACCCTCATTACTCAAGCCCGCATCACGACCCACGAGATTACATCCGTTCTCTGCCTCCTCTCAGCTAGTATCACCAACCGCCAGCCATTACCGCCATATTTGAAGACACCAAGACCATACAGTTTCTCGAAACGGCTTGAAGCGCTGGACAAGGATATCCTTAGTATCAGACATATGGCTGAACCGGGGTATGCGGCGTTTGCGGTGCTGCAGATTTCGACAAGATGTATCGTGGGCGATGTAGACCGGTTGTTGCGGTATGTAACCTGTAACAGAACAGGCTAGAGTTATGGAACTATGTACTGACAAACTTCTAGTGACGTGAAAGCATTGGTTGGCGAGCTGGACTTCTCCTTCCATGCTGTTAGCACCCGCGACAACTCAAAGTCGTCGATGAACGTCACGAGACAATCCATGTATGCGTCGGGACTATCGAGGGCTTCTTCGTTCCGGGATAAAAATGATTAGTCGGCCAAGGCGTCCGGCTTTTTGTTATGCCATATTCTGTAATGGATCAAATATTCATGTACATATCATTACATGACTGCATTTGTACAAGAGAGATAATAAATAACTACATACCACCCCAGGGGTAATTCCCACTGAACTACTCCGTATATCCAACCTGGACGGTATATGCCTCTTGCAATAAACTCACTTAATTGGTTGAATGCACAAGCAATAGCTTAATCTATTTCAGACGATCACACCTTGGCGAGACGAGACGCCCCGCTCAGCCTCATACCAGCCTAAATACACACTGGCAGCTTTCAGCAACTACAGCTACTCACCATGGACAGCAATACCAACCTTAAAAAGCGAAAACCGCATAAAAAATCGCGACGCGGCTGTCAAACATGCCGGTAATCCCACCCTCTCCTTTCCATACAGCTTCCAATAGTAATAACAACCCAGAACCCGCCGCGTAAAATGCGACGAAACCCTCCCAAGCTGCAACCGCTGCACGCGAACAGGCTGGAAATGCCAATACCCAGACCCTCTTTCATCCCCATCTTCTATACCAAGCTTCTTTCCCTCGCGCACCTTCAACACCCAGCGTGAATACCAGTACTTCGACTTCTTCCGGTTCCAGACCGTGACTGATCTCAGCGGCTGGTTTAGTTCGTATTTCTGGCATAGACTCGTCTTGCAAATGAGTCATTCGGAGGGGGTTGTGAAGAGGGTTGCTGTTGCGTTGGGGGCGTTGCAAATGGATGGTTCGTATGCTGGGACTGATCAGCGAATGGCTTTGCAGTACTATAATGAGGCGTTATCTGGGCTTCGGGGCTTGCTCGGTTCGACTGGGATGCGATCTATTGATGTCGCTTTGACAACATGCATCCTGATTTCTTGTTTCGAAGTCTTCCGAAGAGACTACACAGCCGCGCAAATGCACTATACAAGCGGCCTAGAAATCCTCAAGCTATGGCGAGGAACAAAGACCTACACAACAGTCGACTATCCATACCCTTCACGCTCCCAAGCAGTAATCCCCTGCTACGAACGCGCATTAATTGAACATTTCTCCCTCCTAGAAACACAAATCATCTCATTCCTCCAATCCCGCCCCGGCTTCGCACAAGACGCCGTCCTTTTCGAACAAAGCATTTCCAAGATCCCGATCCCGATGGACTTCTCTACACTCAACGAAGCAAAAGAAACATTTATCTTAATAATGAACACGACAATGAATCTATCCACGCGCGCTAAAAATAGACTCGTCTTTAAAACGGAAGATGAACCAGAACGCGATGAAAACAGCCTCTTCCGCCATCGCGAGACTTACAATGCGTCTGTGCAGTTTGCGGCGATTCTACGTACTCTTACGGGGGAGTGTCAGCTTGCGCTTACGCAGTGGATGGATGCCTTCGACACTCTATATCGTCGGATACGCAGTAATATGTCCGTCCAGGAGACGATGTCGACTTCTGTTCTGTGGCTAGTGTATACCGTTCTCTACACGCTTTTCGCGCGAGACTTCTCGAAGGGGGAAATGGGCTACGACACGTACGTGAAGGACTCCGAAAACGCAGTATCCCATGCCCTAGTCGCAATACGACACCACCACCGCCAATCCCAACAGCAACAGAACCGCCAACCAATGTTCTCCCTAGGCCTAGGCATAATGTCCTCCCTATACTTCATCGCGACAAAATGCCGCCATCGCGGTGTCAGGGATATGGCACTCTACGCACTCTCTGCAGCGCCGTTACAGGAGGGCTTGTGGAACCGGGATAGCGCGTTCTTGATGACGCGGGTGTTGGTTGAGATGGAAGAGGAATTTCGGATTCCTGGGACTGTTGGGCCGGAGGGGATTCCTGTGGAGGCGAGGATTATTGGGGTGAATTTTTTGTTGAGGGCTGAGATGGGGGAGTTGGTGCTTGTTGTTGATAGGCTGGGGGAGAGGGTGGAGAGGTTGGTGAGATATGGTAATGGTAGTGGGTTGGGGAAAGAGGTGGATGGGTAATATGGGCAAACCGGAGATATACCTGCCGAGACTTGAGGATTTTTTCTATCTGCGCCCCGGGAATATGTTATTTTGACATCAACAACTATTCTGCATATACCACGAGATGAACGACATCCCATGATACACCTCCAACGTCCATTTTCTTCGACAATCGGCACCGACAGGCGAGGTAGTACAAGACTACAACATCACCAAAGGCAAAACGGTCGTACAACTGGTGACTCGCGCACGGGATACCAGAACAAGAAAGGGATCCAAGAAGTCACTTGTCAAAACAGGGTACCTAGTACCTGCAATCAGCAAATGCTAAGCAATGGCAGTGAAAACCATAGCCACATTGTATGTACTCCGTGCTTTCATACATGTGACATGCATGTGCCTCGGCCCCCAGCATCTGATATCACTTCCCTTCCCTTCCATACTTGTACTTGTACTCTGCACTGCCTGCCTGCTCATCGACTGACGCACGCACATAGGTACATGGAACAATCCCGACATTCCAGCGAAACCCAAACCAAACGTTGCATACCGATTCCCATAACTCCTTGCATAGAGGAAAAAACCACCCATCCGACTGGAAAAGGACTCTTTCCCTAACCAGATTAACCTGTCTGTCTAACATTGTGTGAGACTGGCATATCGTGCACTCAAATAAACTCAGCACAAATATGTACTTTGTATCCGGGGGCTATATAACAGGCGATATCCCTTGCGTGGTTCCCTGACATAGAGATGTACAATGTCCCACATTATCATGCTCGGAATTCTTCATGCCGTTGGTCGTTGTTCCTTTTTTTTTTTTTTTTTAAAAATGTACGACGTCCGCGCTGTGCGAATGGTTTTTGGTTGATTTACTTTCGATCGGTCGTGGCTGAATGACGAAGGGTGAAAGACGAAGAAAAGAAAAACCAGCGCATACCATTCGGTTATCTATGGGATAGGGCAGTCGAAAACGCATTTGACGATAAAGACTCCTGCAAATGGGCATCACACCAGAGATAACGGTCTATAACGATGACAAAGAAAGCGGCGAATCGAAAGCCCCAACCCGCGATACCCATCTCAGGTTCGAGGAATTCTCACCCACGCTCGAAGAAGGATTCCAATTTCGACCCTTAGTTCGCGACGAGGACGTTGAACACCAATTTGAAGATGAGGATAGTGAAGCTCGCCATAGTCGCCGCTTGGCCAAGCGTCAAAATGCTGGATGGAGACCCGGGGTTAGGGAATGGCTGGTTCTCATCTGCGTGTCGATTGTGGTTATGATGGATGCGTTTGATGCGACGGTGGTGATTCCTCTGGTACCTGTATGTAATTATGCATTCTCTTGTTTGCGATTCCCTTGGATGTTTTGTTCATCGGCTGAGAAAATTAAATTGCAATAGTATCTTTCCCACGCCTTCGCAAGACCACTCGAGAACATCCTATGGCTGCCCACGGGTTACCTTCTCGCCAACGCAGGAGGACAGATGATCTTCGCCATGCTATCCGAGATCTTCAACAATGGATCTCTCATGATAGTCGCACTTCTCTTCGCCACGGCCGGAACAGGCGTCTGCGGCGGCGCCATGGGCTTTCCCGATCTGCTCGCCGGTCGAACAGTGCAGGGTATTGGCGGCGGCGGTGTAATGGCGATTTCGCTCTTGGTCGTGATGGATACCATGCCGGGTTCGCATTGGGCTCGGTACATAGGATGGCTGTCTACCGTTCGTGTTGTTGGTGCTATACTAGGTCCGCTCCTCGGTGGGCTATTTGTCGACTATGTCCGGTTCAACTGGGCGTTTTATTTCAACTTTGCGTTCTGTGCTTTGGGCCTGCTGATCTGCCCTTTTGCCGTGGACTTGGGCTCGAAGAAAGGCGCTCGTCTTTCCAAGTTTAAAAAGATGGATTGGCCTGGCTGTGTCCTGGCTCTCACAGGGGTTGGATTTTTCCTTGCTGGGATGTGTTGGGGTGGTACGGAGTATTACTGGAAGGACTGGGAGACGGTGATGCCAATCACGGTTGGAGGAGGGATGATCATTGCTCTTGTCTTCTGGGAAACGTTATGGGCAACACGACCGTTGTTCACATTGAGAGCGCTGGGTCTGCAAGATCCACGTTCAACAGCGATAGCCTATATAAGTAGTTTCCTTCATGGTTTTCTGGTGAGTTCTTGCGCTGCGACTGAAAAAAAAAAAAAAAAAAGCACCGGAAATAGAGAAACTAACCAGGAACAGATATTTTGCCAATTGCAATACTTCGTCCTATACATGACATCCGTGAAATACTTTTCTCGGTCTCTAGCAGGAATCGTCTCCGTCGTCCTCACAGGGCAAACTCTTATAACCATTGTTCTGGTATGCCAGGCCGGAATACTCAGGAAGCTCCAATCACACTGGACAATCCGGATTGGATGGGCAATAACCCTCACCAGCACGGGATGCTTCATCATTCTGCACAAGCGCACACCAATGCCCGGCGTGATATTCATGTTCTTCGCAGCAGGAACCGGCCATGGATTTCTGATCTCAGGGTATAACGCTTTCTTCACAGAAAAGGGGCTTCAAAGACAGCAAGAAGAAAACCGGGAGTCCGATGTATCCACCACTTCTTTGCCGATCTTGATGTATCCGCTTCTTAGAACATGGGGCATGTGCGTTGCCGTGCCTGTCATTGGAACCATCTTGTTGGGCCAATTGATACGGCAGATGAAGAAAAATGGACTTGATACCTCAAACGAGTTTTATATTCGTTTGAACGAGATCCTGTTGTCCGAAGGAGGAAGAGATGAATTGGAGATCCTGGATGGAGTTGGGTTTCGGCTGGTTTGGGAGGTCGTTACAGCACTCGCCGGTGTGGGAGGGGTTCTTTCTGTGTTCATCAAAGAGTCTGCTTAGGAGAAAAAAAAAATACGATATCTCTTCATCTTCAAAGGGCCAATTCAGTGCCACTCCCGATTCCGTACATATTGTTAGTTGACCAACTGACCATGACGTCAGAAATATCAAACGGAACGACGTAAGTGTACCTTTTTATCTTAGACTTACCCAAGTTAAACACGATTGAGACCCTTCGAAAGACTACAGAATCGAAGCGTCTAGTCGAATCATGGGCAGACGCTGAGATCAAGTACTAATTGCCCTAATCGAAATCCTCCGAGAAGACCCATCACTCCCTGAAGCAGGATGCCTGAGACGTCTGGAGCATCGAAAAAGGATGTCTTCAATGAGCCGCATTGGACGAAGACACACAGTCACCGGGTAGGGTTACGAGATGGCGATGACCGATTCCCCGGTCTGACCCACACCGGAGATGACTGGCGGTTTGAGATTGAAGAAGAGGCCGAGGGAAAGATCGAAGAACTGAAAGAGAAGGCAGCCCGCGGAGAACTTCTCACTGTTCGCGACTTTATTGCCAAGCAAGAGGTCAGTTTGTGTGTACTTGCACAAAAAAACAGATAAACTAACCTCATTCCACATCTCTATTGTAGGACTTCGAATTCAGACGACCAGAAGTACATCCGAAGAACCGGAGATATGTCCTGCACGTTACAGAAGATTTTATCAAAGAGGAACAAGGCTGGCTCATCAATGAGAGAAAGCGCCAACACGAAGATGAGAAAAAGCAAACACAGGATACAAATAAGGAAGATGACTCGGAACCCGAGCCCAAGAAGGGGAAGAAAGAGGACGAGGGTAAACCGGGATACACCCCGGAGCAGCAGGTGCTTTTGCGGAATTTGCGTGAGGAGGCACAACATATACGCTCCATGAAACAAAATGATGGCAAAGGTCGTTCGCCTGCATGGTCTGAATTGATATGGACGCAAATTGATGAGCTGGATCAATTCAGCCCAGATAACTGGATCGTGCGACCCGACACTCTAATCCGAATCACTGGCAAAAATCCGCTGAACGCAGAGCCGGATTTGTCAGAGCTTTTTGATGCAGGGCTCATCACACCGAACCGACTTCACTATGTCCGGAATCATGGCTCAGTTCCGAACTTGGAGTGGGCGAATCATAAACTTGAGATATCAGCTGGTAGATCTCTGGCGCTGCTCATGGACGACCTGACGGACCAATTTGAAAGCGTGAATATTCCGGTTCTCCTCGCCTGTGATGGCAACCGCCGAAAGGAACTCAATATGCTCAGGCGTTCCAAAGGTTTCAATTTTGGTCCTGGGGCTGTCAGTTGTGCTTACTGGAAAGGAGCTTTGTTGCGGGATGTACTTTTAAAAGCTGACATTGTGTCATTAATGGACGACTATCCAAGCGCGAGTCTTTGGGTTCATTTCGAGGGCGCAGATAATCTCAGCGAAGGGAGGTATTCCACCTGTATACCGCTTGAATACGCTATGAACCCGAACAACGATGTTCTGCTCGCCTATGAGATGAATAACAGCCCCCTGCCAGCTGATCATGGATATCCGCTCCGGTTAATTATCCCCGGATATGTCGGAGGTCGGTGCGTAAAGTGGTTGGCGAATATATGGGTGACAGACCGTGAGAATGATAGTTACTACCATATATATGACAACCGTGTCATTCCCAGCTTTGTGACGGATCCGAACTCCGAATTTGCGGATATTTTGTTTCATAACCCGAGTACCATCTGCAATGAGCAGGCACTGAACTCAATTATCGCGAAGCCAGCCCAGGGTGAGACAATAAGGCTCATCGATGTAAAGAGAGACCAAACATATCGGATCGAAGGATTTGCATATAGTGGAGGCGGGCAGGAAGTACAGCGTGTTGAGGTCAGCCTGGATGGAGGTGAGAACTGGTTATACTGCGTGCGGCGGGTGAGATGATAAGATGGGCATTTACTTTTTTTCAGGACTAACCTTGTCATATAGTATCCTGAAGCACCACTGCGGCACGGAAGGAAATTTTGGACATGGCTGTTTTGGCACGTTGATGTCGACCTTCCGCAAATGCTAGAGGCCCAAAACATCATCGTGCGTTGCTTTGATGTAGCGAAGAATATGCAACCTAACACGCCTTCTTGGAATTTGACAGGGTAAGTTCTTCTGTCTACACTTTGTGCAAGCCATAACTAAATATCCCAGAATGATGAACAATTGTTGGTACGTGGTCAAATCACAAGTCATCAACGCTTCTGACACAAACGAATTGCTCTTGATGTTTCGCCACCCCTGCGAACCAGGCACTGGAGAAGGTGGATGGATGGAACCATCCACAGAGATTCAGATGGAGCAAGCTAAACGCTCTGCAACAGTTTCTCAGAAACAATTCACCCGCGAGGAAATAGAAAGTCATTCGAGTGAAAGGGACTGTTGGATCGTGATTAACGATAAAGTATACGATGCCACCAGTGTTCTGAGTTGGCACCCTGGTGGCATAGCACCGATCCTCGATCATGCTGGGCGAGTTCATTCGGAGACGACGGAGGCGTTTGAGAGCATTCATGACGATTTTGCTCAGAAGAAATTGCAAGGTGCGATCCAATATCGTGGTGTTTGCGGTAGATCGTTAACGAGTGCCGGTAGAATGCGTCTTGGGAGTGGTGACCGACAAAGTAAAGGAGTTTATGAAACATGTGGCCGAGCAGAAAGCCAAACGAAGGGCCACGTCAGCCAGGAGGGATATGGATGTAGCACTGAGCCGGCATAAGTAAGTCTCGTTGTGGTCCATTGCCCAATGCATGCAAGACTCACCTATAGCTACTATGTAGATGGACATTGGTGCGACTGGTTCGAAAAATTAAGATGTCAGGAGATACAAATCGCTATATATTCCAACTGCCACCGTCATCCAAGACACTAGGGCTAGAAACTGGTCAACATGTGCAACTGGGATTCCATTTCCGAGATCGGCTGGTTTTCCGTCCCTATACACCTGTTTGGCCAATCCTCTCCAACCAGGACAAAGGCACTTTCGATCTGGTTGTGAAGACATACTATCCTGATCCAGGACAACCGGGAGGAACCATGTCGAATATTCTGGACTGTCTTCGGGAGGGAGAAGTGGTGGAGGTGAAAGGACCATCTGGGCAAATTAGATATCAAGGAAATGGAGAGATCCTCGTCGACAACAGAAGTTACTCTTTCGATCGTATCACCCTGGTTCTTGGCGGATCAGGGATCACTCCGGGATACCAACTTGTCGCCAGGATTCTATTAACAGAAGAAGACCGAACAAAGATCAGAGTTATCGACGCGAACAAGACCGAGGATGACATTTTATTACATGCAGAGCTTGATCGATTCGCACGGGAGAATCCGGACCAGTTTAGCGTCACCCATGTTTTATCTCATCCAGGGGATGACTGGCCAGGCGAAAAAGGTCATGTAGACGAAAGGATCCTCCACCAGTATGCGTTTGAACCGGATGAACGGTCTGTGGCGCTTTTATGTGGACCTCCAGCGATGATCAAGAAAGCGGTGCTACCAGTGTTGAAGGACTGGGGGTATCATGAAGACAAGAATCTGTTCGGGTTTTAGCTTGTATCCGAGACTTCGGCGAGTAGCTTGCCTCTATTGGTTTGAGATGTGGTTGTTGCGTCGGTGACCTCGTTAACTACTGTCTCACCAATACAGGAGTACGCATCTTCGCCAGCTCATACCCCCCAGGGCTGTTTTCATCGTCAACGTGAAACGCTCTTGGGATGTCGTCCTGGTCGTCGGAAGGTTGGCTTGTGTCTTGCGGCTCGGGCTCCTTTCGCGTGCGCTTGGACTTTGGTTTGAGGAATTCGAAGAGCTGTTTCACGGCAGAAATTACGGACATTCAGACGATTTGATGGGACTGCTGTTGGTTTCTGGGACTTGGTGCAATTAGTTTGGTGTGGCTGATTTGAATTTGATAAGATAGATGTAGAAAAAATAAGCTTATTGGACTCAGGCAGATTTAGGCAAGGCATGATGTTCGGAGCCGGAGTTTCCATCGGGGTGGACTGCTCTTACCCTAAAAGGAAACCATGAGGCCGTTCCTTCCATACGCAAATGCAGGAGCGCCTTCTCGATCGAGTACCACCGCTTACTCCTGATCACCTTCTATCCTCCACCGTCTCTTCTTCTCTCCTCCACCTTCGATCTCTTCCAAATCCATCCCGAACAGCATTCTCCCGTTACCGTTGTATCGACATTACTCTTAGTGACAACTAAATCTCTTTCTGCATCTCAACGAGAATGTTCTTTCTTAAATCCTACGTATTTTGCCTTCTGGCAGCTTCTTCCATTGCTTTCCTCGCCTCGACACAGTCCAAGCAGGTCGATTTCCCTCTCCCTGACAGTCTGCCCGATCCGTCCCCGAGCCAAATCGAATCGATCCAGATGCGAGCCGGTGGCACGTTGCCAAACACGCCCCCTCCGATGCGTATCAGCAGCGAGGGTATAAACAACTTGAAACTCATGGCGTTTACTGGATTGTCCGAAGTAGCTTTTTTCGATGAACTCCTTCGAAACATCACCACCAGCGTGCCGGGCTACCAGGTTGCCAACGCGCAGGAGCGTGACATCGTTATCAAGTCTCTGACTACTTTGCTTGCAGTATGTACTGGCTTTACATCTGGAGAGAGTTCATTAGTGCTAATAGTAGCAGCAAGCGGAACTACAGGCGATCGCGGAAAACAGTGGCCTTCGTCGTTTCAACCTCAACACCGTCCGGCCTTGTCGTTATAGTTTCCCTGTGTCCGACTACAAATCTGCGATTGCGCTGGGAGAGACTTTTACGAATTTGAAATTGGGGACGTTGCAAGATATCCTCACGCGGTTCGCCATGGGAAGTGACTTCGACCTGGCCCGTTTCGCAGCGTCCATAGCCGGCCAGAAGGGCCAACAGTCTGGCTGGTTCCGCACTCTTCAAAACAAGGTAGCCAGTGACGTGCCTTTTCCGACGACGGGCAATGTCGACTTTCTCTTTTCGGCTGTCCAGAGATTCATCGTGCCGAGAAACTGCTCTAGCATTGCCGATATTCCCCTGCATACCTTCCAACCGCTGAACATCCTTACGCCTCCTGGTCCCCGAACGCAGCTTATCCGGGTCTCCTGGAAGCCTACCACGGGCGATAAGTCGGGACAACTATGGATGACCTACATCAACCAGCTGAATACGCCTATCGCCGAGCGGATGAACATTATCTCTAGCAACAATGAAACGGTAGTGGCCGAGGCGTTGTTTCCGTATGAGAAGTACCTTTTGAACGGATTGACCATCGCAGCGGTAACCACCAGCGGCGGACCGTTTGCGAATGCAGCCGAGGTGTCACAGGCGACGGCGTTTGGACCAGGATTGATCACTGTTAACTGACTCGCATCATTGTTAGGTGCTTAGCAGCTACTCGTGTTGATACATGTTCTACGAAGGCTTTTGTATATATTATCCTCAGAGTCAATTAATTGAACCATGCGTTGGGTTAGCTTTTAACCAATAAGGATCCAAAAGTGAGTAATAAAGTAGGTACAAGAAGAGAAACGATATTATGCCGAGTTCACCAGCTAGCCACTAGGGCTATACCCTCCGACATGAGTAACATGTTGTTTTGAACATCCTCCTTTCCCTTTTTACAGGTGTCCCTGGCCAGCGTTGCTGGTGACGCTCGAGGCAACCTTAGAGTAAGCATCAGCAGAAGCAATGTTCTGGCCCTTGAACTTGGACAACAGGCTAGTGTCGTCCTGGTTGAAGGTACCAGAGTTACCGAAGCCGTTGACCTCGCAGTCCCGACCAAGGTACGACGAGCACTGAGCGTTAGAGCTAGCGTCAGTAGAAGTGAAGAGCTGGCCATCAACAGGGTCCTCGACAGGGGTAGTAACGTCCTGGAAAACGTTACCCTCAGCAAGGACGTAGCCACCCTCACCGATCTCGAAGGCGTGGCCAGAGTTATCGTGCCAGTAGTTGTTGACCTGTCCATCGTCAATATTAATCCGAATGCGTTATTCTTGAAAGGGAGACTTACAGCGTGCAGAACCGTGTTACCCTGAACCTTGGGGGAGCGGCCGCTAGTGTGGTAGATGTAGTTGCCCTTGAGGGTGACAAGGTCGTTGTTGCCGTCGAGGTAGATGCCCCAGTAGTGGTAGCCGTCGCAGGTGGCGGAGTAGTCGGATTCACCGTTGATGAAGGAATTGGAGATGGTGATGCGGTTGTCTTCCTCGGTGCCGAGGACGATGTGCTGGCGGCCGATGCGCTCAGTCTATACGATTGTCAGCTTTGATTCTGGGTGGCTTTAGGGAGGGAATTGGCGCACGGTAACGTGGTCAATCCAGACAAGGTCACAGTCGTTCAGGGTGATACCGTCACCTCCCCAGACGTACTGGGGGTTGATGTCGGTGACAGCGATGTTCCTATTCTTGTCAGAAGACAGCTTTCAACTGAGAGGGTAAAGAGACTCACTGAATGATAATGTTTGAAGCACCGCTAACAATCCGCAATCCCTTACCCTTAATAATACCCTTCGAGCCCTCACCCAAAATAGTCTTATCCGAAGCAACAGTAATACCCAGGGTACCCGCATTATCATACTTCACATCAACAGTAGGCGCATCAGGCTGGTAGTTGGTACACCAGTCATTCGAGTTAATCGCCTGCTGGCAAGCCGAGCCAGTGCCCCAAGGCGCACAGCCAGTCCCGGTAGTCGTGCCTTCGGTACCGGTGAAGTCGAAGGTCTTGGAGAGCACGATCACACGCGCCTCGTCGTCACCCAGATACGAGACCAGCTCGTCCGTGGAGGAGGGGTAGACGGCGGTTGCATCACCACCACCGGTGACGCTCTTGGCGAAGCCTTCGGCGGAGCCGGAGACGCTGACTGCGGCGGTGGTGGTGGTGGTGAAGGCAGCGACTGCTGCGGTGAAGAGGGAGATGTATCTCATGATCAACAGAGAAAAACAAAGAAGAACGAAAGAATGAATGAAGTGATCAGTGTAGAAAGAAAAGAATGGATGGATGGTTAAGCAGTATCGATCTGCGGCCGTTGAACATTTTATACCTGAAGCTCTCCCACGAGGTTAATATCGGGACATAAACGGATAATATCCAGACTCAGAAGTACCTGAGCTAGCACCGATTTCGGGGACAGCCGCTGCAGCAGATTGACACAATCTAGATTGATTAATCTTATATTGAGTCCCTCCGAGCCGTCTCACGATTCCCGATTAGGAAACCTCCGAGAAGCACGGGGCAAGTGGCCATGGCTGATAGGGTTGATCGAAACTCTGGATTTCACTTTGAGACGCTTATCTGATTTTTTTTATTTGCTGTTTTGTGGACCGAATGATTTCCGAATGCTTACTGGGATAATTAACCGGGGCAGTCTGGAAAAAAATGTGGATTCGTCGGACCCTCAGTCATGACCCATCAGAACCAGTGGACCGGTGACTATCACTGTTCATTTCGTGACTATGAGAGAGGTGAGGCTTGTTGTGCTGTATATTAAGGAGAATGTCGAATATTTGAGAAGTCGTATGATTGTACTCAATCCCTTCAGGAACAACCGAGGTTTGTCCGGATTGTGTAAGGACCTTGAATTTCAGGATATTCGATTCCTGACAGGGTTCTCTTCCACAAAAGAACGAAGTAGCAGATGGAGTCCACCGTGACCGATGAGTCGTAGTCAATTATGTCGTGGAAAGAACCAATCCGGACATGATTTGAGAGTCCGTGGTGGATTCCTTGGTCCGGCACTTCTTTGAATCCTCTTTCCGAAAAGCTCTCGCCCTATGTCGGTCAAGAACAAGTACAAAATGTTATTACCTAGATTTATCGGGCTAACAAGTAGAGTAGCTACATCCCCCAGCAAGAGGTGTCTGGGTGCGGGTTCGTCTGTCTCAAACGAATACTTTCGAGGGGGGCTTCGCAAGGTCCCAGAGAATATACCGAGCCTCAGTCTAGACAAGGTCGTTCCTTTTGGGTGATTCTAAATCGCACCAATCCGTAAAGTACCTATGGATGTTAGTCAGGCATTTACATGGCGCTTGATGTCTACTTACACCTTTTCGCTCATTGCATGGTTCACAAAATCGCTTCCACACATTCACTAAATTGTCAGAAAGTTGTCTCACGACTCTAACTTCCAAAGGGACATGGGGACCTTACAGCTAGGTAGACTTGAATGCTTCGCGAATCTTCCTGCACACTTTCGGCGGAGAGCTCCAGTAAATGGCCTCAACCGGGACACCCGGTACTTGCTCCATGAATAGTCACCAAAAAGCCCCCGGGAACAAATCCATTCTTATCTTCTTTCTCTGCCCTTTTTACATATAACCACTACCTCTCACTCCCCAACTACCGCAAGCCAACGCCAGAGTCGTAGTCGTCGACATCTCCCTCAAATCAGCACCATATCGTCCTCTGGCCGTTCATAAATGAGGTGCTGGACAATTCCAGCCTAGCAGGCCATTGATGGCCTCACTGAATACCGAAAGCTGGCCATCAAGCAGCTAGATAGCCGAGACTTGGAAGGTAATATATGACAACATCTTCCGAGAGCAAGTTGAGATTATAGGACTCTTTTGAGAGGCGGATCGATTGAGAAAACATTGGACAAACTTTCGGAACGTTATGGAAATTGATGTCGAAAATGAGCGCTAAAGTCGAGCGGCGACAAAATCTATGCCCAAAGCTGATAGATATGATGGTCAAACATGTTCACTGGCGCTGCTCAGTTACGGTGAGGCTTTAACAGATAACTATTCATGTGCAGTACCACTAAACGCCGAAATGAACATATGGCACCCAATGTAGTGGATCTGTCCTCTCTTTGTGGTCGTCATTGTCGCTATAATCGCAGGGGACAGCATCCCTTGGCAATCCGCCATTCCACCAATCCTCATTGTTGGTACTATAAGATCCAGCTGTGTTCCTAATCAAGGACACATCTGCTTTTACAGTTGGTCCGCGTCCACATCTGGCGTTCCCAAGCATATTCAGCCAACTATCTCGAAGCACTCTTGTAGCATTATGGAGCCCTTGGCATACAGATTTGTCTGTCATGTCTCCATCCCTCATTCCCTCATACGTGATTCTCGCCATGTCAATACAGAGCTCGTCATTGACTTCCCATAGAGTACCAATAGCATGGCAAAATCCTGCCAGCTGGAACGCGCTGATGAGATGGATGCTCTCATCCAGAAATCTGGTATCCCTGACTTGAACTGTCCCGCAAGCAGACAGGTAGGCCAGAAATGGTGACTGTTTTCGGATATTAATATCCAGAAGACTAGAAACCATCAATGGGTCACTATTTGAGGCTAGGCAAGTGCTGAACTTCATAAGAAATAGCGGTAAACTATCTCAGCAGACATTAATCGAGTGCCCCAGCTCCACCCATATGGATATGATAATCACAGTACTCTCCATTGGCCACCCTTGAATTCCATTCATACTCTGCATGAACGGGCCCAAGGGAATGAGAGCTCATTGAATAAATTCTTCATGCAAGCTCACAGCCTTGCACAACTGCTTATCTCACCCTCTTGGCTTACAAAAATGTAAGTCTGCGGTATTTTCACGGCCCCCAAAGCTTCTTCCATCTGTATATCAGTTAGTAACTGAATATCAATATTAGTGAATAGCTTTCCCTGTCTGTATCTCATCTGTGGGCGCATGGGCAACAGGCGAAGCGTCTACTACTTAACTAACACATATATAATAACTCAGAATTTCAACCATCAAGATCACGGCGACCAGCACGGTGCAGCAATTGCAATAAAGAAGGTTCCATCAGGAAAAATGAGAAGGCAGCCCAGGCAGGAATAATAGAAAATGCTGGAAAGGTTATGGGAGAAATCTTCCAAGGCTTTAGGGATGGAAATTCGCTTGGCGAGTCTCCAAGTTGGAGGACCAGGTTTGAGAGGATCGCGGAAAGTCGTAACAAGTTCAGACGCCGCCAGGGTAAGCTAAGGATAGACCAAACTGCTGGCAACATGTACCAGACGCAGAGTATTGCTTTCTCTCAAACTACAACAAAACCATCTTTCTAAAGCAAGAGGGCGTACAGCCTAGAAATTGGGCCGTCTGAATCGAGATTTTTAGTACGAATGACCCGCCCATCAAGTATCGAGCATCACACCTCACATGAGTATACGGCTGTCTGCGCAATGCTGAGATCCAGGCAGGGTTGTTGCTTTGATCCGAATTTCTATGACTGGCCGATATAACTGGCCGCAACGGTTGCAACCTGAAGGATGAAAGAAGACGGTGTTTTCCGAGTCACCTGCACTGCTCTCTGTTACCAGTTATACGTATTGCCTTGGGCCATTGCACAGTCAAGGGTGTGCGCGACAATGTGACTACACCCGTGTCCACCATCTTGTTCTCTGTCGGGACTTTTCTCTTCAATTACCCAAATTTGATGGGCACCTTCTCGCACTTGAACAATTGTGCAAGGACAAATTATCCAGCGTCTTGGGCAATAATTGCCCTTGAAAACACTAGAAGTCTGACAGAAAGGCTGTAAACAATTTGAAAGATCATCTACGAAAACTGACTATCTTTAGGGCAAATTCCAAATCCATCCTGACACAGGTGGAGTATAACTTCTTATTCGATTGGGATGAAACGGTTTTCCCCAATCACGAAAAAGCACAGCTGGGGAAATAGGCTGTCTGTTCATTCACAAAAGCAGGTGCGTCTTGAAGCATGGTTCCCGTTGAGGTATCCCCTGCAAGGAATATGGTACATTAAGTGTACTCAGTTCCAATACCCCATGCTGCCAAACGCATGTAGAGACTACTCGGTGAGCTGAGCCGGGTACAACTTAAACAGCGACCTGGGGAAACTACGCATCCTCGAATTGGGTTAATTCCTCTCCCACCCTTTACATTCCACGACTTTCAAGGTGATAACACCACGAATCTATCATGAGGTCAGACCTTATGTCAGGGATACTGGATTGCTGATCCACGAGGATGGCATTCTGTCATATCGTTACGTACAATGGGAATAAATCGGGCATTCTCCCCAGTACTCCGTACGTTGAGGAGGACAAGCTAACACGGTGTCTTAGGGCAAGTTGCCCGATGTCTGCACCTAATAGTTGAGATGCGGCTTTTTCCCAAACCCATGCCGCAGGAATTGGGACTCTTCCCAATAGCCGAACAAACCACCCGGTGATCTAGGAGACAGCAGACATCCAATACTACGAAGACGTGCAAGCAGGTCTTGAGGCCATTCACCATGTCCTTCATGTAAGGTATAAACCCAGCGTACTGAGACATATGTCCGTAACTCATGGTAAATATTATCAAGTCCGGTTATTTACCCCTTATAGCCTAGATGACGCCGGATGAACGCATTGCCACTGGTGCCTCAGGCAGGATCACGTGAAGTCATCGGGATCGAGTTCCGGCTACCAGGCGTGAGAGAGAGAAATAGAGAGAATAAGGAGACTTTAGCCCTTCTTAAATACAATTAGTAGTAGTGTAGTGAGCTCAACTGTTAATAGTAAGAGAAGAGAACCCGACAGTCGATTGCCGTGAGTCCCCGACGCTTTCAATTAGCCACACGGTGATTGGCCGCCCAATGCTGAGTAAGCCGGTAACCGACCGTCTGCCCGAGGTTAGCGTTGGCTTGCTTTTCTCGTCGTCAATTGATCATTATTGTTCTGTATAGGCCTTGTGCTGGCTGTTTGTCTTTATACTATATCTCTGTCTAAGAGCAGCATCTCGTCTACCGCAATCGCAATCGCATTTCCCCTCGTGACTTCACCCTCCACAATGGCTGCCCTTCGCACGGCTTCGCGTCTCTTCGCCTCGTCGAGGCCCCTCTTCCGTCCTGCCGTTTTTGCTCGTTCCTACGCGACCGTCGAGAGAGATAACCCGACTACTGCCACCGGATATGCCAACCCCAAGACCGTCCCCGAGACCCAGACCTCCGATGTTGCAGAGCCCAAGCCCTCCGACGATGCTCGCATGAAGACCTTCCACGTCTACCGCTGGAACCCGGACCAGCCCACCGAGAAGCCCCAGATGCAGAGCTACCAGTTGGATCTGAACAAGACTGGGCCCATGATGCTGGATGCCCTCATCCGTATCAAGAACGAACTCGACCCGACCTTGACTTTCCGGAGAAGTTGCAGAGAGGGTATTTGCGGAAGTTGCGCCATGAACATTGACGGTGTCAACACTCTTGCTTGTTTATGTACGTTCATTGGTCTACTTGGATAGAAGAGGAGACTAATCTTGTAGGCCGCATTCCTACCGAAACCACCCAGCAATCGCGCATCTACCCATTGCCACACATGTACGTGGTCAAGGACTTGGTCCCTGACTTGACCCACTTCTACAAGCAGTACAAGTCGATCAAGCCGTACTTGCAGCGCGACACTCCTACTGAGGATGTAAGTCATTTATTCCGATAACTTGACGAAGGCCGTGTTCTAATCGAATTGCAGGGCCTCGAGTACCGCCAAAGCCCCGAGGACCGGAAGAAGCTGGACGGTCTCTACGAATGCATTCTGTGCGCCTGCTGCTCGACCTCGTGCCCCTCGTACTGGTGGAACAGCGAGGAATACCTTGGACCCGCCATTCTCCTGCAGTCGTACCGGTGGTTGGCCGACTCGCGTGACGAGCGCAAGGCCGAGCGCAAGGCCGCTCTGGACAACAGCATGAGTGTGTACCGTTGCCACACGATTCTCAACTGCTCGCGGACCTGCCCCAAGGGTCTGAACCCGGCTTTGGCGATTGCTCAGATCAAGAAGGAGCTTGCCGCGCCATAGACGAGGATGCGATGATAAAAGGATAAAATGCGCTATACCTGACTTTCCTTCTGATATGTGATTCTACTGCATTTTTTTTTTTTTTTTTGTCGGTTTCTTTAATTTCATGTATTTTGATTCCCGTGCTGGACGGTGTTGCATGTTTTTATAGTGTAAATGGATTGTTCATGCTTTCTTTTGCTGTACGGAGTGTCAAATCCGGGGTCGGAGTATGGAGACGGCAGTAACCGGCAATTACCCGGTTTATGCCTGATAAGGCAGTCAGTAAGAAATGTTACATAATCAGGGCTGTTAGCACAGTGGTAGTGCGCCCGCTTCGCATGCGGGAGGTCGTGGGTTCGATTCCCACATAGTCCACTTTTTGCTTCCCTGGTGTATGTCTTTTTGCTCGTCTAATCACTGAACATTCTATATCTTAATATGACAGGCACGCGGAGACTACAAGTACAGAAACACGTGGATGACGGTGAGGACCTTGTGTTATGCATTTAAAGCGAACCCTACTCTATACAGAACAACGACATGAACATCAGTATCGCCCCGTCGAACCCAGCATATCCATACACTTCTCAACAGCCTTCTGCATAGCATCCGTCGCCTCCTCGATGACACTCGTCAACGGCGCCTTGCCAGCCTTCTCCCCCCAAACCCTCACAAACTCATTATTCAACACCTTGTTGATATTGATCTTGCTCACTCCACACTCAATGCACTTCTGGAAGATCTCCTTGTCAAACGGGTCTGCACCGTGCAGCACCAACCGCACCCGATCCCCAACCTTCTCCCGGATCGAGAGGAGTCTGTCGTATTCCAGCTGAATCCCCCGGGGACCATACTCGCCATGCACGTTACCAAAAGCAGGCGCAAGCCAGTCAATTCCCGTTGCGACGAATTCTTCAGACTCTTCGGGGGTGGTGAGCATCCCCTCTAAGTCCGCAGTGTCCGCGACACCGTCTTCACCTCCCTCAATCCTCCCGGGCTCCGCCTCCGTCGCAATCCCCCGTTCATGGCAATACGCCACAAGCTCCCTCGTCAGCTTCAGATTCTCCTCCTTCTCATAATGCGACATGTCAACCATAATCCCATCAAAGCCGCCGATATCCGCAGCACGACGGATGATCTCCGGCGTCTGCGCATGGTCCATGTGCACGGCGATAGGGACCGATGCGGTGGAGGCGGCTTCGGCGGCTGCGTGGACTAGCAGGCCGTTGGCATAGTGCACGGCCCAGGGGAAGAGGAGGATCATGGCTGGTGAGCGTTTTGCTTCGGCGGCGCGGACGGTTGCGAGGATGCCTTCGAGGTTGTAGCAGCACATGGCGGGGACGCCGTAGTGGTGCGTGTGGGCGTGGTCGAGGATGGCGCGGGGATTGGGCATTTTGGTGGTTTGCCAGGGATTGACTTGAATGGACAGTTGAATTGGATTGAATGGAATGGAATGGTATTCAATGCTATTGACCTATGTTCGGACGGTCTTTATACTATACTATAGAATATGTCGCATCGGTCTTCGAGCCGAACCCCCTCGCCCCCCCGCCGGACATCCTCCGACTGACATCACCAACAACCTTCCCAATCAGGCAATCCCCATTATCCACCCCAGACTACGAAAACACCCGAACAACACCCGTACTAGCCACCCCCCCATCAACCCTCCTCCTCGCCAACAACAATACACTCAACGCCGCATTTCCCAAATGCAACGGCACATGCATATCCCTCGCCTTCTGCACAACCTTCTCTAGTCTAGCAATAGCCTCGTCCAGCGTCTCCCCCGTCGTTCCCTTCTCACCCAATCCATCTCTCATCTCGTTCGCATGCTCGTTGAACACGCGACTCCCGCCGGCAGCGTTGCTGACGAGATCGTAGAATTGCGGGAAGTCGGTTTGGAGGTGGAGGGCGAAACCGATTGCTTCGGCGGCGGCGACGAGGTTGATTCCTAGTGACAGATCAAGAACAAGCTGGTAGGCTAATTCGGTGTCGATATCGGCGGGGGAGGTGACGTCGGCGATGGGGGTGGGGAAGTACTGGCGGACCATGGCCGAATCGTCTTTGGAGGCGTAGCCTTGGGATAGTGCCGCGAGGTAGATTTGTTCTGCGGTTGAGGAGAGGGGGGTTGGGAAGTTTGCTTGTCGTGCGGATGTAGTAATAATGCCCTACCACTGTTAGCATCACATCCAATCCCATATCGCAATCCAAATCCAGGGAAGAAACATACAGCATCCTTAAGAATAATCGTCAACGCACTAGCCCCCGGGTTCCAATCCTCAACCACCATCCTCTCAAACCGATTCTCCA